GTACGAAAAAGAAAAAAGAAAAAGGCTCGAGGTAGGAAAAAAAAGTCTCCCTATCTCTACAAAGTAGCGGCCATTTACTATAGGTCTAAAGATGGGCAAGCAAGTGGCTGGGAATCATCAGGAACAAAGAACAGTTAAGCGACCGCGAACGAGCATCGCTGACGACCGTCACTTGAGGTCGTCCGTGGACTGGATTGCTCGTAGCAAAGTTTGGGGCATTTGCAGCCGAAGAAAAGCGAATGGAGTATGACAGTGATCGTGGTAACAGTGTCGGATAGCTTTCGGAGCATTTGAGCTTAAACTGCTGAGCAGCGAATCATCTCTCTTAATAAATCGGTTGCCGGCGTCCTTCTTACTCTATCGCTATAGCTGAGTCTTTACTCGGATGTAGCCGCCTCTACTCCGTATGGCGCTTATGCTCTCCCGAATAAGTAAAGCCTCGTGGGCGGTCAGCCGGCCTGCCGGTAGATGCTTAGATGGCTCTTTCGCCGAACCGAATGATACTTACCCTGCTCAGCACACGTATACAATATCCTTCTCCCAGTTAGCCACTTCACTGCGCAAATCTTAGACGTCTTCACTGATGGTCTGCCGTTCAGTTCTTATGGTTTGAGTGACTGGAATCAGCACTACCTTCGCAAGACAACGGGGGAATTTTCGAAGAGTCTCAGAGCATCGTCGCCAGAGTCCCCTCACCTTCCGCAGCCGCAACTTGTCCGCCACCATGGCTGCCATATTCGGTGGCGACCATAACGGTCAGCTTCCAATTGAGCAATGGTTTTTCGAACTTCCTGTCTGTACGCGATGGTGGACGACTGCAACGGTTGCTACAAGTATCCTGGTCCAGTGTAATCTTGTTACTCCATTTCAGCTCTTTTATAGCTCACGAGCTGTTTTCGTCAAGAACCAAGTAAGCATCGGAACTTTAATCATCACTGCAGTCTCCTAGTCATAATCTCTTGATTTCTAACAGTGTTTTCCCAGTACTGGCGCCTCTTGACGACCTTTCTTTATTTCGGTCCGCTCAGCCTCGACCTTATTTTCCACGTGTTTTTTCTACAGCGATATTCAAGATTACTAGAGGAGTCATCTGGCCGATCTCCGGCGCATTACTCATGGCTTTTGCTATATGCAATGTGCGCGCTCTTGCTCATGTCGCCACTGCTCTCCGTGCCGTTCCTTGGCTCTGCACTCTCAAGCAGCCTTGTCTATATTTGGTGCAGGCGTAACCCGGATACCCGTCTCAGCTTTCTAGGCTTGATAGTGTTTACAGCACCATATCTGCCATGGATGTTGATGGCATTCAGTCTTGTACTCCATGGGAGCATTCCCAAGGATGAAATGTGCGGGGTAATCGTTGGACATGGTATGTCGGCCTGTGAAATCTAACGCATCACTTGTTCATGGTTGTGAACTAACGGTTCCCATAGTATGGTACTTTTTCAATGATGTCTATCCGTCCTTGCATGATGGCCATCGACCATTTGATCCCCCTTTGTGGTGGAGGCGGCTTTTTGAGGGACGTCCACAGATTGGGGAAGATGCGTCTACCGATGCGGCCGCCGTTAACAATGATTTTGCCGCGGCTGCCGCTGGAGAAGTAAGATAAAGTTAATCGGAATATCGGATAACAGCGGCGTCCAGGCAAGATGGGTTAAAATTTTTCTTTCACATTCATATCCAATGAAGCGATTCTTTCTGTCGGTGTTTTTGGCGCTCTGTTTTGTTTCGTCAAAGGAGAATTCGATAGAGAAAGGGCGTCTGGTCTGCCCAGCAAAGCAAATCTGTCAATTATGATTGCGTCGTGCGCATATTGCATTGTCCAAATCATGTAAGAAAATTGATCGCTAGATATATACAACGCTTTTCATCGTATGAAGCAGCCCCCGTATTCTCCCACTCCCAATCTATGTGAAACGAAAGGTAGATGCATGGGTGTTATTATAACACACCCTTGGTGCTCATGACTTCTCCTTCCTTGCCCTTGACACGGGTCATGGCCATACGCAACGACTGAGCCAAAGCCTTGAATGCACTTTCCGCGCGGTGGTGATCGTTGTCGCCCCGCAGGCAGTCGACATGCATTGTCAATCCGGCGGTCTGCGAAAAGCTCTGCAGGCAGTGCGGGATCATCTCGGTGCTTAGATCGCCAATCTTCTCGCGTCGTAGGCCGAGATCGACGACACAGTACGGCCGATTGGACACATCCACAACAGCTCGCGAAAGAGCTTCATCTAGCGGCGCATACGCATAACCAAAGCGAGCAAGACCAACATTTGCGCCGAGCGCCTGCTTGACAGCGAGGCCGAGGGCGAGGAAAGTGTCCTCCGCCGTGTGATGGTCATCAACTATCACGAGAAATCAACCTTTGATTTTTTCTTCGCGAGGCAGAGATAAACAATGCGAACGCAAAAGCAAAGACTTACTGTGCAAATCGCCTCGTGTCACCAACTTCAACGACCACCCAGAGTGTTTTGCGAGAGCATGCAGCATGTGATCAAGGAAACCAATACCGGTATCGACTGAAATTGATTGAGATGCCGAAGCTTGAGAAGCATGGGACTTTTCCGATTTGTTCTCTACTTCGGCATCGCTGGACTCGGGCAAAACTCCGCCGTCAAGAGACAGAGACAGCTTGATTTTCGTTTCATTGGTGTCCCGGTTGACGATTGCTGTACGTGCAGTAGCCATTTTGAACAATGTGAAAGGTTGACGGAAGGGTTGAGTGTTATTTTGAACGGGGAAATTTTGGTCAGTGAAGAATGGGTGACGCAGACTTGGGCCAATCTTTTGTCTGGAAATCTTCCTTACGCATCGCCATTTGGGCGGGGGCCGGCCAAACGTTTTGCCGGATAAGGGTCCGAGGGTCGGACTCAGATACTTTGTCCGTCTCTGCGCTGGTTATGTTAACTATAACCGAATTACACCCAGTCTCAGCTTATCGCGTCAGGTGCATCCCTCATGAGCAACAGGCATTCAGGAACACTAACCTGCTGCATTGATAGGAACCTGGAGATGCCACCGAGCTCCCCCGCCTCTGTGTATCTGTGGATTCTTATTGTTTCAGACCATGATTGAGCCTCCCGTGCGCTGCCTATATATTGGTTACATGAAAAAAAATATATACATGAAATTACCCTAGATTGAGGTTCAACTCGACCCCTTGTGCGGGGGCATTGATTCTACTTGATTAGAGTTTAAAGCATCAATATATTAAGAAATGCTTTTCCGTCTGTTTTTTATGCTTCTAGCGGTCCCTTTTGCTGCGACATCCGAGCTTTTTCCGACAGAACAACAGCCAATTTTTGATTCTGTTGGAAAGGAAAGACTTTGCGACACGGAGGAGCTCTGCCTAATAGAGAACGACCTCCAACAGGTGCGGCTCCCCGGATACGGCACATTTAAAGGCATTCTCGCGAAGAAATCACTGGAAGGGGATGAACTCCCTTCTTCTATATACGCTTGGCTAGGCATTGACTATGCTACGCAACCGGTCGATGACCTCCGCTTCAACAAAGTTGGCCCACCAAACCCATTTCAAGGCGTTCGGCATGCCGACGCCTATGGCGTTGCCTGCATCCAAGATTTTGATTTCATAACTGTCGCCCAAGGCGAACGGTGCTTGAAGGCCAATTTCTTCCGCACCCCGGGACATCACAAAGAGAAGCTTCCCGTTCTGGTATGGATCCATGGAGGCAGTTTCAATTATGGTTCTGCGGAACAATTTGATGCTGCATCGTTTGTTGCTTCATCAAAGAACCCGATGGTCGCTGTCACTTTCAATTACCGCGTAAGTAGCATCCTGGATATAAACTAAATTCTTCGAAATATGAATGAAATTAATGAGTATGGTCAGTTGAATTCATTGGGATTTTTACCCTCGCCGTTGTTCAAGGAGGACGGTCTACTTAACCTAGGATTACAGGATCAAACCCTTCTTCTTGAATTTGTCCAGAAATATATTGCCCGTTTCGGAGGAGACTCTCAAAGGGTGACCATTGGCGGCTTATCTGCGGGATCACACAGTACCGGTTTCCACTACCAACACGTTCGAGAGGATGGCCCACCTCTGCTGTCGCAAGCCATCATGCAATCTGGATCTCCCACATCAAGAGGGTTCCCTTCGCTAGATTACCCTTCGTATCAAGCAAACTACGCACAATTTCTCGATGGCCTCGGCTGTATCGATGCAGCTGATGTGCTTTCGTGTTTGCGTAACGCGGATGTTGACCTCATTCGGAATGTTTCATCTACCATGTGGAGGGCCAGCTTGTACAATATCACTTGGCCGTTCCAGCCGGTTCGAGGTACGTCTCACGAGAGCAATGATTGCGATTTCATGTTCATAGCTGATTGACTTACGCAAAGGCGGCTTTTTGCTTGAGGAGGCCGGTTCGGATCACTGGGACTCGGATGATTTCAACCATGTTCCCGTTCTCACCAGCTCTGTCAGCAACGAGGGAAATCTTTACGCGCCATTGGATCTCGTCACTAATGAAGATTTTCTACACTTCCTTCACAATATCGTACCTGGCTTGACGAAAGAGCACCTTTCAAAAGTTCAGGATCTTTACCCTGATCCAAATACATACCCTGATTCTCCCTTTAGCGACTCACCAATGTCTCCGCAGTACAAGCGCATTGGTGCAGCATATAGCGACTATGCTTATATTTGCCCTGTTCAAGAGACCGCAGTCAGGGTATCATCTGTAGATCTACCGGCCTGGAAAGTAACCTTCAACACCAACAACTCATTCCCGACATACATGGGCGTTCCTCATTCAGCTGATGCTCCCTATTCATACGACTCGCCACGAACGCAGTATCCTGAGGTATCTCATTGGTATCATGCATATTGGGCCTCTTTTGTGACAACCGGAGACCCCAACATAGCTCGTTGGCCAGGCACACCAGAGTGGCCCAAGTATTCGCCCGACGAACGGATGCAGATTCAGGTCACGAAGAAAGAGGTAATTGTCCAGAAGGATATCAATAGAGCCGAAGCCTGCGAGTTTTGGAGGTCTATTCCAAAATACCTCGATCGATAATCGAGGAGACCAGGTCTTACGACAAAAGAGAGAAATGTACAAATATCAAAGAATTTTCATCTCAGTAATAACGGGTTAGAATCGAGTTTGTCGTGCATAATTAACTGCTAGAATGCTGCAAGTACATAGCTGTCAGGCGCACGGAGAATAATATATCCGATGAAGCATTGAAAGTGACTGCTATTAAACACTCTACCCCCCATAAATATCGAACGTCTTTGGCATTGGAACTTCAAAAATCCTGGTGTCATTTTCAGCATATGCGAGAATCAAATTTCAATTTGAATAACGCCTAACATCAAAAGTATCTTTATATTCTCTATACTAGACGTAGCATATTCTCTCAGACTGCCAGTGACGTAAACATTCTTCCACTCTCGGCTCAAGCTCCATCCCCGAAGCGAAGACGAGCATCATCCAACTTACACCCAGAGCACACAATTGATCAGCTATCACAACGACACTGGCCTCGTACGGCGCCAGCAGCTTTCTTTTGTCATCTGCCTTGGAATACAGAATATTCATTTAACCCTATTTTTCTGCTATTCTGCAACTCACGCATATACTCGATTGACGAACACGCGACACCATTCTCACCTCCCGCTACGTCGGGGCTTAAAGCTCGCTGCTATATCCCTTATCTAATCTGCCCAGCTCTCCGCCGCAACATTTGAACTTTGGCGAACTGGGCCTCTCTGTCAATCTCTTGCTTGAGCTCCATTGACATCTTGTCTCAAGCTCCGCTGGCATCTTCTTTCTTTTGAGAGCAGTAGCTCTACTGCGTATATTCCGTCCTAGCGGCTTAATTACACAAAGACGTAATGCGCGTTCACGGAAGCCTAGAAAAAGACACCGAGGCAAACCAGGCCGCGTGGGAAGCGGTGCATGGTGCCGTCGTTGGTGCCGCGAGGGTACGTCTTGCTTTCTTCCTGGGTTTCCCATTCCTGCTCGTCCTCCATTCTCTTTTCGTTCTTGTTCAACCATCTGTTCAATTCCATTCTTACTACTCAGACCTTCGAATACTCTTGGCTAACTCTGTATCTCCTTGGACTGAACAGTGGGGAATCTGCAGCGCAGTAGTGGGTGCCGCAGGATTTGCTTTTTCGCCGATATATCGTGGTCTGACTGTGCAATTCAAAATGTATGTCCCTAATATAATCCATTCATACCCCCAATTGTCCGTCTGTTGATATCCTTCGTCTCCTCCATTTCCACTTCCACTTCCCCTGTCACAGCGAGCACCTCACTTCCTTCTGTCGTCCCCTTCCTGCGCTCCCTCTTACAAACTGATATTCGAATTCAAAATCTAATACTTGTCGGGACAGATTTCTTCAAATGTCCGGAATGACAGTAGGCTCCATGATTGAAGCGGATCGACGGCTACGCGCCTATGAAACGACAGTCCGACAGCAGAAGCGTTTGGCAAGACATTTGGCTACCGAAGAATTATCGCGATGATTCTGTCGAATAAATATCTCTCCACATGCTTTCGTCTTCCGTTTTCCGTCATTCGTCTACACAGCTTCTTCATCAAAAGCGCTTTTTCAATGTACATTTTTTGTTTACGAAGTACAACTGTATATTTGACAACAATATAGCCAGGAGGGGGGGTTGATAGGGCGTATAGGGCGCAGGACACAGGGCGCAGGGCGCAAGTCATAGGGCGCAGAGAGTTGTATACTCGTATACTCGTATCGCCGTCTTGCGCCATTATTAATCTTTTATTTTCGTGATTACTACATACCTAGGTTATACATCGAGTTCCCCACCTACCCACCTACCTACCTACCTACCTACCTACTCGCCTTAACCACCTTCCTTTCTACCGACTATCGACTACCATGGCCAAGGAAATCCAGTGGCACTGATTTTCGATCCGAACCCCTAGACCCTGACGGATATCCACCATGACTTAAGCGGGCGAGCATGAGAATAAAAACCAAATGGCTAGGACCATTGTCAGGGCTTGGATCAAAAGGATACATGGTCAGACGGGGGAGGAGGGGAAACGAAGGGGTGATCCAATCAAGTTCCTTCTACGTTCGAATATCAAAAGGAAGCACAAGAGTTCCGGCTAGTAGACAAAGCCCACGACAATTCTAGTCGAAATTTTAAAAATGGGTTGATTCATGCATGACACGTCAACGTGTTAAAAAAAAAAAAGAGAAGCGAATAATCGTTATATATACATTTCATTCAAAGAGAGATTTCCCCAATTATTTATTTGAAGCCCAATCTACATGGGCCCTTGGAACATCATACCAGCGAAATTCGTGAGAAAGAATAGGGGAACACAAATAAGGTAGCTACCTAGATAGCAACATTAAAAGGACGTAGATGATAATGACGATGATGCGGTTGATGTTGATCATGTTGATAATGATGATAATGACGATGAAAATCGACAAACGTTTTCATGCGGGAAATGAATCTCTTTTTTTCTGTCTTTGAAAAAAACTCATCCTCTGTGTTCCGTTCCCCCCCTAATTCCTTCGCCAAGCGAAGAAGAAAAAAAAGAAAGTTAAAAAAGAAAGTGTGGTAAAATAGAAAAGAAGAGAAAATAAAAGGTTCAATAAAAGCCTCATAAGGTCTGAAGGGGAAAAAAATATAACCACAGAGAAGTGAAGGGGAAAAGGGTTCAGTAAGAAAATGAGAAGGGGAAAAAAAAGAGTATTGACGGGGGACAAAGGAAAAAAAAGAAAAGATGGATGCAAATCCCAAATCAAAAAAACACCCGCGCTCCACAATGCAACCGAGTTCTTTGAGCCAAAGGGGACGACATGATATGGTACAAGTACAACCTGCGGTCCGATCCGTATGCGTGCCCGGCAGGGACTAGAAGTAGTACATTAAACGTTGTTGTTATTGTTGTGTTGTTGTGATGTGACGGCCTGCGTTCTTCTATACTTTGTGTCGGTCCATAGGCTCGTAATCTCTTGAGGGTGATCTTCTCCAGAGTCGAACTCGCAGAGTTCGCATGGGGCCTCTCGGAGTGCCGACAAGCATCGCGCGGCCAAAGACCCACCACAGGCAGATACCCACGAGACCGGCGAGGACAAAACCGAGGGAAGTGAGGAACATCCAGTGTCGACCCATCTAAACATTTCACGTTAGAAAAAAAAAAAATTCCTAAAGAATGACAAAGTCATTCTGATATCTCGCGCAGGTAAACACTTACCCAGAAAATCAGCTGAGCATCCTTGCCGTGCCAGCTACTGCCCCGGTGGTGGCTAAAGAAGCTCCAGCTATGCTTGTTGTATTCATCGGGCATCAGAACGCGCACACGTCCCTCGTCGCTGGTACCCCATCGAATGTACTCCTCCCAAATGACACTCAGGAACAGCGGTCCTGTAGAGTACATGACCGTGACATAGGGCAGCGGCCATTTGCGATTGTACTTTTGGAGGGAGTCGATCACGGTCAAGAAGAAGGGATGCTGCGGAACAGCGCCCATGGCGTCATTGGAGACACCAGTGGGCAGGGTGCGGCGTACCCACGCTGGGTACGAGAGAAGAGGATCAAGACGGCGATTGCAACCCTGAATCACGTGAGTGGAAATTCCCAATAAACAAAGCCCCCCAAGAACCACGGCTGCTTACGTCGTCGAGATCAATGTAAATGCCGCCAAAGTGCGAGAGCACAAAGTAGCGAATGCTGTCTGCTCGCTGGATGGGATACTCGTAATTGTCAAAGGTTTCGAGGAACCATGGATACTCCGTCGCGATGAATTCTCTCGATTTTTTGTCGGTCCACAGCTGTACAAATGATTCCGTCAGTTACACGTGCTCATATCTGCCAATCGGCCAATGGCGGGTCTGTACGAACCTTGTACTCATAGTCGCCGTGCAATTTTATGCAGCTTTGCTGCGCCTCTTTCCAATGGTCCGGAATGGACTCATTGAGATAGGTTTGGTGAATGATCTTAGGGATGAGCTGGGGCCGAGTGTCGATCATGCCCGAATTGGGGGCGGGGATCTCAGACTGATGAATGGCGTCGGCGGAGCCATCTATTATGAGAAGAGCGAGCAGTGATGACACGCTGTGGATGAGAAAGGCGACAATTAAGAGGTTGATCACCAGGAAGATGACAAGGCCCTTGCGCATGATGGGCACAATCGAAACGGCAGCGCAGCTCACAGAAGCGCGCTCTCTGTCTTGACCGGTTTGTTTGTCGAAACAAGTTTTGGAGGGGGGAATTGGGTGGTCAACGGAAAGATATTCGACGCGGCCAATTGGTGACAGGAGGTCGAATGGTAAGAAAGTTGTTGACGTGAGGTGAAAGCGGTTGCGTATTTTCCCAAGAGAGTGCTGCAAAGGAGGGAGCGTCGAGGGAAGCCCTCTAAGATGAAGCTAAGGCCACCGCGCAGCGAACATTAAATGGAAGTAACTTGAAAATGCCCAATTACAAGACTGCGCACACGGGATCAATGTGTACTGGTTCGAAAAAGAAGCAGAAGAAGACGGAGAAGAAAGACGATGGACGTAGAAGGAAGGAATAATTGAACTGAAACGGGGGAAACCAAGAAGGATAAGAGGCAACAGGGGAAGGAGAAAGCAAGTTCGCGAAATTGTGTGGAGTCGAAAGGAGCGATGGCGTGTGGGAAAATGTGGTGAGGGCGGGTCCCATCTGCACCAAAGTTGGCTGTTCCGGTGAAATTATCCAGCTGGAGGGCCCAGCCGACCAAAGGGTCCACGGACTCTCTAAAAGGGGCAAAAAGTGGGCGCAGGTTTTTGGTGGGGAAAAGTTGGAGCATCTCGCTTAACTACATGATAGACACCTTTTCTAGCTATCATCATACATCGAGGCTCAAGGTACTGACAAAGTACTGCACTGCCAGGGACTAGAAAGAGTACACGTCGCCTGGGGGGCTGAGTTCTCCCCGAAAGGCATTGGCGTTCAATTCGTCCCTTCCCGATTGGGTCAATTCAGCGACCAAGTCTGGAGCCACCGAGACCAATCAGATATCCACACCGAGGCACTTATCTACACCATACAGTCACCCAAGTCTCTTTACAGTTGATCCGTGAAATTAACGAACATCTAGGCAACAATGAAATGTCCCAGATCTTTTGCTGTAGCGACATGTTACGTCTGGCAGCAGCCACACCTTAACCAACATCTGCCGTTTTCCATTACTTGTCACTTGCCGTGACACTTGAAAGACCGCGTTTTAAGCGCGTCATCCGCCTCACTGCTACTGGGCCATGGCCCAGTAAAAGTCAGGCTTAGACACAACGAAATTTCCAAGGAAGTCGACGAGGCGATGAGCAAGTTTTTTTTCATCTGTTCGGTGGACGATCCCAAACTTGCAGATGACCTTTTATCTGATGGCTTTGGCTCCAAGGATTATCGACACACTTGAATCCACACACCCCCCTTGTCCGTAGGCGCAATCAACTGAACAGGGTCCTGGAAGGAAAAAGCAAAGTTGTTTATCGACTCTCTTTTTTTTTTCTTTTTTCTTTTCCCGTTGCCCCCTCCCCTCTCCCAACCCATATCCCAGAACCCCTGCCGCCTCTCACGCTTCTATCGTCACAGCGTCAGGAGAGCTAACGCCCCGATTGCATCCTTGCTCTTCCCTTATCGATAAATGAAGACCCATCTTCCTCGTTTGTTTGGGAAAACACTACGAAGAAGAGTCGGGTGACCCTCCATCATTCTCTGTCGCTCCAGACCCTTACTATACTAACATTGTGATAATAACGTGGGATGGGAGCAAGATACGGTGATATATACATTGTATTGTTATTTTCAGAGAAAGATAGAGAGAAGAAAAAAAAACAGGGTCCGCATATCGTCATGCCTCGATGGACCACATTTACCCACCAACCCACCCAGCAGGCCAGCGCTCGATCGTTCGGTCCACAAGGGCCAGGGAGGCGCAGGGACTCGCACTCGGGCACCCGAGACGAGGTTCTCGTTGTTTGACAAGTGGGAAAACTCGTCCTGAAATGGAAAGTACCTCGCGTGAGTTGATTCCCCCGTACGAGGGTAAGTCTCCCTGGTCTCAAATAATGCTCCGAGCATAACTCCGTATACTCTGTGCTACGCCGCATCGCGCAGCGCTCAGCACAATCACAATCACAATCTCAGGGTCCAGATCCCGAGGTTCCCAGCTGTCCCGTCGGACCCAAAGACAGACAGTTTTGACTTTGCTACTGCTTCTGCTCTTGCAGGGCGACACATCTTGTTTTGATAATTTTTCATTCTTTTAAATTATATTTCTATATCTTTTTAATTATTTTAAGACAACTCAAAATGCAATCGATCTAACCAAACCAACCCAAAAGACGTTATCAACCCGCTGTCCCGCCGCGGGAACCAGTCGCTCACCAGTAAGCAGTAATGTAGTAGCAGCGGTATTAGTATTAGTAGTAGCGCCGCAATATGATATGTGTACGAGTACCTGAAACGGTTTACTCCTTAGCTTGTACAGCGTTGACAGCCTGTAGCCTGTACGAGTAGTTTGTAGCATACCTAAATCTAAACAAAATTTCGCCGCGAAAATAATATTCTCCTTTTATTACTCTTACGTATCAGCAAAACATGAGAGGCAGTTGTTTCATCATCTCTTGCCAAGCATTTTCATCAAGACTGTCCCCTGTCCTTTTTTCCCTTGTTCCCTTGTTCCCTTGTTCCTTTTCCCTTGTTCCTTTTCCCTTGTTCCCCAGATTTTTTTATATTTCTATTATTCAATCATTTCTGCCCCAGTACGGAGTCCATGATATTCAATTGTTTCTGCCGCACTACGGAGTACGGAGTACATGATACTCTCGACATCGTCCAACCCAGGTCCGGAGTCCCCTATTTTCACCTTCTCTTATCGCAATCAGAGCACCTCTCTATACCGCCATCTGTCTCGCCGCCGCCAAGGCTGGCGGAGGCTGTGTTGTCTGCTGTGTACGAGTACAGTACAAGCCCGAAACATAAAACATAACCAACCAGGTTAATCTTTTTGCCTCCCTTTTACAGAATTACAGAGCGTACGTCGTGTACAGGGTGTACAGGGTGTACAAATTCAATAAAATTTGATAACTAGATCCTCCTCTATTCCGTCTTATTTCTATTTCTGCGCTTCTGGGTGTAGCCTGGATGTAGCTCTCTCCCTTTGGCAGGGCTCCCACGCGCCCCATGGGTTGCCCCAGAATCAGAATAAAATTTGGGTGTGCGTATGTGTGCGTGTGTGTGGCGTGCTAATGGTTTGATCTCGTGCGCCTTTCGTAAATTATACCATTTCGGGTCGCCATGACCTGAATCTCTCATATCCATCCCGTAACGATGGCCCCTATAGCTACATCCAAGGGGGAAAAATAAAAATAAAATTGAAATGAATCTGATTATTTCCAGCTATTTGTCTCTCGGTAGGATCAACATCTGTATCTCGACAGCGATCAAACGAGATAAATCCCAGCCCACCATAACGATGAAAGCACATTTCATTGCAGCTGATCATATATAAACTTGCCAGCGTATCATGAATTAATATCTATCTACACCCCCCGCTAGATCTACCATTTTAAATAAAGCTAACCCCCTAGAAGAAATGATTGGGGTTTGATATGGAACAAAATTCATTTGGTATTGCTTTCTCGTCAATGGATATCCTATCCCGTACTCTTAAGACCCAGCCTTCTTCTTGTATCTAGCTCACTGCTGAGCGCACTGCACTTTTTGAGGAGCTGGAGCGTGTCTCATAGTATCACGAAGTCTGATTTCCTGGTTTATGGATTGCACTTAGCAAGTTTCCAGGTTTCAAGAATACATTCGACTGCAGGAATAAAATTGATAAACTAAACGGGAAATGCAGCAGACTCACCTCGGGAGAAAAATTCCGGAGCTTGGGCGAGGAAAATATGCTCGCGAATTTTTCAGTCTGATTCATGGATTTATCATAGCCAGTGTATGGCTGTTCGCTAGCCTCAACTCCAAATGCTAGAACTTTGGTAGTTGGCACATTGTCTTCCAAAACTTTCCGATCACCAGATTCACTCAATTCTGGACCTGCTCGAACATATATCTTTAGTGAATGGTTTCTCAATGAATTGACTTAGTATGCATGAAAAAGATCCTCCGCTTTTGTGTCCCTGAGGGAAGGTTTACATGTTGAATAATTCATTCTCTGAACGATCTAGGAAAAATTAAACACGAGCCTACCTACTTGTCGGCGCCGCTCCAAAGGCATTTGGAGGTACAGATTTAGTACCTTGAAAGGGAGACGATGAGCCGCCACCGAAACCGATCCCCGTCCCTGCATTGCTTGAAGAAGAACCTCCAGGATTCGAAGCAAAAGGCTGATTCTGCGCCGTAGAAATTCCACTGCCAAACCCCCCAAACGTATCGGATGGAACCTTGCCGCCAAAAGGACCGCTGTAAAATACGGATTGGTGGTTTCCGCTCGAGCCCCCAAACGGAGAAGGGCTAGGCTTGCTCTGAACATTTACGTTATTTCCCCCCAAGAAAGAAGACGGTGATTTGCCATGAGTCGCACCTCCCGAGGTCTGGGTAGAAGTGTGTTGTGCTCCGTGATCAGTTGATTTGGCCTCAGAGAAAGGAGCTACTCCAGACGAAGGAACAGGGTTTCGCTGAGGTGTCGGATCACTTGGATTAGAGAGCGAGGATGGTCTGTTTCTATCACCGTTGACAGAGTCGTTTTGGTCTCTCTGTTGCAGTGAAGGAGCGCCAAAAGTTGTAGACGCAGACTGATCGTTGTTTTTCCTGAAGCGATGCTCGATTGGTCTCATTTTTCTCTGCTGCTTTCGGAGCGTGTTGAGACCATTCTCAAGAACGGCCTGCTGTTCGAGAAGCTGTTCTCTCCGAGCGCGAATATGTGCTGGTTCCGATGCCAACTTAGCCAGCTCTTCGTTCTCCATCTCAATGATCATTTCGGGATCAAATATGGCATCCATGTCTTTCATCAAGCAATTCTCGACTCCTAGGGTTATCACATTATCGATGAAGACCTCTATAACTGTGTTATAATATGCCTGCATGCAGTCAATCAACTCCACGCAGGCAAAGGTGTCTGTACCGGCAACATTCTTGTTCGTTGTTGGTTGGCCCTCCTTCTCGAGCCGCAACTTTCGTAGGCGCTCCACATGTCTGATGAATCTAGGGCTCTGCGTCATAGCAAATGCCCCAGTGTATGGGCTCCGCAACTCTTTCAGCTTCTCGTCAAGTATTCTGTTCCTTTCATCCACTGCTGGCCCAATCAACTCGTTGAGAATAATATTGCTAGATGACGGCTCAGCAATATAGCCAAGCAGCTCTTCCAAATATTCTCGGGCGGCATCGCATGTCTCAGAGACAAACTCCTCGGATATCTCTTTCCAGTTGATAGAATGCATCCTGAAAAGATCACCAACGAGGTAGGGAGAGAAAAGACCTGGCAGCTCGAGACCCTTATTCTTTTCTAGCAGCATTCGTGTCTCGTTTACGAAATCGGACTTCCACTTGACTGGTGGTGCGTCGACTCCTCGGTCAATGTTGAGCATCTGTGCACCGTTATCTCCGTCAATTATCTGAAAACTGTGTCCCCTTTTGCGCATATCGCTGGCGAATTGCTCTGTTAAAGCTCGAATGCGGGCACGCAGGCGATTGCCAAATTGACCTCTACCTGCGTCGACAACGTCAAAGAATTTGTTCTTGAAATCGTCTCCGAGATAATCGCCCATGATTGCCCCACGGGTAAGCGTCTGGAAACGCTTCGAGAGGTTCATAAGGTAAACTCGCTGTTTGCCCGGCGAATCTCTGCAAGGCCCAATTACCTCCAAAGATCGCCGGCATTCATCAAGCATGTCACGTAGCTGTCCGGTAAGTTCTGGTAATTCCTCTTGGATCTGTTTGTGCAGTATCTCGCTCAGTCGATGTCGTAATGAGCTCACTCCGATTTCGCTCTCCTGAAGAGCTCTCCATGGACTCGTCTCCTTGAAATATCTAGCTTCTTCTTCGTCGCGATCGAAACTGGGATTTGCCCGCTCAAGAAAGCCACCATTTCGAAGCATGTGCCAACCTAGCTCGAGGTGTAATTCCTGATTTTTGACAAGCCTATAAAATTCCTCCTCGCTGGGAGACCCTGGCGCCAGACAGTCAGGCTTTGTGACAATTCCCAGTGTGCGGTCAGCGCGATCATCTTTCTGAACCAAACTGATAACCAACTGGTTATGAAAGTCGTTCTTAGCAGAGACAATAGCGAGTATTATGCTTCGCTCACGCTGCATGTAAGACTCCACTAAATTCCTAGACAGGTCTACGCGGAAGGCCTCCTCTTGTTTGGTGCTCGAGTGAACCAAGCCCGGAAGATCAATCAAAGTCAAGTGGGGCAGATCCGGGCCGGTTATATCAAGCCGCAGAATATCCCGGGACAATGCCCTATCTTCAGCAAGACCCATCAAAGCTTTTGCCTCCGTGATCACCTCAGCGATTTTATCCAGCTTGATTTGGTGCTTTTGGAAAGATTCCAACTTGTTTCTCCGCTCAGGCGTCGAGGTGATTGATGGTATTATTCTTGCAGAAGCTTGCCTCATAGACGAGCGACGGAGTATCAATTCTGTCGTGAAGCGGGTGCAAAATCCATCATTAACTGGAAATCCCACTCCAGATATTGCTTCAAGCACCGAGCTTTTGCCTAAGGCCGTTTAGAACACTTTGCTTTTGAAAGAATTGTTCAGTGATGAGACTTACCGGCGGACTGATCTCCACAGACGACGATCTCCGGAAGAGCAACATAGCGACTCAATCCTTGCTCTCGAAGGCTATCGATCAAGTTGAGTATCTCTTTGTGGGAGTCCTGTAATGCTGCAAGCTTGGGATTTTGGAACACCACTTCGTCGCGCTCCTCTGCAGGGAGTTTTCTATCATGCAATAGACCTTCCAGTTCCCCGTCCAATAGACTTTCATGTTCCGAATCCTCATCTTCGGACCCCTCCTTCTCTTCATCCTCCACATCCTCATCTTCACCTTTCTCATCCTCACCCTCCTCATCTTCTTTATCTTCGTAGTCCTCATCATCATCGTCGTCGTCATCGTGGGCGGTTTCACTTTGATTGACTCCGTTCGCATCGAGCTTTTCGTCATTTTCAGCTGATTTGCCTGAATTGGCAGGGGACTTCTCAGGTGGCGCTGCCATGGTACTTTTGTTATCGAGTTTGAAAAAAGTAAGAATCGATCGTGAAGAAATACTAAGACTTTCCAGTCCGGAAAAAAGAAGAAGAAGAAGAAGAAGAGCTTGAGGCTGCTAAGCTTCCATTATTTAAAAAGCGAATGGGAGTGACCTTTGGTGAAATGAGTATCTAATAATAACAGAACGGCCCACACTCGTCCTTGGTAATAAATGGACATGGCAGTGCGGCCCAGCCGTTCAAGAACTTTAATAGCCCTGTTGCAGGTGGGGGCTGAGTCGAGTATGAGCGCAAGGGTTCTTCGCTCCAGTAGAGATGGAGAGGACAACATTACTGCGTTTCCCAGGGGTGGAAACCGGCTAGAGAGTCTTGCAATTTGCCCAAGCCACAAAGCAACCATGGTACGATATATTGGACACCCATTTGCTGTGGATACAAATAGATGAAGCTTCATTGCCTATTCGTGTCAGAACTAGATAGCTTGGCAATGCCCACTGGCTGTTGTTGCCAGCTAGGACATCGGCGCTTAGTAGCAAAGACAGGGTACCGATTGAATGCACATGAGATAGCTATCTCGATGAACTGTATCCACAGTGCCAGGGGGTTCCATAGATTCGGAAATTGAACACCAAGGCAGATCAGCGTCGCCCTGATCCATTAGTCATTGATCGATCATTGTTACGAGAAGAACTTCAAGAGAGATGGGAAAGCAAATGATAAAGCCGGGGATGAGTGAAGATAGAGTCCGTACTGCACCAGCAGAAACATTATTACTTGAATTTGCGGATATAAGTTATCCTGGCTAGATGGAAGAGTACAAAAGAATTTTCCTAGGAGCCGTAGTCCGTAATACCTAGCTCTTTGATAGACCCTGAACCTGGAGCTTTGACTTAACATTTAGCGCGAACTGCACCGATGTTAGTGGGGCGCGCTCTACGGAACGAGGGAACCGCTCCGGTAGTCCGCGCTCCTCACCTTCCTACTCCGATAATATCTCAACCAGCCAACGGATTTACACCAAATAGTGGCGCTGGATCAAGGGCTATTAGTAAGTTAAATTAACTCGTGCTTACGTCTAGTACAGATTATCTTAAAGGCAAAACCGGGATCAATTGAGCCTCATACTCTATACCGTGCGCTCGATACCGTCTTAGCACTCCGATCAAAAGGTGGCCCCGTTGGGCCCTCTAGTAGAGAGCACAGACAGCTGGAAAGGATAACTAAGCTCCTTAGCCAATCGGGCGCCACTCCCATTTCCAAAGCCTAAAGCATCGTAAACATGGGAAGAACGGGTCACTGCGATAACATGCTAGCAAGAATACAGAGATACAAGAATCATTATAGACTAATTGTAAAACCTTTAAGAAAAATAATGCACGTTTTGCACTTTGAACCGCGAGATGAGGGAACAAGTACGTTGAAAGTCCACATCATTTTGGAGGTACGATTCCCGCAAGGGCAACAATATCATTGCGATTCGACAATCCGCAACAGATATTTTCTACGGCGTTCGGAAGACAAGTATTTTTGATGGAACAGACTAGGCCAGCAGAAGACGAAATCAAGACACGTTTAACTTTTAAATGAAATATGATTCGAAGTATTATGTTACAGATTCCCACAACATATTCAAAAGAACCTCCTTTAACATCTCGCCTTCTTCCTGCCTTCAATAAAAGGAAGGAAATAAATACACCGTGTCTCATTAACAATTCCTTCTCCTTGCCCTGTGCAGAAACAGCATCTATGAATATTTGTACGCCGGTTTAATGCGGTAACAGAAGGAATGCATGTACAATTGTAATCCTCAAGAAAAAAAAAAGGGAAGAATCAAACTTAAATCGATGTAAATGATGGCAGGCAAACCAAGCCAAGCGCCTATTCATAATGATCAAAGTGACCGAGTGCGTGCTGCTTATTCCGACGCCCTTTGATGCCAGTGCCAGTCGTGAGATGCATGTTTCCATACCAGCGAAAATATGCTTGCTAGGGACAGAAGTCCTGGTATATCGCATGGAAACCAGTCTCAAATGTAAGATTAAAAAAATGGTAAAAGAAGGAGAGCGAGAGGGAAAGGAGGAGTAGAAAAGAAGAGATGGATGAAGTAGCTGCCAGTCAACCTCTTTTTCGGGGAGCTGAATAAATCGTAGACATTGTTTGTAAGATCATCCAAAGTCTGGAAAGCCGCGAAAACATGTAACGGCTGCGGAATCGATGTAGCTTATTCAAGACTACACATGCAAATCCTTGCTGCTGGGACTAACATCCTCAGAGTGATTTGAAAGGTCCAAGCCAAACTTTTCGTTCATTGCCTCACCTAGGCTGACCTCCTTTTCAGCAGTAGGCGTACTGTCGAGGCGCACGGTGTTTAGTAATCCAGAGATGCTCGTGGAAGTGATGGGGCGATCATTTTCGACGCCCATGCTGTCCATCATCGGTGCTGGGAGACCATTATCCAAGCAATAATTTCGAAGCAGAAAATGCTCAAGCCGTTTCGTCTGACGCTCCCATTTATCATTCATTAATTTGACGGCGGCAATGACATCTTGCTCGGTATATGTGACATGGGGCGGAGACTGCGATTTCGATGCTTTTGAGCTGACAGCAGCAAGGGTACGGCGAACCGAGCTCTTGGAGGTATTTACAGACGACTCCACTCGAATAGCTTGGATTTCTCGCTCAACCATCTGCAATGACTCCGCTCGATCGCGCGCCATGTCTGGCAATATCTGAACAGAATAGTTTTTAGAAAGGCCATTGACAAGCCCGGTAAGCCCTTGAAGATTAATATCGTTATGTTCGCAATATATTTCCCTCAGAGTGGAGTTGTGCTCCAAGACTGAAGCTAAGGTGTTCGCTCCCTGGAGACCGAGCCGTTGGTCTAGAAAACGTTAATATAAAAATTCGGGCATAATGTGAAATGAATATAGGGCTTACATTCGATGTGCAAGACTTTCAAGGCGGAATTTTTGCTGAGACCGGTCAATGCGTGATTGAGCCCAATACCAAATTTCGCGACCTCCAAATGAGCATGTTCTCCAGAAATATCAAGTTCTTCAAGCGTTTGATTCTCGGCAAACATTAACTGTAAAGCCTCACATGTTTCATGGTTCGCATCGTATGGTAAAGAGGCCTTGGATATATCAAGGTATTTCAGCGTCGTATTCTGCCTCAGCGCTTGCACCAGACCCCTGAAATGATCCTCTCGTTGGTACTCAACCATTTTCATGGTCAAATGAGAAGGTGTGAGACCCTCGGCCACGGCCCTGGCCAAATCATCATGGCCCTTCTCTAGCCGGTTTTCGCTCACGTGCAAATGAAGATTCCGTGCTGTGCCGGGATTTCTGGTCATTGCGCGCATAAATGCCGCGACATCTGTTCCCGTGAGACCACATTGATTGAGACATACTTCGCGCAGCGTATCTGACTTCGGACTTTTGAGATAAGCGCATATAGATGCCACTGTCTGCTCGTTGATTGCGGTTTCGCTCAGCTGCAGCGATTCCAGCCTCCATGTCAGGAGCGTTTCAGTCGCAATAAGCGGTTCCGGGCCAGAAGTCCTTTGGACACGAGAGAGGTTTATCCTTCTGATAAATGCAAAATGTCCAATCTGCCCTTGAAAGGTCGCGGGAGACAACCGTGCCAGATTGCCAGATAGGTCAATGGACTCCATCGTGTTATCTTGCGACAGCATAGCATTCAGGATAAGCTGCATGCTGCGATCCGTAAGACCACAGCGGCTGACTTCGAGAGCGCGGAAATGGCAACCCTTCTCCACAGCCGCATCGACCAAATAATCTAGGTCTGATTCGCCCAATTCAATACCGCTCAGAACGATCCAGTCCACATTTGTTAGCTGCTTCCTGCAAAGCGGAAACAACGCTTCAGCTATGCCGCAACCCGGATCGCGCGGTCCCGCCTCACTATCATGGGGCTTCCTGGTGATGGTTGAGCTAAAATCTAGCCGTCTGAGTCGTTTACTCTTAAGAGCCAGTCCCTGAATTTCCTGCACTAGCATTGAGGAATTTTCCGCCGTCTTTAAATCAATCGGCGTACCAGAACGCGTAGTCCAAGCCACTTGTTCCGTTCCATTATAGTCTCGCAGTCCATGTAAAACATCAAGGCTAATGCCTCGGAATGAAATTGATCGGAATGATTCGTTAAATCGAAGGGATCGCATTATTGCGAGAAGTTCAAGAGCTAGGTACTTTGACCTCCGAGGGTTCGCTGGCGGCAACAATTCGAAGCAAGGTGCATCTTCCACATCATATGCGATAGTGTACCGAACATTGGATGTGTCCAGATCATAAGCAGCGCAGTATGCAGTTAGAGTGCGATCAAAGCACTTGTGATCCTCGTCATCCTCATTCACTGGCAAAACCTCGTCCTCGACTTCATAAGGCGCCGAGAGATTGATAGGTTGTTGGAGCCATTGCGGCCGGAGATACTGCGTAGCTTGGCACAGCCACAGAGCAATCTCAGCAGAGCACGAAGAAGCCAGATGGAGGCGATTTTCTCGGCAAAACGGAATCCTAAATGACAGCTCGAATGCATCATCCGCTGTTTTGATGTTGATGGAAGTGAGCGCTAAAATGCCAAAGGAGCTCTGAAAATTCAATTCTGCCAAGGAGCTGCTCGAAATACGGTGCGAGAGACGCGGGAGCGGGATGAGGTGGACTTTGTGTACACCAATGATCAGATAGCAGATTATCGAAGTCAATTTTGAAACGTCATCGGACGAGGAGCGCCCGGATGACTTTGTTGAGGCGCGCTGCACGACTTTGAAAATCCTAAAATGAGCCGGGTCATAGTCACGCTCTTGTTCGAGCACACGCGCTGCGTACTCGACCGATTTTTGAGAAAAGGACCGAGGGCTGCCCAGACGAGCTTTCAAAGCGGCTGCTCGGAGCGAAGAAAGCCATAAATCTGCCTCTCGAGGATCATTGAGCAACAAGATCATTGAGGAAGCCTGATTGGTCTCTTCATCCAGGTGGGCCAACTCTAGCGAAAAGTAAGGCCGCCCGTCATCCAGCTTGTATACGGCAATCACTTGGGAAAGTGGAATGCCCATGTTGCCCTCTGCAGACGAGTGCGAATTCAAGGATTGTAGGTCTTGCACTGAGCCTCCCGATGGTATTGACCCATGCCGTCCATTCAGAGTGTTGCTGCGCCCTAGCGAGGAAGGAATGCTATAATTAAAAGTCAGTACTAGAAAGAAAAGGCGGCATCTGAATAGACTCACGTGGGGAAGACATCTGCGGCTCTTCCTTGGCTCTTGAATCGCACGAGGTAGCGATCGGTGAGCACAAGGTATTCTTTGCGCTTGCGAAAGACTCCACCAGTTGTGTGTACTTCGCCATGATGAAGGACTACTTGTCCAGCCACATGCAATTGTCCATCGATCTCGTCATCTCCCAACGAAGATTTGCTCGTAGTCTTATCCAACGCGACGTCGTCCTCCTCGGTCGAATGCACCGAGCGGAGTGAACCGAATATAGATGTAGGTCGGCCATTTCTGATCAATGTTCGTGGACGGGATTTTGGAGAAACCGGGGCATCTCCTGCTTCCTTGAGCTCCTTTAGCCAACCTTTGTCGAGTTCTGGGCTTGATGAAGATGCGAAAAAAGAAGTTGGTCGGCGCTTCTTCTTTAAGGCAATCGGCTCGGTGGGATTCTCATCTGAGATGGGTGTCAGCCCCGTGAAGGACGGGCGCACAAAGAATCCGGCGCTTTTCCTCCGTCGGCGATCGGAAGTATCTGTGGGCTTGGACATGATGCGTGCACAGGGCAATCGTCAAGGAATTGCTTCCACGCAAGGGGTTGCCAAGATTGAGCGCCTATGCCAATTACTGCAGAGGCGCTCTAGGCCTCTCTGGTGCAGCAAATTAATAAAGGTGAGAGTAAATATTGTTCAAATGACAGCACACAAAGATTCCGGGATAAATTATCCCATAGGCTCAAGGCCGATGAAGAGAAGTTCCGCTCTATGAGGGGTATCTAGTGGGGTTTTCCGGAAGTCGCTGAAATGGGCAGAATCGGGGCCACAATGGGCCCATCGCCGACAGGGCCGGCGGGAGCAGGATCAGTGTTGAAGGAGCCTTCGCTCTCTGCAGTGCGGAGATGCCGAAGGAAGAATCAGTTATTGAGTGAATTGACGGGCGACGTATCCCAAAAGAATAGGTCGTCGCCCCGAGTGATTGAGATGTTTCGCCTCAGGATGGTTTTGGGCTTGAAGCACTGTTGTGTAATATATCAAGTGGTTAGGTAAGTCTGGGGCTTAACAATGGCAGTTGTCGTCGGAAGCGGAAGCACGAAAGCAACAACTGTGCGCGGCAGTTCCCCAAGCTAGGTAGCTGCCTCAGTAGGTAGGTCGGGACGCCTTGGCAGGTACTGTGCGACAATGCGGCACTTATGGGAGGTCGCTTTAGGAAACGTCGTTAAGTTAACTTGCAGGATGGATTTCCTGGTTATCGTAGTGGGCGCCTCAGCTTAGTTGCTGTTGCTATAATAATGACGGTGTCGATTAGGCCTGCGTTAAACCTAAGTGGTCAGGACCAGAAAGGGGAAACGAAAGGGCGCTTTCCAAGTTCCGTGGTTGGGTAAAGGGGAAAAGACACGAGGTGGGAAAGGTGGGCTCCACTTCTGTTGATGTTCGCGGGATGCCTATTTTCTCCTTCTCCCTTTACACTTTTCAGGTACAAGTGAGGAGCGTTGCAGGTAAGGATCAGTGCCAGAACACGCGTTTGAAACTGCCATCCACCCACTAAGCACATGATATGACAATGGTCCGATAAAAAGCTGTGAATATTCGGCGAATTTACTGCGTGACACTTTGCCTTTATATGGAGAAATTCCCTTGTGTCACCGCCTTCATCTCTCCGCGATTCGATCAAGGACTTGGAGGTAAAGATGGATTAATTATCATACACGATAATTCCACGGTTTAAGCATGGGAGTGGAACTCTACATGTGATCCTTACAGATACCCTTGCCAAACCGTTTCACGTTACCTTTGTCTGTTGTTCATTATCATGATTTATCAAAAGCGAGTTCATATATCTTCCACAGTGCTTGCTGAGAATGACGTCCTCTTGCCTTTTGATTCCTCCTGATAGAGATGCTAGCGATGGAATTTATTGCAAGCATGAAACCAACGTTGGGTTTCGAATTCCACACTGACTTTGGAGTTGCCCAGGCTGGGAAATGATTGCTAGCAATTACACGGCACCAAAGCGGGGCAACCAGGTTCTTCTTCTAGCACTACCGCATGCTGTCTGAAAGCTTAAGGGGAATACTCGCTTCATAGAGTTTTTTGTGCCTGGCGATCTTCCACGCGATGGGCAATGTCGTATGACGCAGAAATGTCAGAGAACAAAAAAGAAGGTACATCAATTTCATCCACCAGTCGCCATCATCTGCCCACAATTGAACGAGAAATGACCGTGCGCAGGTGGAGGGAAGCATCGGCTATAGACGAAACACCGGTGGCTGCGTCTGTCCGGAACGGGAATCTACCGAGGTAAGCTCTAAGTTACGTCACACCTTGGAGACGAAACCTCGCCGCAATTGCGCAGGGACCGTCCATTTCGAGCCCAAGACGGTGAAACCACAACAACGCTTGATATCGAAGGACGACAACCATCCATCAAAAACCGCCATGGACCGGCTTCGTCCCGATGCCATATGGTTAAGTCATACGAGCCTATTCTCTTCAATTTGAACATGGGACAAGTTTCTGTAGAATAGTACGAGCGAAGTCGTAGCGGACAATTGTAGCTAGCGCAAACCAAGAAGGACCTAATCATGATCCTTCCATTCTCTTTGACATGCCTGCCTTATGCTTTTCATGACCATGTATTAAATTAAACGTCGGATGCAATTATCCACGCCAGGTTGATGAAGCACAAGTGCTACGAGTCGTTGCGTTTCCGTGCATTAATGATGCTCGCGACCAAGACTAGGCTCTCCACCGTAAGGATTTCTGATCCAGCAGTCGCTGGGGCAGATACCGTTACTGGAGAACATGCCTAATCTCTTCATCAAGAAGATCTTGCTGCTTCCTCCAAATCCGCCCTTTCTCACTAAGCTCTTTGATGCGTCGCATGAAAAAGTTGGCTGCCTCATTACTATCGTCCGATTGCATTTCCAGTTTGCTTCGTCGCCGCGTTTGACATGCCCCGTAAAGGCTCCACGACCGTGAAGCCGTTGGAATCTCAGCCAGATCGTACTCCACTGACCACCGGTCCTCTGGCCCAAGGTTCTCTGGCCGCAAGACATATTGGCCGTTGACTTTGTTGCGAATGGTCAATGTCATGGCGAGAAGCTCCCGCTCTTCCTCGGCAACTTCTTGCTGTTCCCGCGAAAGTTCATCCAAAAAGTGAATATCCGCCTTGCGATCCAACTCCTGCACTGATCCTTGTCCTTCTTTCGGTTGGCCCGCCTCATCAGGTTTCTGCGTGGAAATATTCTGCGCAGCCGAGGATTCCTGCTCAGCCTGGCTAGCAAGATTTTCGTGAGCAGCTGCGACAGATATCGAGGCGCCTATGTCAGGTGTTTGCTCCGGTGATGGTTCTTTGTCCTCCGTCGAAGAGGTTGCTTGAGGGCTTTCATCTCGAGGCCATTCACTTTGCTCCATTTCTGAGTCATTTCCTTCTAGAGATTGAGGTATATCCGAAGATAACTCATCATTTTCGACTTCCGCTTCGACTTTGGCTTGGATATCTTCCCAGCCACCCTTGTTTGCTTTGTATTGTTCGCCTTGACCGGCACCGGAGACACCTTCCTTCTTCAAACCGAGAACGCTTCTTTCAAACTCTTCAATCTCCTTCTTATTGGTAGACTGGATCTGCTCAATCTGCTCCTCCGCAACTGGCTCTGCAAAAATATACATGAACGGAGTTTGGGCATCGCGCATTTCAAAATGCATTCGCAAAGACTGCCAGAAATTTTAGTTGGTGTACTGTTCTAGCGCCGAGATTGATAGTTGTCTTACCTTTCCAGGAAACTTCTGCGTGGCTCGGTCCAGCACTTGGTTGAGCAGATTGATACTAATTTTGAATTCTTGGTCGCCAAGACAAGTGTCCCATTGGCCATGCAACGCCGCGTCCATCTCAGATAGAGGCACATATTGAAAGCCAAAAATTCGCTGCGTATTGTGGAATGCGACAAAAATGCCATCCATTCGACCCATACGTACTTGCAACGAGTACTTCAAGAACGCGGACCGAATCATATCGAAGTATTCTCGTTCGTACGACTCCCATTCGCCGTGGCGACCCCGGATTTGATATCCAGTTCCGCTTTCATAGTTCTTTGAATCCATACGGATAGATACAACCGCCCTTGTTTTTAGGTCAAACATACCTGTCCCGGGCAAGCGTGGGTCATGCGCATCAAGTTGCGAGCGCATGAGGAAGTCGCCCATGGTGCTGTAGTGAAAAGCTTCTGGAGCATTACGCTCTTCTTCTGAAATTTCGGCGGAATTTGTTATTCTATACCGCTCGTACTCTTCTTTGGGGAGCGTGAGTAATTTCTCCATGGATTTACCAAGCATGCTTAAGATATTAGCACTGTCGAACTCCTTGTCCGCATCGATTGCGTAAATCCCGTCCTTGTGTCGTAAGAAGATTGCAGATGGGCTTCGTTGGAGCATCGTGAATGACCTAAGCTTATCCGAGAACCCCTGCGACAAGATATTCGCGTTGATGGGCCTCCAATTTGAAAGTAAGAAATGAAAATGCGCCAGTGCACCAGTCATGCTCGATGACGACCCAATATATTTCTTTTGACTCTCCTGGGCAATTTCCTTAAGCGCTTCATCCTTGGAAGAAGTGACATATTCCGTTAACGCGTTGAAGTCGAATTCCGCTACAGGCATTATCGTTTTGAGATATGGGTCGAAGTTGAAGACTCGAGATCTCGGATCTTGAAGTTGGTAAACTCCAGGGCTGTCCATCGTCAGCACTATACTTCTCAACACAGATCAGATTCACAATACTTACTTGAATAGGACCCTTTCCAGACCATGAGCCACGCCTGGAACAGGAGGTTGTTCAACCTCAACAGCTACTCCGTGTTAGTGTACGGTTTTTGGTTCTGCTTTTTATGTTCGCTACCTACGCTCAATGTGAAGATTGGATGCTTCGATCGACTGGATCCGCTTCGGAACAGCGCCCTTCTTGCTGCTTCTCTTTAATTTTCCTACAAGCGCGTTTTCAAGAGAATCATGCCCTTCCATTTCCGATATGAGCTTGTCTTTTGCAGCTTTAGCACTCGTAGCCCCAGTAGCGACCGAACTTGCAATGGTAGCTCGCGATTTCTGTTCAGAAGCTGGTTGCTCTTCAGCTTTACTCGATGTGCCCTTTCGCGGTGATTCCTTTGACACCTGTGTAGACCGAGTGGGTCGGCGGCGGATGCTAAGCTTTTGTTCGCCATTCTTTCGTCGTCCTGCAGCCCCCTTAATTGACTATGTATGAACATTAGCAACCACGAAAAGCGCCCGATCGTATTTTGCAGATTTGGAGGATATATTCTTACTCTGGTGCGTTTGAATCCCTGCTTTCTAGGCGGAGTGTGGCCGACCTCGACCACGTCCCCGTTCAGAGTTACATCTTCACCTTCTTTCGTTTGCGTCTTTAGAAGACCTTTCAGAGTTGAGAGCAATTCTTCTCTGCCATTGCCTCCTAGATCCGCTCCTTCAGGCGTGCGCTTCTTGTAGGAGGATGGCGAACTGGAAGCGTGTTCATCTGCAGTTTCTGATAGACCCTCATTGCCCTCCTTGTGCTTTGAATCTCCATCATGCTTACTCCTCCTTTTTGTTTTGTGCACTTTTGTCGTATCTTCGGCGTCCTTGCTTTCCCCAACCGCCGAGGCTACAGTACTCTGAAAGCGCGAAAGATTCGCGGATCGATTTAAAGGCGCATATCGGCAAGAAGGACAGATATATCCGTGACCGCGGCTTGCAATCCCTCGAAACGATTGACGAAACATTTGTTTGCGGCGCTGGTGGGTGAGTGTGAGGTCGTAGAAACTAATTTTCCTCTTTTGTTCGAGCTACCGAAGGCAAAAACATATGAACGATGTCTAGTATAGGCGCAATTCTTGATCTTACCGTTAGGGGGGTGTTAAGGCCACATCCCATGGGGAATTTCCCGTCGTCCCAGAGGTAGTTCGCTCGGCTATAGCTTCTACATTCACTACAGAGTACAGCGCGTATGGCTGCTATGGCGCGGACTTCATTATTACGGACACGCCTATTACTGCCTTTTACTCCGTATTCGGGGCGAGGATGAGAATTGAATTAAAGTGGACATGCAAGGTACCTCGACTGGGACGCCGTTTCTTTCGGCCAACTGAGTGGATCCGCACGATAGTCGCCCCGTTGGCCTCCCAAGATTCGAACTCACAGCTGCAGGGTCATGCATGATGCCAAGCAAATGAACGGAAAGCCGTCCCTAAGCTTATTCGTGGGTTCTATAAAGTTGAAGGTGAAATGAACGCATCTGTTAACCGGAGTACAGCCAGGAAGACAATTCCGTATGAGCAAGCAAGCTGCTGCATTCTTCTGTAACACGTTGGACGCATCACGCAAAGAAGAGTCCAGCCTCGATCATGGAACTCGCCAAATTTATGCACTTTCTTTTGATCAATAATGCGCCTTTTTTCACCGGCAAAGGACCGGATGGGTAGTTCCTAAAACGGTCGCAACAACATCTTCTGCGTGAGTCTCGGACTTCAGAGCTTGCACATGAGAATTCGACCGAGCTGGTTTGGAGAAAGAATTTATTCCGACATGTATCATCCAAAGCACAGTGGAGTATACGAGTACATGGAGGAGGCAAGCCATGGGAGCACTTGAAATCAGGATCAAAGACCAGAGTCGAGATCCGCGCACAGAGACATCTCGGAAAGAGGTTTTGAATGCATCAGCAAGAAGAGCACCAATGATAGCTCAGGGTTCAGGGGCGTGTATAAGTGCCTTCTGAAGGATGGTGGGTAAAACAGTGTTACAAGTGATGTTCATCCATGGTCGATCACAAGCTAATCTCTCTACCACGTTGTCCAAGCTTTGCGTCATCTGCAATCACAAAAGTTGCCATTGACGTATTTTTGCTACACTCGAGCAATAAACAATGGGACTTCGCGAAGCGCTGAGAAAGGGATGATCAAGTGTTCGATGTGATATGAGATACTCTTGTTGGGCAGCGTGAGGGTGTTGAACGATAAGAATATTTGGAAAGCTTGTGAGTACTGAGGTATCAGAACCAACTAGCGAAAAGAGCCAATAAACTTGTTGCCATTTCAATGTGGGTGGGAAGATTTTGGCCTGATCTTTTCTGCAGCGAAAATTTTAGCCAAAGAGGGGAGGAAGAAGAGGAAGAAAAAGAAGAAAAGGGAGAGGGGCAGCCAACGGAAGACCCATAGCGGTGGGATCTGAGGTCTACAGTACCTTTGGCAGTATAGGATCAGACACGTAAGTAAAAGTATCTAGTACTATCAGAAACAGGGCCCATCGCTGGCTAGACCAGGGCGACAGGGAAGAAACTTGACGACGCTACTCCAGATGCATCCTCGGCTGGTTCCGCCACCCGCAGCTGAGAGACCTTTTTCCTTCTCAATGCTTTTCCCTCAAATCCCTTATTCTACCTTCTCTCATCTTTCCACAGGATTTATTCCTATATTCACTTTGAACCCCTCAATACCGACTGTTCGGTGAGGTTAAATTGATTTGATCTTATTCGTGACCGAATTCGTGGTTTATCCACTACGACTTCTCTGTTCGATATAAGACCAGCGGTCGCTCATCGTTTCGCGTTGAAGCCGACCGCTTCAGTTGAAATTCTATCCTCTGATAGAGGCACAATCTCGTCCACTCAAATACGCGCCAGCGCAGGCCTTTAATTCACGCTCTTCTCCGTCTACTGGCCTTTCCTTTCGATCGGCAAGACGTGAAACCAGCACATATTCGCTACTCAACCTTTATCCGTTTCCATTTACATCCCTCAAGTTGGCGGGCTCCGGTCTTCACCAGTTCTCTTTCATCCGTCCCCTCCTAGGCCCAAAGACCTGGGTCTACGGAGGAAAGAAGCCCCCATAACTGGCCTTTAAGAGCCTCCAACCGATTGATAACACCTTATTTTGACGAACAGAACAGCAACTCATTTTCTACCCGCCTCTTCTCCCCGGTGGTAGAAAATTAAGGGAGACACTGGAAAGCCCTTCCTTCAAGACTGCCTTCGGAGGCCGAGTGTAGGGATCAGCATCCCTACGCCGTGCCCAGCTATCAAGTTGGGGTCGTTCACGCGGTGAGCGCTCGTTGGCGGCTCACCTTGCAACTTTCAGCTGCACAGCTGCATAGGGAAACAATAAAACAGAGAAGAGACAATTATCAAGTCTTCGCAAAGCATAAAGCGCAAAGCTTCAAACATTTCGCCTTAGAATATCGTCATCACAATGGAGTCCCCACGATCTGAGAGGTCTCAGACCAGATTCAGCACGCCGGTCTCGGACCTGGATGACCACCGCCGCCAGCCGTCATCACTACCCCGAGCGGAGGCCAATGCTGCGCATACACGACGCCCAACCTTTTTGAGCGTCTCCGGAGAGCGACCAGATCTTCTTGATCTCATTAACGAAGAGCAGCGGCAAAAATTGGCTACAGCAAACCAAAACAATGAACAGGCGGTAACGGACGGTGATAGCATGAGTGTAGTAGGATCGGTTCGCGACTTCCAAGCTCTAACCGGCAGACGGCCTTCTGCTGCACACCAGACCCCACGGCATAAAGGAGGTCGACGAACTCAAAACCCCGAGGGCCCCCGATCCCGATCATCCTCGCAGAGCTCACGATCGACGTCTCCCCCGAACTCCGTCGACGCTTTTGCAGACCCTCGTCGACGTGAACGAGCCAATACTCTTGAAAGCAAAGTTGCATCTGAGCTAGATCTTTGCTTGAATCGGACGGTATCCAATGGCACTCACAGGCGCTTAACGGTCTTCTCGGACGGGAGCGCCGGGCGACCTGAGATCCAGGATGACATTTCAAAGTGCACCTCTGTGGGTTCGGTGGAGGAAGATGTCTGTTTCCCCCAGCCCGAGGAGCCAACAAAGACCAGCCCCATTGACTTTGAGGAGTTGGAGGAGTTTGTTGCTGAACTCGCACGAGCTAAAGCTCTGCGGCCTGATTTCCAATGGCGCAAACAGAGTTTCATGGATCCCAACCGGAGAGGGAAAGTTTTCAATGGTCTTGGCCAAGGGGCCTCCTTGACTGATATCCCAAATCTCGACTCCAGCGAAACCAAGGAGACCGCTGTTGGCCGTGTCTCTAGCGAAGATACTTCTGGCATTGACGAAAAGGAAGAGGCGGTGAGGCAGACAAAGGAGCTCGAAGCAGAACACAATCGATTTAGCTTCTTCTCTTCCGAACTTGACTCTACTGTTCACGCGGCTGAGCTAGGAGATCTCGTGCTTCCGGGAGAATCGTTCCGTGATCTTTTCGAGCTTGATCCTGAGGGCGGTGTCTGGTGGCTTGACGTCCTTAACCCTTCTGAAGACGAGGTAAACGCTATCTCTAGGGCGTTTTCTATCCACCCTCTTACCTCTGAGGATATCAAGACCCAGGAAACCCGTGAAAAGGTGGAGCTTTTCAAGCAGTACTATTTTGTTTGCTTCCGCTCCTTCTTTCAGATGGACAAGAAGAGCGAGGAATACATGGAACCACTCAACGTTTACATTGTCGTTTTCAGAGAGGGCGTCTTGAGCTTTACCTTTTCCTCGAGTCCACATGCTGCAAATGTTCGGAAGCGTATCGGCAGGCTACGGGACTACGTGTCCCTGAGCAGCGATTGGATTTGCTACGCATTAATGTGAGTTTTCGAAATAAAAGATGTCTCCTGAATTTTCTACCCCTTTTCTTGTCGTTGACTAACGGTGTGATACAGCGACGACATTGTCGACAACTTCGGCCCGGTTATTCATGACATTGAAAGAGAGACTGATCAGATCGAGGATTCCGTCTTCGTGGCTCGCACGGACGACTTTAGGATTTTGCTTCAGCAAATTGGCGAATGTCGCAAGAAGGTCATGAGTTTGATGCGACTTCTTGGCGGTAAAGCCGATGTCATCAAGGGCTTCGCCAAGCGATGCAACGAGCAGTATTCGATCACACCGCGTGGAGAGATTGGTCTCTATCTTGGTGACATTCAAGATCACGTTGTGACAATGATGTCCAACTTGGGTCATTTCGAGAAGATGCTCTCGCGCTCACACTCAAACTACCTTGCTCAGCTCAGTGTCGACAGCATCGCGCAGGGCAACCGTGCCAACGAGGTCCTCAGCAAGATCACCCTCATCGCTACCATTCTCGTTCCTCTCAACTTCATCTGCGGTTTGTTTGGAATGAATGTGCCCGTACCTGGCGAAAAACAAGACACTCTTGGGCCCTTTTTTGGTATCATCGGTTTCATTCTAATAGTAGTGTCGATCAGCCTATTCTTTGCCAAGCGATACCGCTATATTTGACTGCATGGCGGATCTCGACGCCTGTTTCTCATCAGGCCCAAATCAGCCGCCGCCCCTGAGATTAGGACTACCGTTTCGGACGCCTGGGTTTCGCTGCAAAAATCGCCTCTTCCCGCACTTGCGCTCTGTTTTGTACTAATTGGAAGCGTCTCGCCGCTTTGTTCGTGCCGGACACGACCGCTTGTCGATTTCTCAACTCAGCATGCTAGACCATATATTCCTCTCAACAGTGGATGAACTCAACCTAATCGTCTTAATCGCTCCGGCATTTTCATGCTTTCTTTTTGTATTCCTTTTTCCCTTTTTGCTCTCTTTATGTAATTAACTTAACGTAATGCTCTCTCCATCGCCCTCTATCCTTTTCTTTTGTCAGTGTTTCATCATCTTTAGAATACTTGAATTCAAAATGTAGAGTCCTCTTTTGTTTCGGCTTTGTCACTGTCATAGATTGAGATGTCATTGTTATACATTGTATATTAACTATCTGCATCTCCTTTTGACGCTGCAAATACTTGGGTTAAGAGTTCATTTCATTGACCGTGTGGATATGTGGTTGGAAGGTGTGAGGGACTACCCCATCCATCCTCATCAATGGTGACTCTATATATACATATAATCCGTTTGTGGCCGGCAAAAAAAAGATTTCCTTTCTCTTTGCCTCTTTTTTAATTTTTTTTTTCTTTCTATAGAGGTGAGAAATAATCTCCAAATAAACAATTTCCAAGGAAATAATTCAGAGGAAAACTTTTTCGTTATTTTATTTATTTTATTTTTATTTCTGCATAAGCCTCTCTAAAGTCATTTATGCAAACTGATCCGTAACGCCGCTTATACCCTTTTCATGCCCCTCACGAAGGTTTCCAAAAAGAAAAAACAAGGGGGAAAAAAATTTGCCAACTGAGGCCTGGTATAGATGAATCTATGCTGCATTTTGTTGCTCTCAATGAAGAAGTCGTTGTATCCGTGACAGGTATGTAAGGATATGTAAGATAAACGGTCGACCGTTTCTTCTGACATTTGGCCCATTTTGGGCATAATAAGCAGGGAAAGAAATAAAATAAAGGTAAAATTAAAAAAAAAAAAAAGATAAAAAAAAAAAAAAAGAAAAAAAAAAAAAAAAAAAAAAAAAAAAAAAAAAAAAAAGAAAAGAAATAAGACGAAAGGGAGATAAAAGGAAAGGAAAGGAAGGGAAAAGTATAAAGGGAAAAGTATAAAGGGAAAAGTATAAAGGGAAAAGGCATAGAAAGGAATCAAGACAAAAACTCTACAGTGGCGCTGCCCTTGACAGCCAGCCCGCCGTCTTTATTCTCGGCCCAGAGCTCATACCGGCCGGGCTTCGAATGTGATTCACGTCCGCAGAGTCGTAGTTCCTCGTCGCAGTACAGCGGAGAGACATTGCGGTATTGTATATCTGTAATCGCGTATTTCTGTTTCGACGTTGAAACTACCGACGACGACGACGACGCAAGATGGCGCTCGAGCAAGGTAGTCAGCAATACCAGCGTGAGAGGTCCATGGACGAGCATGTTGCGATGGCCCTCGACTGCACGCGTGTAGCTCCGCGAGAGATGGATGGCGTGCGCATTGAACGTGAGTGCGCTGAAGCGGAAGAGCAATGATGCTGTAGGACGTAGTGTATGCGTGAAAGTGGGTTTATTTGGCGCTGTTGTTTGTTCTATGGTGAGCCATGGGATATAGAAAGGGAGTAGATTAAAAGTGATCAAGTAAATGTCAGGTAACATGAGTGAAGTGCTCATAACGTACCTCGAATAATCTTGCCCGGCGCGTCAGCCGCGGCGGCTGCTTCGTCGGCGCTCTGCGCGCGCATGAATACCAGATTCCGCCGCTCAACGATGCTGGCGTCTCCCATCTCCGCCTCGTCTGCGGGCCACAGGCGCGAGCGGATGGCCGATTCGGGCTCGTGCTCTGGCTCTCCGCAGCGAGCAATTCGTCGTTCGATCCCCACGAGGACTTTTTCTGCCCCGGGTTGGCCTTTGATGGTCACATCGCGGATACCTTCGAGGCACACAGCGCGGTGCCCGTCGAGGAGAAGCGGCGTGTTGTTGCTGTGGCTGCTGCCAGGGGCGTGTGATGAATGGCCGTGATTGAAGCGGACGTGTCCTCCTGTCCATAACCGACGAACAAAGGGCTCTCCGGGAAAATGCAGCGTATCTGTGCCGTCTGGAAGAAGTTGCGAAGCTGGTACTTGAGGGGGGAAATATATGAGATGGTGCGCGGGAGGGAGGTTCAATGGTTTGGCAATTGATGGAAGGACAGGGGCGTTGTGTACGTATGACGGCTCGGAAAGTCCTGGTTGAGTTGAAGATGGGAAGAAATCGGCCAGAGACACGTTCAGAAGATGAGAGGGTTGAGGAGTAAGGTAGTCGTACATCAATGGAAGAATGCGTGCCGGCATTTCAGTCAGGAGGTGAGAAAAGTCATCAGACGGCACAGCCGGTGAAGCATTGGTGCTAAGGTATGTCTTGGAACCTGTTGCTGATTTCATGCATTGCTGTGTCGTGCCATGGCTATTGAAAGCTAATTTTTGGAATAATGGCTGACCTCGACGAAGGGCAGTCAGTGCCATCTTGCAAGACACTGTTTGGTACTGCTCCGCGCCTTCGAGCCAGTTGTCCGTTTTATAACATTGATGGCTTTTTGAGGTTTGATGCTTTGCGCTTGATATATACTGAATATACAATGGCCTCTTGTTTCCGAGTCCTCGTGTATCGTATGCATTGGCTCACGTTGATACTCTGAAGCTCAGTTGAAGTTTGTCTGGGGTCTCTCGGGGAATCATCGGGAAGGATTTCTTATCGATAAGGGAAGAAAATACTGATGGGCCAGGGGGCGTGAAACGCAGTCGCCCCTCTTAAAGTGGATGGTCAGCCCCGCTGATGCGTATGAAACTCGAGATAACGCTTTGGAAAGACGGATAAAACTGCTTTGAATTGGCTCACAAAACATATATGGTATAATATACTACATGATAAATCAATCTGAAGTCACCTTTGCTGCTTTCCAACTTCCTAGCCACCTCCATGTCTTGGCCACCTTTCCTAGAGCTTCCAGCGCGCTATTAACCCGCCCACTGGGGTCTGATAATCTGCTTCCTTCAAATTCTAAAAAGAAGACGTAATTCCAGGGAGTAAGCCTGCTGGGTCGCGAGTTTATCCCCGTAAGGTTCAGATCATGTTCTCTAAAGACCATCAATGCATCTGTCAGGCTGCCTGGCACACCGTCTTCAATGGTAAATGTCACCATAGTTTTGTAGTTCGCTCGTCGCTCACGAGAATCGACTTCATCGGCTGCGACAGGCTCTGCTGTTTCTTCACCCTTCCGGATGACTAAAAAGCGCGTAGTATTATCTTCGCGATCCTCAATGCCTCGAGCAAGTGTATCCAGACCATGGATCTCAGCGGCAACCTTGCTTGCAATTGCCGCGCTGCTGTTGGTCTTATCCTGCGCCACCAATTCAGCTGCCTTGGATGTTGATGAAACCTCTTGCCGCTCCACCCGATTGAGATATCGGGAGAGGAAGGCTTCGCATTGTCCAAAAGCTTGTGGGTGTGAATATAGTCTTCGAATATGGCTCAGAGAAGCCAATGGCTTAGTAACTGGTTTTCCATGTGCCGCTTGTCGTTCGTTGGACCGCGGACCATTCGTAGGCGTAGCATCACCAGATCCGCCGGGCGACGCATCAGAGGATACCCCTGTAGATGCAAATCCGAGCAGGTTGTGATGAACATTTAAATAAGTTTCACCGCATATATGAATGTCGCGGTACGTCCGTTCGCGATCGGCGAAAAGGTCCAGGCTGAAGACGACGGATCCATTTGTGCTGTTCTCGAACGGAACCACCCCGAGGCTCGCTGAGCCGCTTTGGACACCCGTGAAAATATCTATTGATGTCAACTGAGAGTCTTACCGGGGCGAGGGGAAAATTGATACAAGGAGGCTTTGGTGAATTGGAGAAGAGGAGCGAACGAGTAGTTGAAGAACTAACCTTGGATGGTACCCTGGGCTTCAAAGATGTAATCGTGACGATTAAAATATTCGAGGGCTGCCTGATGCGAATAGGATGAGCTTGGCCCGAGATAGGCCAATGCCTGCCTTTGATGCATTTTTGAATTGTCAAGGCTGCTGTATCGGCGCCCGAGAACGAGGTTGGACGAAAGCTGCTAAATTATTTCCGCAGTTTACTGAAATTTGACGGGGTTCGGTTTCGGAGAGCTCCCAAGGAAACACCTAATGTTGCTCGCATCATCACACCGAATGATCGTTATAAATACAACATTATACAACATTACCAGCTCACTTTCTACTTTAAATATCCTGACCAAAATACAATTACGCGCTCTTAAATTAAAAAAAATTATGCTAACAAAATTATTGGTTGAACTAGATTCTCCGAATACCTATTCCCGTATATTAAAATGTCAAATAAAGGGCGCGCTATGCACTCCATCACTTAGATCTATTCCTTTATTAGCACCGAAATATGCAGCTACTGGAGCTGCGACACGTTGATTGGATATTGAATGAATAATGTGCAAATCAGAAGACGACGTTGACTCGATATGGAGACATGTTCACCGGAACGAAATACGAGATGTGGGAAACGAAAGGATGCATTGACTATCTCATTCTGACACTTGCGACTCAAAGGAGTCGACAGCGAACATTTCGAAGACAAGAGAGATCCATCGACCCAACTACACTAGTTCCACGAAAATAAACAATTTGAAGTCAGACTCCTCCGCCCTCCACCATGACATCGTCGCGGATTGAAATACGACATTTCAAGTCTAGGGCGCGGCTTGTCTGCGGAAGATACGATTAGACTCAACCAACATCATCTGGATGGGGCAAACGGATGCTAACGAACCTGACTTGGAACTCATATCTTACTTCCAACGTCCCCAGACGGGGCGGCACTGGAGACCTCCCGTCGCCGGTTCACTTGTCATCCCCAGCAGCGTCCTGTGGACGCGGTTCGCGAGGTGCCGTCCGACCATCCCTAAGGGGGGATTCGGGAATGCCGCCTCGCTCATTGCGAGGTTACGAAACCGTCAATCTAAAAAATATTGTCAACTTTTGATCAACGTTTTCACAAAACATAAAGCGTGCGGAAAACAACACTCACCATCGTAAAATTCATCTTCGTCATCTTCGTAATCATCAACAAGCTGGTCAAAGTTGAGCTTGTAACGCAGAATGGCGCCGACACCACCAAAGCCCTTGACGAACTGGTTACCCTCACTGGATCGGTCCGAAACGAACTCAAGATTGGCACCAAAGTCACGGTAGTGTTCGGCAAGCCACTCGACAAAGGAGCCTTGGTCGACCACTTCCATTTCCTGGCCAGTTTCCTTGTCCATGAACATCTCGCGGTTGGCATCCTGGTCCTTGGCGGTGTGGAGAACAACTTCAGCGCCAGCGGATGACTTGAGCACCCAGCGGACGATTTCCATATTCTCGTAGACAATGACGACTTCGGCCGCACCAGCATCCATTGCCTTGAGGGTATCCTCGATACCATAACAGACAAGACCGCTATCCCTGCTAATCTCATCAAAGTATCTGCCAATGAGTTTCTTCTCCTGGATGAACTTGACGTTGCCAAGGGTCTCAGATGCCAGTTCAATGGCTTGGTTGAAACCGTTTTCGCCACCATAGGAAACATCAACGACCTTGATGACCTTGCTCTGGAGGCGGTTGTCAAACAAGTCCGACTGGTTCAAATCGTTCTTGAAGTCGGCTGAGCCAGCGAGAATCAAGCCAGCCACATTGACCTTGTTGTCGGAGATGAAGTTTTGCACAGCAAGTTCGGCAACCTTTCGAACATAGTTGTGGCGCTTTTCCTCTCGGAGACGGGAGAAACGCAAGGCTGATTGACCACCACGGCCGTGCTTCTTGGGCAAATCGACAGAGAACTTTTGGATAATGTCTCGAGTGTTACCACTAAGGGTTCCAAACAGAGTACCATTACCGTCCATGATGATGAAACCGAACCGCTGGTCAGACTCGAGCAGCTCGCTCAAGGCTTCCGTATGGAACTTGTTGTCACAAAGGTACAAGGAGGTGTTGATTGGCTTGAAAGGCTCAAAGTCAATGTTAATCTTTCGTTCCTTGCCCTCGGAAGTGATGATTTCACCACAGTAGATGACCAAGCCGTTCGGAGGCACCTTGGAGTAGAGCTTGAGACGCTGCTGGGTGGAGGTAATGGCTGACAGGACAGACAATCGATTGACGCGGGATTTGATGTTCGACGCCGTACCCTTTTCCAAAGGTTAGTGATATGTCTCCATTTGTAGAAGCGCAGCGCATGCAACATACGAATTCTTCAGCCAACATTTTGGCAGCACGCGAGACCTGATCCTTGGGCGCTGAAAAGGTTTTTGCACGTTAGCTTTTCTCATCGCTTCACGGTGCAGAGTTTGTCAATGGTCAACTTACGAATGATGAGCGAAATCATGGACGTTCCATTTCCACGAGCGGCTTCAAGACGCTTGATCAGCTTCTTGACCTTCCAGATCTCAATGTTCTTCTCCGCGTCGTTTGGCTGCGGGGCACTCATGATGGGCAACGATTCGGTGAAAAAATCGCCCAAATACAATACAAGGCCCAACTAGCGAGACTGTCTTCGTGGCGGGAAAGTCGACCACGGCAAAAGCAGACAGCGCACGAGTGGGGAGGGGGAGAGGGGGAGAGGAAAAGATTGAGGTTGAAAGGAGGGGGAAGAGGACGACGTTTAGTAGAAAGGACCGCCGACAGTTTTAGTTACGAGAGTTGACCGGCAACTCTTTCTGTCGTGGCGAGTTTCCACCTGGGTAGTCAGGGTTCGTTTTCCGAAACGGAAGGGGGATATTCTTTTGGCAGGCGGTGACTGCAGTGGCCGGTACGTACTGCACACAGTACAAAAGGTGAAATTTTGTTCGTCGGCGGCCTGGCGTGGGTACCTGACGACGGAGATGAGTAGTGCGACTGCTGTGACGCTGTTTGGATGGAGAATTTCTACTTTGGTCTACTTCAACCGAGTCATCGAGCATCGTGTGGGGCAATTTATGGTTAAGACCCAAAGATGACGTCCTTTTACGGTTAAAGGAATCTACACTACAAGTTACTGCTCCCTTCTTGACGAGTCATTATTCGAGTTTGGCCGTCTGGAAGGAAAGCTGGAGTGGTTAATGCAAAGCCCACAGATGCATATGGTCTACTCTGTATTATGTAACTACTCCATAGATTTCAATGCTTTCAAGAAGTAATGCAACGTGTGAACGACTTATGCACCGTGGTAGTTCAGCTATTGAAATCCATTGATTCATATTGATTTTGTATATCATTTCCTCTAACAGGACATCACGCTGGACATTTTCTTTGCCTTCTTTTCCGAAATACTTTCTCGTGTTCATTGTCCCCAAGATTTAACATCAATGTCTTCTGATTGGTTCATTTACCGATCCTCACGCGCCTCTTCTCTGCGCGGTCCGTTTTCAGCCACTCGAAATCAACAGCCACACACCCTCGAGGAGCAGAAGAAAATGCATGCTGACTAATATTGCCGGAGGATCATTTTCCAATCACGTGAGTGAACTGGGGATCGTGATTAGATAAAAGAGTTCCGTAATGAAAAAGACCTTCAGGCCCTGAATGATGTCCAAGTCACAGAGTAGTAATGTACGAAGAAAGACCAAGAATTGGTCTTTGCTATTTGAAAAAGACAATATTGCTTGATTTGACTTATCCAAATGTGCAATACTGAAAGAGCAGGATATGAGGAATATGAATTAAAAGATGCTGAACCTTACCTCTGTACCGGTTGGCACTGATATGCAGTCGGCAATTTATGTATGACAGTAGTCTCAATTTATGCCGAGCAAAATAACCGGGATTGAACGCATGTACATTGATCCCTGCACGCCCGCCTTTCGATATCAGAATCAAAAACTCCAAATTTCGTGGGAGATTGTGTCTCAATGGGGGTGGAAGCGGTGCTAGACATGCAAAACATGTTTCCGCGTTCATGAGAACATATACTCTACCAGGCAAAGAGAAGCTTGGGATGGTATGAGGTAGCGTTGCCGCGGAGCAAAGAACTTGTTTGGTTCTAATCGGCTCGTGCCCGCGACCGTCCTAGGTCGCCGTGGTCGCCGGCGCCAGTTCTCGCTCGTCCTTATCGCATCGATGGGTCCAGTCGCCTGTCACTTTACCAGATTGAGCAAGAGAGCAGGCGGAAACTCGACCAGGAAGAACATGCAAGATGTTTGGAGTTGCATCCCAGTATTTTTTGGACAGACGCCCAACCTTTTTTTATTAGACTGCTCCGCCCGTTGTCTCCTCTCCTCACGATAGCCTCTTGAGAGAAGAAGAAGCAGAAAGGTCATCCCTTTTAACGCTGCTAGGCTGAAACTTTTATCAATTGAATTTGATCCTCTGTTATCATTGGCGCCGCTACGGTCCGCGCCCTCGTTTTTCAACTTCCGTAACAGAGACAATTCGACAGTCTTGGATGAAATCTTCTTCTTTTTCTTCCTCCCTCTGTGATCGCATTCCTCTTCATTGATTTTCATCCACGATCAATCTCTGTGGTGTCACTCTTGTCGCGGTCCGATTGATATTATAAACACCCGCGCTGGGAGCCCGGCGGCCTTCATCATGTCTGACTCTCGACCGAGAATCCCCTCCGAATGGACCGACGCTCGCCAACCAGTGCCTCATGAACCCGGTTCTTATGGCTCAACCGTCCACTTCAATGACGCCGAACACTCAGACTCTAGACGGGGCTCGGCCGGCGGTTTGGGTCATCGAAGGTTAGTGATCTCTATTCGATCCCACAGAGCTTTCTCCTTTATTATTGTGCAGACCTTGAAAGGTTACTAAATTGGCTTTGCTCGTAAGGTCTTCTATGTCCATGCGCATCAATTCAATTCGACAGGCTGGTGGCGTCAACAGTATCGACAATTTTGCGCGCTCATGGCAGCGCGCGGCGGGCTTCTTCGAGATTGCCCCGGTACGCAGGTCATTTGCCAGTTATGAAGATGAAGACGAGATAAGTCGCTCTCGCCGGGACGAAGAGGCTTCGCCTGTCTCCCAAAGGTCATTGATTCGAGAACAATTAGAACGTGAAGGCCGGCCATATGATTCGGAAGTGGGGGAAATGATCGATGACGGTTATAGCGAGGCCGCGGGCCCTGCAGACCATCCTTCAGCAAAGAAAACAATGCCTTCTGCAGACTTGTTCCCTCATATCGGCTCTCCATTTGCAGGCAGCTATGGTACCAGCTACGGAACCCTTGGGTCTCGCGCCAACGAAGCTTCCATGCGGCATGCGGCTCAGCTGTGGAGAGAACAACAAGAAACAGGGAGACAAGGATTTGACAAAGAGAGGGAGCCTTTGCTAGTTAAAGCTGTCGAGCAAGAGGACGGAAAAGTTGTCAACGTGGTCGTTGGGCAGTCCACGTTACCGCAGACCGTCTTCAACTCCGTCAATGTGCTGATTGGTGTTGGCATTCTCAGCCTGCCACTTGGAATCCAGTATGCTGGGTGGTTGATTGGCATGGGATTCCTCTTATTTTCTGCCGTCACCACGTCTTATACCGCTCGACTTTTAGCTAAATGTCTCGATGTTGATGGGTCCCTTGTTACGTTCGCTGACCTCGCATATGTATCATTTGGGCCGCGCGCACGAATTGCCACCAGTATCTTATTCAGCATAGAGCTTGTTGGGGCATGTGTTGCTCTAGTGATTCTCTTCGCTGACAGTCTGAACGCTCTCATCCCTGGATGGGATTTATTAACATGGAAAATCATATGTGGCTTGGTTCTCACACCTCTTGGATTCGTTCCCCTGCGATTCCTAAGCTTCACCAGCGTTTTGGGTATTTTATGCACCTTCGGAAGTTAGTTGCCCCTTGTGTCCGAAAAAAAGTTGACTATGTACTAATGTGATGATAATAGTCGTCTTGATGGTTTTCGTCGATGGTTTTATCAAGCCTCACACTCCGGGTTCCTTGAGAGAGCCAGCTGCGACGTATTTGTTCCCACAGAAGTGGTCCACTTTGCCAATGAGCTTTGGCCTATTGATGGGCAAGTCACAAATGTTTTCCGAAGCCTCGTTGATAATTATCTAATATCTTGTTGTAGCGCCTTGGGGCGGTCACAGCGTTTTCCCTAATATTTACAAGGATATGAGACACCCGCACAAATACAACAGAGGTGTGAAAACCACCTTCATCTTTACCGTATGTTAACACAGCACTCCTCCTGGTTTATTCTGATTGCTAATATACATTTACCGTATCAGTATCTCCTTGATCTGAGTATGGCTGTGGCTGGTCTTCTCATGTTTGGCGACCTCGTTCTTGATGAGGTCACGTCGAATATTCTTATGACCAAAGGATATCCCCAGGCGCTCTCTATCTGCATCGTCCTTTGCATTGCGATTATTCCTATCACAAAAGCACCTCTTAAGTATGTGGAGAAGTTCCCGAGTTATGCCAAGTTTGAAGACTAATGTTGCTTGAAAGCTCTCGGCCAATTGTCAGCACCATCGAAATACTCGCCGGTCTCGACGCTCGTGCCATGGCTTCCTCCTCGGGTCTTGCCGGAATGTCCGGTTTTGCTCGAGGTTCCCTTAAAGTCGCGATTCGCTTGCTCGTGACGATTTTGTACGTCATTATCGCGATCGTATGCCCGTCTTTCGATCGTGTAATGGCCTTGATGGGCAATGCGGCGTGCTTCACCGTATGCATAATCCTGCCCTGTTCATTTTATTTGAAAATATTTGGTGCCGAGATTAGCCTCAAGGAAAGGATCTTGAACTGGTTTCTGATTATCAGTTGCTCGATCTTGGCGACTATCGGAACCGTCTGGGCGTTTTTGCCGAACTCTGCGATTGATAACATGTAAAGGCATCTGGATTTGACGACTTGATGACTTCTGTACAAATTTGCGAAGAGAAGCATTTCAGCGATGTGTTCTGCATAGTCGGTTTGGCAGTTCTTCCTTTCTTTCTACCCTCGCTCTAGAGAATAGCGGAATCTTAATGTAATTAAAATTCGTCATGATAATAGTAGAAGGTTTTCCACAAGCCCTTGTGAGCTAGGGATGTCTGCCAGGAAAGACTGGGGACCCTGAGGTATTGGAGAAAATGAAGCATCTCTAGGAAGACTCGATTGGGTCATCTCAGAACAATAGCAAAATTGTTTTTTGAGGCGCCACCAGCCACTTCGACCTTTTTGAAAGTGTCATCATTCTTTGTGGCATCATGATCGTAAGTCCATAAATAGTACGCCAGCTTTGGTGATATTTTCTTTTTAATCATGGTGTAGCCAAGAGCTCCCATAACGTCGGACAATTTTGATTCGTTCAGGTATCGTGAATTCGTGACGCAGGGTGCAGGGACGACTAGAAAGAGACATGGAAAGGGTGCAGATGAATCAGCTGATTTTGATGAAGGTCGCAGAAATTGGCACGTTCGACGGAGCATATCACCTCTTCCAGCGGCTTCAGGCACGTAATTGAGCACTAGAGAAAGGGAAATAATATCGAACATCTCATTCTCGTTTCTGGGTAGCGGACGCTTCATAAAATCTTGCTGAAGAATTTCCGCACTCTGAGAATGGAGATCGATGCGAGTAACGTCAAATAGAGATGATCGAGAGCAGGCATTATTGGCTGAAAGTGCGCCAACCTCAAGAAGTCGCATTTTTTGCTTGTCATGAACGGTGACATTAGGAAAATCCAGCGTCCGAAGCCATTCCATCAAAAGTCGAGACGTATCACCGCCACGTTCTGATGACTGTCCTTTGATGCTAGCTTGTTGGTAGCTCTCAAGTCCCCCGTGGCTGTCAATTTCGAGTTGGAGCGATTTAGCCTTAGCATGGTCACCGCGGGCCTTTGCCTGTGCGAGAGCTTTATGCAGCTGGTGATGAGATCGAATGAGAGTACGAGTTGCTTTTGACGACAGCGATGCGGCAGGCTTTTGGAATTGAGGCGGCCGGCCATGGGATATGGCAGTCGGCCTATGATGACCCTTTCGTTTTACACCCATATTAAAATTGCGCCTGCGGCCAATGGCTTCGGACTGCGCAATAGAATAATTCGTATCTCAGCTTCAGACTGCCAAACATAACAAATCCTGTAAGCATATGATTATGGTCGGATATCCTCGCTTAAAGTCAGTATAGTCTACGGTACTTTTGTCGCCGTACCAGCCGGTCTTGTTTCGCTGAGAAAAAGACGCTAATCCTAACTTGGCTTCTTAGCGAGCTGGGGCTTCGAAACCCTCATCCGCACTTTGGACAAGCGAACTTTTGAAGATTCAACCCTCGACGACGACGACGACCGACGTATCAGCGGATATCAGCAGCAATGGCGCCTCAGACGGACAACAAGAAAGGTAAATATTTCATTTTACTTTGAGAGATTATATTCTGGATGGGAGGTTTTCGGTGGTGGGTTATGCGCGAAGGACCGATTTCGTTGCACACCGTGGAGTGGAGGAATTTTCGAAGCATTGAAAATTGCGACTACTATACTATCAATGAGTTTTGGGAAAGGAAACCGACAATCTTTGCGACAATGAAGGCGACAGCGACATATTTTTTCGAATGCTCCATTTACGGTCTCGATATTCTCGAATAATGATGGATAGCAAGGAGATTGGGGTCAAAAGCAGTCATGTTATACGGTTGGATCAGGAGGCTAACATTCATGTCTCTACCAGGCTCCAAGCCTAGCAAGCCCTCCGCGAAGGCCAGCGCGGCCGCCAAGGCTACGCTCCGCGGCGTAAGTTCCATCTTTTCCAACGCCGAAAACGTCGGCAAGCAGAAGGGAGAACTGTTTTGCTGAGAAACGTGGTTTTGCAGGTCAACTCCCACAAAGTCCGCAAGGTCCGCCTCTCGACGACCTTCCACCAGCCCAAGACTCTCCAGTTGTCCCGCTCCCCCAAGTACCCCCGGAAGTCGATCCCCTCCGAGCCCCGTCTCGACCACCACAAGGTCATCGTCCACCCTCTCAACACCGAGAGTGCGATGAAGAAGATTGAGGAGAACAACACCCTCGTCTTCATCGTCGACGTTAAGTCGAACAAGAGACAGATCAAGGATGCTCTTAAGAAGCTCTACGACGTCGACACCATCAAGATCAACACCCTTGTCCGGTACGTTTTATAATTCTCTCCGGAAGACGGCGGCTCTTCGAGAAAAGATGACTGGGATCAGACTAGCTAATGATTTCACTATAGCCCTGACGGCTCCAAGAAGGCCTACGCTCGGTTAACCCCCGACGTTGACGCTCTCGATATTGCCGCCACCAAGCTCGCCATCGTATAAACGGGTTGAATTTTGATGGTTGCGTGTTGATGGGCTGCTGGCGTGGGATAATAGGGATATGCCATGCATTTTCTTTAGTACCTGGCAATCTACTGCATAAAAAAATTCGCGTTCACATGGCTTCATACTTCGTCGTGGCAGATTGATCTCGTGATGCTGCATAAGTGTAGGCGTATGGTCGCCGATCTATGATCCCTGTATCTTTTATGGCCCATATTGGCTTGTTGAGCTATTACTGCAAAAGTCGTGACTTGAGCGCTATATTTCTATTATATCCGGCCTACATGCCTCCGATCTCTCCTCCCCAACAAACGTTCCCCGTCTCCCTAGAAACTAGACTTGTCACTCATTATAGGCATAATTCTGGCCAAATTCCTCAGCCATAGGAAACCCCAAAATCTTAGCATATCAGCGGGTAAGATACATTAGACGACGATGTTAGAGATACTTCTTCCCCAACTGTCCTCCATTGCAATTCGACGTATTTTATATAATACAGTTCTATATCCAGCTTTTTCTACCAAAAACATACCATATGAGAGAGGAGACATGTGAAGAGTTGAAAATGAAAAGAAGAAGAAATATTTGAGCAGAGTACAAGGAAACAAAAGTCGCAGAAGATAAAAAATATACGAAAATGAGGAAATATTGTACAAGATGCTCATGGCCAACTTTTCTCACCAACCAGTCAGCCACTCAGCCACTCAGCCAGTCGATCCACCAGGAGATGCATATCCAGGATAAGCTCAGACGTTCAAATTGTCAAGATCTCCTCCAGTATCACGACCCATTCGTTTTTAAAAACTTTTCCTAGTCATCGCTCCTGTCTTTCCTGTGTTCCTGTGTCTCCGTCTGCCGGCTGGCAACAAAACTGAATTCTCATTCTCCACGGCATCATGAATAATTCAACCGCCTGGTCCCTCCCCATATCCGTCGAAGAGTATTTATACATCCTCACGAGAAAGTACTCCAGACAGGGGCACAAGTAGCATCGAGTTTTCTCTTCAGGGGATCTAAGCAGTCGTGCGCATCGTCTCGAGGTGCTTCAGCACAGTCATGTTGGCGTCCATGAACCGGTCGACGCAGTTCTGGACACACGTCTCCTCGGTGCGGTCGAGCTTGCCGCCGGCAATCTTGCCCGTGATGCATTTCGTCCAGCAAATGTCGGTCAGCGAGTGGACGGCTGTCGGACAGTGTTAGCTATCGTGTACTGCCTATTACACCTGCGTATGTACAACTATTCCTCTTCTTTCTTTCTTTTTTGCTGTCTTTCAGGCTGGAGAGTGATTCAATACAAGGCTCCTACATTCCAATGCTTCGACGCTGCGACACTGACACTTTGACATTTACGCTTCAATGAATCTCGCATCTCGCATCTCGCATCTCGCATCTCGCATCGAGCGTCAAGAGTCAAGCGTCAAGCTCAAGCATCAATGCGTACAGGAAAACACAATCAGGACAAAAGATAAAAAGAGGGAAGAGACACAAAGAAAGCGTCGGAGTCGTTGGCCTGTACAAATACCGAGAAACCAAGAAACCAAGAAACCGAGACTTCTACTCGATGATACAGAAAATATGGAGTAAGGGCAGAAAAACAAAGACCCGAGAAAAGCAGAAGATGGAGAAGAGGGGACAAAAAGAGAGGACATACACTGCTGAATGCGCGCCTTCTGGGACTCGTTCGCGACAAAAGCTTGCAGTTCCTGCTTTTCGCGGTCGGACAGCTTGGAGATGTCGGCGGCGGAGACTGCGGAGGCGTCCATTCTGAAAGAAGCCTTTTTGTGCGGAGATTCGAATTGGTTGGAAATGGAGAATGGAAAATGGAGAATCGGATAGGCGTTTCTGATTGAAATGCTCAAAAGCTTCTTCTTTTGATGTCAGGTCCGAGGATTTGGGTGCTCGGTGGTGTCGGGTCAAATCCAAAGAGTTTGCATTGTTTGCGCGGGAACTTGGAAATCTTCGGGGGCGGAAAATATGTCCGAAGTTTAGCCGACCTGGCTGTCCAGAGAGTTCTGAGAAAGACAGTAACTACGTAACTTACCCTTCGTACATTACAATTGATACCGAACACACATAAGATCTTAGACCCTTGGCATAATTAACAGTTTTGAATGAGTATTAGGACGAGGCGATAATTTTTAAACACTTGTAGAAATGTATTTCGAGATATAAATACTTAAGAGTAAACAAGGAGTAAACAAGAAAATAAAAAGTGTATCAATTAATTGCGCCAAAAATGAGAGAAAGATGGGCTTTTATATATATAAATATAAATATAAGGAAGGGGAAAAATGATGCCAAATCTCGTAAAATCTAACGTCTATGCATCCCACTTGTCCATGTTCGTAACAACGCAACCCTCGCCGGTACGCTTGACGAGCTTGCCGACTTGGAAGACCTTCTCACCGGCAGCCTCGAGAATCTTCTTGGTCTCGTCGGCCTTCTCCTTGGAAACAACAATGACCATGCCGAGACCGGTGTTGAAGGCGCGGCCGAATTCGGGGCCGGTCACGTTGCCGGCCTTCTTGAGCCATGTCAACACGGCGGGAAGCGTCCACGACGAGGCGTCAACTTCGGCCGTGAGGTTGTCGGGCAGCATACGGGGAATGTTCTCAAAGAGACCACCGCCGGTGATGTGGGCCATACCCTTCACCAAATCTTGCTTGATGACCTGGAGAAGAGGCTTGACGTAGATACGGGTAGGCGTCAGGAGGGAGAGTCCGACGGTGGTGGTCTCATCCCAGGGTGCTTTCGACTCATAGGAGAGGCCGTTGCGCTCGATAATCTTTCGAACCAGGGAGAAGCCGTTTGAGTGAACGCCGTTGGAACCAAGTCCGAGAAGTACATCGCCTTCCTCCATGCTGGCAGTGTTGGGCAGAATACGATCCTTCTGGACAGCTCCGACAGCTGCACCGACCGCATCGTATTCGGATCCAGAGTAGAGGCCTGGCATCTCAGCGGTCTCGCCGCCGACGAGAGCACAGTTGGCCTGTCGGCAGCCCTCGGCAACACCTTCGACAAACGAGGCGGCACTGCCGACATCCAGTTTGCTGCAAGAATAGCAGTCAAGGAAGAAGAGCGCCTCGGCACCCTGGACGACGAGGTCGTTGACGTTCATGGCAACAAGGTCGATACCGACGGTATCTTGCTTGCCAATGGCCTGAGCAACCTTGAGCTTCGTTCCGACACCGTCAATTGCTCCAATTAGGACGGGAATCTTGCTGTAGCCGGCGCGTTCCAGGTCGAAAGTTCCACCGAAGCCACCAATCTCAGCATCAGCCCCAGTTCGCTTGGTTGAACGAACTGCTGACTTAATTCTGTGAACCAAGTCGTTACCGGCATCAATCGAAACGCCGGCTGAAGCGTAGGTCATCGCCTCCTTGGGGGCCTTAACTCCAAATGCTCTGCCTAGCGCATTAGTCCTCACCCCTTTTGCCATAATCTATTCAAGTGAGGGCCATACCGGTGAGCAATGTCCTTTCTGTAGAACATCTTGTCAAAGTGAATGGTAGCAACACCATCGTAAGCCCGCTTGACGGCCTCTTCAAGAGTCTCGGCCGTAGCGGATGCCGCAATCACACGTCCACCAGAAGTCCGCAGCTTGCCATCCTTGATTGTCGTACCAGCATGGAAGATTTCGATACCTAGAAATTTCATGTAAGCATGTGGAATGCGCTTGGAACATGTGTTCTTGTGCATAGCTAACCTTCCGGACGCTCGTCAAGTGTCATTTCGGTGCCCTTTGCGTACGAGCCTGGGTATCCACCAGCGGAAACGACAACGGTGGCCGCAAATTTGGGCTCAACCTTGAGCTCGACCGCATCGAGCCAGCGCTCCGTGCATGCAACCATGACTTCGGCCAAGTCGGTGTCAGCACTGATGAGAGGGAGGAGCGTCTGCGTTTCCGGGTCGCCAAATCGAGTGTTGTACTCAAGGACCTTGGGGCCGTTCTTGGTCATCATCAATCCAGTGAAGAGGACACCGCAGAAGGGGAAAGCTACGACTATTAGCATCACAATGTAGAGTCAAAAAGGAGACCCAATGGTTGTTACCCACCCTCCTGTCTCATTCCCTTGATTGTTGGCTCCAGAATTGTTCTGTGAATCTCCTCAATAACCTGCTCTGAAGCAATTCGGGTCGGTGCGTAGCAACCCATGCCGCCAGTGTTGGGTCCTTGATCGCCGTCGAAAATTCTCTTATGGTCCTGTGCAGGAGGCAAGGATCGAAGCGTGTAGCCGTCGCTGAAGGTCAAGATACTCAATTCATCTCCGTCGAGGTACTCCTCGATGACAACCTCATCACCAGCATTTCCAAATTCGTGGTTCAACATAATTTCCTTGAGAGCAGCCTGGGCTTCTTCTTTGGTTTTGGGGATGATCACACCCTTTCCACCAGCCAGCCCATCGGCCTTGATAACGACATCGTGCTTGATACTGTCGATGTATTCTTTGGCGGCATTGTAGTCGCTGAAGTTGCGGAACTCGGCCGTCGGAATCTGGTGCCGGGCCATGAAATCCTTTGAGAAGGTCTTCGATCCTTCCATGCGCGCGGCTGCCTTGGAGGGACCAAAGCAGCGAATACCCGCTATATCAAAAATCTTAGCATTGAACCTTTTTCACACGAGATCCCAATCATTGGACGCGTACCAGCGCGGAAGTAGCCCTCAATGCCAGCGACAAGAGGTGCCTCGGGACCGGGGACGACCAAGTTGATCCCATGCTTCTTGGCCAGCACGACAAGCGCTGGGAAGTCATCGGCGCTCACATCATCAATGTTGGCAACCTTGGGAATGGCACTGCCAGTTCCACCATTTCCGGGGACGACGTAGATTGAATCGACCAGGGAAGATTGGGACAACTTCCAGGCTAAGGCGTGTTCTCTCCCGCCGTTTCCGACGAGGAGAATCCGTAGCCTTTCTTGAATCAAAGGCATTGTAATCAAAGAAGTCCCCAAAATTGCTGTTTCGTATTTAGCAATGGTAAGGGCAGGAACTGCGCATTTGCTGAACGTAATGCGAGCGGACGTTGCGGGGGTCTTGGCGATTTTTGGAAAATTTCTGGTGGGGTCCAATTTTGCCGGTGCACCCTGCAATCGTTTCCCGCCTAGGCGAAGGCGGTCTGCAGGGACAACTCAACTCTCGCATCATCACCGTCTCCATCCCCGGAAATCACCCAGGCAATTGTTTTCAATGCCAACAATTTGACGAATATTTACATAATATTAACATATTTCTATAAAATATCTACGTCGACTGCATCTCATCGGGTCAAAAGACGTCCACCGAATCTAGTATCACCATCTTATGTCTACATTGTAGACCTGCCCAGCACTAGGCTAGGGGAATGCTTTTTGTCCAAGCTCATCGATAGGCGCACCAATCTCACAAAATCATAGGTATATACTCCGAAATCTACTCCCTCCCAAAATTTTAATAAGCTCGTAACATCGTTGCGGAAATGGTCATTCAAACTTTTCGTTTCCTCCGTGGCTTTTCTAGTGAACTCGGCCTCCAAGAAGGCGCCCTGCCCTGTCCCTATTAAAGGTTTACCAGGCAAATGCTTCCTCGAAGAAGTCCACCCTGGCGGCTGTGAGCATCTGCGCCTCACAAGCAGCGCTACGCGTAACATCCGCGATGCGTCCGGGGCCACAGATAAAGATAGCCATATTATCCCTGGCATCTGTGGCGTCTTCACGGACGATTTCAGGGATATTCGGCTGCTCACCAACAACCTGTCGCACAGTCATTGCAGGGTGCTCATTGACGTTTGCCACGGGAACAGGTGTTTCGGCGTTGCCCTGGGTATGGAAAAGCTCGACCGTAATGGTTACCCCCGCGTCTGCGGCTGCAAGCCGGCACATCAGAGGATAAAGCTGGGTCTCAAACACCTCCCTCAGGAGACCTGATTGACGAGCAGCCCAGACAATGTGCAAGTACTTCGGCACAGGGCATTTGATGCCCTTGGTTTCGGCGCGGTTCGCTAGACTTAACATACTGGATGTGATGGCAGTGATACCGCTACCTCCAGCAACGTAAAGAACCCGCTCGTATCCATTCAAGTGCTCTGCCTGTCCATATGGACCCTCAACCAACACACGGAAGTTCTTGAGCTTGTTGGGGGTTTTCGAAATTGTCTTCCGCAAATGTTTGGTAACACCATCACATGGCCGGATCAAAAAGGTGAGTTTGAGCCGGTCATTTGGCGACGATACCGGGGTCAGCTTGACGCTATCTGGAGGGCTCGCCGGACTCTCGGAGACGAGAGCACCCTTCTTATCGTCCTTGGAAAACGAATTTTCCCTTGGGAGCCGATCCAAGAACGACTGTTGATTTCCATAGGACCATGAGGAGAGCGTGAAAGGATGAGACTCCCATCGACCCCACCACGTCGGGAAGTAAATATAATAGAAGGCTCCCGCACTTGGCTTCAAGTGGAAGGATGGCTCGAGCTCGAGGTAGATCATGTCTGCTTCTTCGCTGTAGTAGCAGCGTGCTGGAGAGTCTTGTAGTACCAGGGCTTTGAAATTAATGATCACAACTCGCGCAAGTCGCAAGAAACGATCAAGGCACCATACTGCTACGCAAGACCAAAGGTACGGATCATATTCACCGTCAAAGATTGCGACGTGGCTAAACGGGACGTGAGAAGGAGAGCTTGTGACGAGAAGCGCGAAGAACTTACTAGAATAGAGCCACCAGCGAAATCAATGCAAGGACAATGTGGCTCACCAGGAAAAATTCGTAGCACTTTTGACGAAGGGGCAGGAGAGAGAATCCCATGAGGAGACCGAAGCAGACGACAGCCTAGAATAAGAAAAATTGAGAATACTGTCTCCTCTATTTTAATCGGGAATATGAAACTTACCACGACACCCATTTGCCAGTAGAGCTTGTGGTAGTCCTTCTTCAATGCTTGGGATCCACCCACTAATCACAAAGTCAGCTGGGCTCTATCAAGGAAGGTATATAGGGAAATACCATCAAGTGCATATGCAGTGTAACAGACTCCGTGAATAACAGCCTCGGCGGTTGCCACTCTTGCAACCCAGCGATGAAACATATTGTAAGTTGGAAAGCTCCATCCTGTAAGCCACAGAAGTACGTTGTTTCTCGATGCAAAGAGCCACACGAGAGGAAGGTTTCCAAAGCAGAGGTATCCGGTGCGGTCCGCAAGGTAGCGCCAGATTTGAAGACTCTTTTTGGGCCAGCTACATTTGATAATCAGTCAGAATCTATAGGAAAGAACTCAAAGATTTCAAGCTGACATACTAGAGGTTTTGGGCAAAAATTTCATAGTTGCAAGCAACTAGAGCGATATTCACTGCAACAAATGCCACGATGAAGAGTCCCTGGATCCTAGTGGGGACCATAAACCAACCGAGAGGTTCTTGGTGATGGTTCCCAAAGGCAGCCGGAAGCACAACATGCTTATTGACCAACTTGGTGATTTTCTGATGCCAGCGAATTTTCCGCTTCTCGTCGTGAGATTCGACGTCTCCTGTGCCCTGCGTAGTCTTTGGCTTCGGGTGCGTGAAGAAGGCCACCAACCGGTAGCACATGCCGAAGAGAATGACTACGGCCCAGAATCCAGACATGGCATAACTAAGATCGTCAATCAGAAATGTTCACTTCCGTTGCTGAACACCACATTGCCGAGGATCTTCAAAGCTTACCTGTATATCCCATCATGATTTTGCTGGTCCGTACTCGCATGCTGTTACAAATATCAGAGTCTGGCATATGGTCTCAGTGCAGAAGGATAGCGTACCATTGTATTGAAAGCGGCTTGGTACAAATCAAGCGTAGGGACGACGGGTCCCTTGACGGGACGTGTGTGGTTGGCATAACTTAGGTGTTGGAGCTCATTCAAATTGATGCCCTTGATGATGCTGTCGTATGATGGGAGGCTTTTCCCTGCAATCTCATCGCATTGCTCGTTCAATGCATTCATACCAACATCAATCTCCGCCGGAGAACAGAAGGACTCCATGCATGCGTAGACTGACGTGATCGCCAAGTTATTGGTGCATTGTTGAACATAGCGGTTCTGCTTTGTGCTCCCTCCCTCAAAATTGGTATATATCAGAGCAAGACTGCATGCATTTCCACAATCCGAGGTCGCTTTGCCAGCAGCAGCTACCTCCATCCCCGCCCAGGGCGAGAGGAGGAGCGCAACGGCTGCGAATAGAAACGAGCGTTGCATGGCTCTAAGAGAGGCAAGGAGATGAAGAAGCACGTGGAGTTGGGCAGGGAATGGGGACAATCCATGGAGGATGTCCCAGCATTTATGACATTCATACCGGCATACGAACAGAGTGCGGTACTCGAAAAGGTTCAGGAAAGTGGGCCAAAACTAGGTAGAACGCCACGGATTGAAATGCCAGCCCGGGCCAACTGGCGGGAGACGCTAATCGGGAAACACAACATGGTTAATGAGAAAAAATTTGTTCATGGGTTGGGAGACGGAGAGGGTAGGAGAGGCACACGACCACTCTGATACGCCAAAAAGACGAAAGTGTTTTCAAGCGAGGAGTAAATAATACCGGCTCAAAGAGAGAGAAAAAAGCAAAGGAGGGGGGTCAATAGTCTGGTACGGGAGAGGCACGAGAAGAGGAAGGGAAAGGAAAGGGCCGAAGTGCGGACAGAGGAGAATGACGAGGTAGATTGACGACGGTGAGGGCGAGACAGGTAAGAAGGGCGCCACCGAGGAGGAACCAAAGCGGATCTGATAACTGTATCCTCGCTTCAAGCGTCGTGGTTAGAAGGGCTGAGCCGTTACTTGAAGAGGACACTAGACCACAGTTTAGCAACAAAAAACCTTTCCGTAGCGGGGTTTAGTGGGACTCTAACAGGCACAGACAGTCCGAGCAAAACCCCGTCCGGAGGGGCTAAACCACCCCTCAAGTTGTCATTGGGGGAATCAGACGACGCGCAAGCCAAGTCACGCTAGCCGAGTAATTTTTCATCAGATAAAATAAATCTCATCAGATAATATAAACACTTGGCCCAACCCACTTAGCCCCACTCCTAATTCCTTCCCTCACTTTAAACACCTGCTTTTACTGGACCGTGGGCACTGAACTAATATTTACCACTTGCTCAATAAGCTCATATGTAGCACCTAATTCTTCTTGGTCAGTGCCTGGTGGTTCTTTTGAAGCCTAAAAGATGGAATGCGGGCCTTGGCTCTGAGGCTTGTTGCTTTCATTCCGTCCTCTTTTCACTATTTAGTGGGGCTCTCCTCCATCACCAGAGCAAAAGAGCTCCAATCCCGAGGCTGCGAGGCAGCCATTTTGGCTTCAATAAATCTGCAAACGAGGTGGAGAATGTGTGCCAAGGCGCCAGCTGTTTAGTCTAGACATCATAAGCTTTGCAGACCGCAACGAAACCTCTTGTCAAAAGCTTCCCAAATCCTTGAAACGCCACGCTCAAACACACAAGTAGTAGAAAATGGTTACACTCGTTACAGTAAATATGTGAAGTTGCAAAAGCCAGTGATGCAATGCTGGCGTTGTTCTCGACCTGTGATCGACCAAATCAGGGTCAGGCTTTCACGCAACTCCCGGGCATATCCGAGGGTTGGGGTCTGTAAGTTTAATTCCTCCCTGAATTGCCCAGGAAGCTTCTGACAGCAGCACAAATCGAGCGAGGTGGGGCAGAATTTACCTCCCTGGTGCTGGGGAGTGCTATGGAGACGTTCCCTGGTTAGTTCGAAACACATGGTTTCTCCATGGAAGAATCCACCGCTAATTCTGAGCCGCCCCTTGTCAGATCTCCACGCTCTGTATGCATCGAAACACCAATTCGCTCAAACTCCGGCATCGCTTCCGATTCTCGGATTTTATCTCCAAAATCAGATAAGTCTCTGATGAATCTAATCTCGTTGAGGGCCATGTTGCTCCCAATAGACAAGGACCTCACCGGCTGAGATCCGCTCTAACAAGTCCAGACTTTGTTAGTCATTGCGCCCTTTGGGAATCACCGTCGTATTCATCAGGCGATGATCGCAAAAGATCTCTTCAGCCTAATCTTTCGGGTTGCCTAGCGTAGAAAACTCTCTGCCCGAGGAGTGGGGCGTAACGGATTCGCTGATTTGCAACGAAAACGATGCACATGGTTTGCAGAATTTCAATAAGTCGTACAATTTAAACTCTCAACCTGCTGAGCATGCTTCGATATGGGCGGGGAACTTGAGAATGGTCTACGGAGTACTCCGTTGGAGGACCAACTCACTTGATGCAGCCTCTAGATTGTGGACGAGATTCCCGGAGCCCTAGACCCTATTCGCATAACCCCTCTGGCCTCGAGACGCCATTTCATAGTTGAATTTTGTTTTCGCGAACATGGAATATGATAACAAGACTGGAGGCATACCTGCAGGCCCAGCGCCATTGATCCTCAAGCTTTTCCGGACTCCGTAGCTTTCGGATTCCGAACAACTCATTTCGAACACACCACTTCAAAGCCTAAACTCATGCCAGAATAATCTCATCAGTATCTTCCTGCACATTTTCAAAACCATGAAATGGATTGGCGTTTTCATGTACTGAGTTTGGACTTAGGCAGGCCATGTCTCTTGTGTAACGTTCCCTTTTCATAACACTGCATGTACCCGTCTGAGATGCTAATCAGCAGGCATTGGTTAGTCTCATGACATTTCCCACTCCATCTTTTCCGTATGAGCTGCCAAAGCGTTCTTCTGCGTGATCACCAGATTTCCGCCATGTAGATCCCACCTATTCGCACATCCGCACTTGGTAGTCATTCGTGCATCGAGATTTGTGTTGACAATTCTTTGGCGAGCGTCGATCTCCTCTTGCCCACGATCGAGCGGGCTGCTGCGAAGGGGAAATAGATCGACTTGAGTTCTCAATCAAGGCTTCTGAATGATGTCAACCTCGCGCAGCCGCTCAAGTTGATTCGGTGTCTTTGGCTTGAACATCCCGGGTCTCAGATCAACGCCATATAATCCGGAGCACTGTAAAAGAAAACACAAATAGCCGTAATAAGAGATCATTGAACTCTGTTCAATACAAATTTCGATGATACTGCGGATTTCCCTTGCTGTCCTGACAGGATAAGTGACCGCAAAAAAAAATCAAGCTTTATTCGGAGCCGCAAAAGGAACCATTTGCGTAAAGAAAGCACCTTGGTCGAAATGTTCTTTGTAGGATTCAGAGGGTGCGGCAGCCAGAGCTCGGTTTTGGAGGGATGCGGAAAAGGCTTTCGCACGGACCGTTTCGAATTTGTAACTTTGAATCGGTCATGTTTTGACTGGTTACACCATATGGCGTCCTGTAAACGGGTAGCGATTAATTGGTTTTATTCTGAACAGAATATGCCATGGAGAGTATCTTGTTCGCCTTGGTCTGATGACATTACCTCCTAGTGAGATTTTTCAAGCTCCTCAGAACTCCACCAGGAGTACCGCTTCCAACCATCTTAGGGAATCTAAAGGTAAAAGAGACAGCATCCAAAATTCCGTATTCAGCACGATCAACTCATATCTCAAGATCGTATGCAAAATTCGAGTTAAATGATAGAATGGATATTTCATCATAGTCAAACTCCAGATAGAGTAACAGCAATAAACGCATCTCATACAAGTAAGCAGGTCATTCAAAACGTACATAATTGCGCGTATATTACACTGGTCAAAGCAATTGCTTATGCAAAAGGGAGATGGTATGGATTCAACTAATGTGACCAAGCAGCCGGCTTGAAAAACTGTTTCAAATGAATCGAGAGGCTTAGGACGCAAGGACAAAATACAATGTCGCATTCATATATGAACTGCGCTTAGAGGGCGAGGTTATAAGTATAGTCGTCTTCCATGTTCTGCGAGATCCATAAAACAACCGAGCTGTGTTGCCAATTGATGTCAGAGACTTGTATAGGCAAGAAAGATAATAACATACCTCAACATGATCAATCCATTGGCGATGACATTCGCAACCCCAAAATAGAGTGTCGGAAAGGGATAGTCAGGCACGACATATTTGAGAACCATGACGGTCTGGGATGAGCGTGGTCAGTGTGAGCTGATAATTGGGAGCGCCCTAGAGAGAATTTTATAGAATGTGCATACCACCGAACCAGCGAGTCCACCGGCCATCAATGCAAATCCTAAGAAGAGCACTAGCTTCGCCTTCCAGGCTACTCCATTCCCAGAGTAGCTGAAGCCATCATCTCCAGTCAAGCGGGTCTTATCGATCGAGTTAACCACCAGCATGCCGAGCGTTGAGCAGATCCCTGGAATCCAGTCGATGAATTTGATGTGCACATCAGATCCATTCTTCGGCGAATGCGAATATGCGGCAGCATCAACGAAGAAGAAGAGGCCGAGAGCAAACTGTCGCCCTGTTAGCGGTGCAATATTCAAGCTACTGGCTGCTGAAGCACATAGACCGGCTATCAAGCGCAGGGACATTGAACGGAAGAAGCTATTGATCAGTATGAATAGCCTTAATTTTGATAAATATGCCAGAGCGTTTCACATGGCCTGGTTTATCAATAATAGAGGCTACTCAAACAGCTAGCATTTCAAAGTCCCATCCCCAGCTGGGGGTGCATAGATAGGATCATGATGATGGACACAGGAAAGGAAGCTCATACCAAAGCACCAGAAAGATAGACACCAGAAGTGCGCATGTTAGCACTGTTCAGCCATTGCGGCTTCGGAAGCTGGAACAATCGGTGGCTTGGCATTACGCTTATATCTGTGTGATCGGAGGAAAACGACTTTTGTCTCAATAGTAAATTAATAAAGATTACAGCTGTGATCGTGTTTAAAATCGCATGCGAGTTTGATTGCAGATAGCGGCGAGCGTGGGTAGAGAGGTTCGATGATGGTGAGCTGCCAAGCTGATACGATGATGCAGCGCGTCTACGTCGTCGGCCTGCTGATCGGGTCGGATATATGTTATTCCGCAGCGGAACTTTCGCCAGATCTTGACATGCTAATACGGTCGACTTGACTTGACTCTTATTAACAAGAGTCTAACAGCAGGGACAGCAGGGTACTTCCTCTGATAAAGAATAGGTAGACTTCACTCATTGACCATATTTGATTGTTTCAATATGTTTCTCATTATCTCGGGAAGGAAAATAATGCCGAAGAGGACATTCAAATAGTCAATCCCTCGTATTATCTCATTTGTGAAATTTATCTATAGAAAAATATCATCTCCATATATCCTCAAAAATTAAAAAGTTACCAATAAAAATATCCAGCAAGTAAGGTATCTTGTCCCAGCTTAAATTCGCAGCTACCGATCAACCATTCAAAATTTCAATTACTCCGCCTTCAATTTGCGCCTCTCCAGCCCAGCGCATATCTCCGAAATGACTTCTTCGACGGTATCTTTCCCATGCTTGCCAAGATCCGTCTCTTGGTCAACGACCTGATATACTTCTCCCACGCCCTTGAAAAGATCCGGACTCCAAAGACCATTGGAGTGAAAAGTATCGCTAATAGACTCCATCTCATGAATCCATCGGAATGCCTTGTGCTGCATATTCAGTACACCCGCCTCGAGCTTAGGAGCCACCTCGGGGACATGCCAGTGAAGCATCTCTCTCAGAAAGGGTAAGCAGCCCAAGGTCTGCGCAGTGGTGAATGCCTGCAGTGTGATGGCCACCTGGCCCTTATAATATGACGCAAAGCAATTCTTGAATCCACTCGCAGCACCAATCGCATCGGAGATATGACGGACTTTCAATACAGTGGCGAGTTCAGTGGCAGCCTCCTCATTGCCAGATAGGCAATCAGCCAACTTGGGTCCGGAAATAAGGACCGTGGGTTTCTTCCAAGTACCATCTTCCAGCTCAGATGGGGGAAAGCCAATGATGCCACCGTCGACGTATCGAAGGCCTGCCGCGGTAATAACGTCTGCAATTGCAAGACTTTGAGGGGGAGAAGTAGCATTGAGATCCACATAAGCCGGAAGTGGGTTGCAGCTCGTTGACACTTGCTTGACAGCTTCGGCGAACGATTGCGCAGTGATCATGGCATCCGCAGGAGGAACAATGGACAGTATCAAAGTAGCTTGCTGTACTATTCCAGAAATTGAGAGACTCTCCACGCCAACGCTGGCAGCACGAGCTTTGGTCTTTTCGCTGCGCCCTTCAAGGCATGTCAAGACGCGATATCCTTGCTGGATAAGGATCCTGGCGAGCGGTGCACCCATTGTTCCAAATGAAATTATCGCGATACATGGTCTCGTTTGTGCATGCATCTTGAAAAGATTCTGTGGATGAGGTCCTAGGAAGAAGGCGGACAATATCGAAGAGATGAGCTCGATTCCAGGGAGACTTTTGCTCGATATGATATTTTTATTCCAAGATGGCTCAAGAAAGGAGGATGTGGACGGAATTAAAGGGCTATTAAAGCGAACAGCGGGGCAAGTGGGGGAGGGTCCATGATATGAACGCCAACAAAGCACAAGTGAATTGATAGAGGGGCAAATGTGAAGTAGTCCATTAAATTTCTCGATTCACGTAGTCTACGTGTCTCTTTTCCTCCAAGGACTCTTTCAGAGACAGTAGATTGACTTCTACAAAATGTCTGACGATTTGATACCACGTCAAAGTTTGAGTTTAAACATTAATTCGTTGGAAAGCGTTGAAGCTAGAATCTTCCCGATCGCGAGGATTCTGGGCGTCTGGCGTATCAGGAGCGCATTATTGCTGATAATCACCAGCAAGATGGCGTATCCTCAACATGACTGCCAGACTGAGCTAAGTCAGGGGCACAAGTTCGATTCAGTGATGATAAGCCTGTGACCAACAGCCAATCGATCAAGAGTGAAAACGCTAAGACCTTCTCCACAGGAGCGGCACAGGGATGCCAAAAAGTTGGAGGGGAGGATGCGGATCGGCGGCAGGTATAACGTAAGCATCGTTGCCGACCTTGTCGGTCATGGATCCCGAGAGCAGTGAAACTAACTCGGCAGGTTGGCAGGGGCGCCAAAGGGCGCTCGGCGGAAGACGTCACCGACCGAGCCCGGCAATGTGCCGATGGCATTAACTTTTACGGGTGGAAACAGAGTCATGGAAATCATCTTTCATTGCCACTCAAATGAGTCATTCCGCAATCGTTGTCGGTGAGTATTGTCTGCTCTGGACTCATCGAAATAAGGGTGGTTACCATCAAGATATCGAACAGCTTAATTTACTCGTAAGTGGGGTCTGCAGATCATATGTTGTGTTTACATAGCTTTATTCGTACAATGTGAAGTGTGTTGAGATTGCGAAATTTTGAAAGTATCTATATTTTAGAAAAAAGGACCAATAAGAATGAGTATCTATCCAATGCCGAGCCTATCTTCAATGTACATTATATCAAAATGCCAAAATATGCTCTCTTACACCTGCACGCAGTCTATATGCTTTAACAATCCGCCTATTATATCAAAACAATTCCAGATATCCACAAAATCAGCTGCTGCACTCCAACTCCAGATGCTGTGCGCGCAGTTCAAGTAGACTTCTTCGCGTCTGCTTCCAATTTGGCCAATAGAGGGCTACGCTCAACCTCATCCACCCATCGTGGCCTCGGAAGTTCGAATGTAGATGTGATACGGCCGTATGAAATGCCTCCCAACTGCCCAATGGGCCGCAGCTTATCCAGATCAATGTGGCTTCCGGCTTCGTTGACAGCATCTTCGCGAACCCAGAAGCGGGTGGCCTTGACGAGGACGAGGGACGCGATGCTCATACCAGGGCGGGCATGATCTTCAAATTCCTTGACATCAATCACTTTCCCTTCAATTGAAAATAAAGACTCCTGAACACGGGAAGGCTTCACGGTTGTTGATGGAGACTCGTGCAGCCCTGCAACATCCCATTCAGACACGCCGTAAGGAGCATCAATGGACGAAGCGTTGACCGCCTCAATCATGTTCTCCGATACGACGTTGATGGTACACTCTCCAGTGAGTTTCAAGTTGTGCGCGGTATCCTTGGGACGACCGGGTCGGCCGGAGAATCCCACAACGAACATGGGCGGGTCATGATCAATGACCTGAAAGTAGCTAAAAGGAGAAAGGTTTTTGGTTTTGCCGCCTTCGCTCATGGTGCTGATGAATCCAACAGGGCGAGGTGCGATTCCTGACACCAACAGTCTGTAGTTGTTCACCATCGGCCGGTCATTCGCGTACGGGTCAATCTCTCGATGCTTAGCTTTGAGGCTCTCCCCGCCGTCATTAATTCCGGAACCCCATTGCCAGTTGGGGTTGGGAGATTTGGTCACTTCAATGGGTTTGCCAGAATGATCAAAATCGGGCCGGCTCGCTTCGGTTTGCTTGAAATTCTGGACTTTTTCGACAATCTTGTATTCGACTTTGGTGCCTGTGCTCTCATGTCGTGTTTGTTGCAAGGGCATCCCCAGTCGTGTCATGTTGCTGTAGCGAGTTGAGCCAGACACACTGTGAACATCTGTCAGCAAACTTAATCTTATTTCCACATTCTTTTTATTGTTTCGATCTTCTTCTTCCTCTTTTTTTTTGTTTTTCTTTTTCTTTTTTATCTTCTTCTTCTTCTTCCTCCTTTTTCAACATTTTTTATTTTATTTTTCTAATTGGCAAGCAAAGGACGCCAAAGTTCCCGCAAAAGTCATTGATAGGAGGAGGAAGGGAACGACGAGGATTCAAGCCCTACAAGGCCACAGCGAGACATTTATAATGGGCATGTAGAATATATAAAAAAATAAAATAAAATAAATAAATAAATCCAAACATACCGAAAGCCGCTCCCAAAATTCGAGAGACGAAGAAAAGCTCTTCTAGCAACCATGACTATTCCGCCGTCAAAAATGGGCCCACAGACGCTCTGCTACTTTCTTCCAATCGCATCATTTCCAAGGTCCTGGCGGGACGATGTGCCATATATATATATGTGGATATCGTATGAATGATTTAGGGCGGTTCTTAGTCTTAGTCTGTGATTATTCATGACGCCCTGGCCCTGACGCTCGCGCGCGGGTGCCACTTCCGAAGAAAAGGGTCCTTGGGAGTCGGCTGCTGGTCGTTGAACGAGCTTTCTTTTGGGCGGGTTGGCGGGAAGGTTTGTCGGTGCGGCTAATCAGCAACAGGAAAAGCGAGCAACATCTGGAGAACCAGCTTCGGTTGAGACTCCGAGCTTTTTCGATCCCCAAATTCTGCCTGCTATCCAAAAAGGTATCGAGAACTTTCCGACAAATACATACTACTGTGGACATGACAGTTTGGTATTTCTCTTTGTTGTAATCAAGACTATTCAATCTTCCATACGGCCCGCGCGGTTCATTTGCGCTCATGTACTCTTACGGTACGAGCCACGCTTTCCATAAAGTCGTTGCGAGAAAGTAGTTCGTCAGTGACACGAAACCACGCTTTCAATGCATCTATTATCGGATAGATTTTGAATCAACGAGAACGCAGTAGATCTCATGAATTGGGATGATTCGATCTTTAAAAAAGTAAATCAAGAAAAGAATGTATAATTCTATCAAGATTTATATCAATTGTTTACGTTGGTGACATGGGTGCATTTATATACGCGCTGATACACTTGTCCAAATGCAAGGATGCTGCAATAGAGAGGGAAAAGGAAGATCAAGGTAAGGATTTGGTATAAACCAAAAAGAATCGGAAACGAACACAAAAAACTCCGAAATGATTCATGAAATGGACACAAAAAGATACTAATCCAGTATTCATGCTTGAGCGCTCCTAAAGATTCGGCGCCATAATTCCTTGCGCAGGGCAAGGGCCATGCTCTTTGTTCTTGCAGTAGCAGTCTTGTTTTCGGTTGCTCGTCGGAAAAGGAAGGCCAAGCATTCAGCAGTTGTACCCCAAGCCAAACACTTGAAGGCGCCTGGGAGGGAGCCCTGCTGGCCGTTGCTGGAATAATCAAGTTTGCGACACTGCGAGACAAGCTCACAGCTGATTTCATCTGCCATGCCCTGTAGCTGGCCGAACTCAACTGGAATAGTGGGTTCTCCGGCAAGTGTTCGAGATTGGTGAAGGGAAAATCCTTTCCGGACACTTTCTGCGTTATGTGATGCCAGGAAAAGCTGCGTCGGCGGAAAGCTCGATCCTTTCGTCTTCCCAGTAAATTGTCGTTTCAAAAGACTGTCGACAATGAAATCATAACACGCGTCCGTTTCTTCTTTGGTGTCGTGAATGGACGAGCGAACTTCTTGCGCAATGTAAGCACCACGAACGAGTTTAAGGCCGAAAGCCCAGCCTTCCTTTTCTGCCATAAGAAGATGTCTGTTGACGTTTTCTGGTGCGTTCTTAAGGTATGCCTGGATGGTGTTGTAAACGATGGCGTTCCCGTCGCGATTGTATTTGCGCATCAGCGCGATGGTCCAGTCATCGATTGCATCCTGGAATACCTGCTGCTCTGCGTCGATCCAGAGACGAATATTGCGGCGAGCAGCTTCTGCACAGACCTCATCCATGGCGTCTGCGATGGACTTTGGCATGTCTTGACCTTTGCTCAAAGCTTCCACGGCTGCGGGGCCAGCGCCAGTGAACCTGCAGGGAAAGCATGAGCAATGTATTCATTTGAGGGCGAAGACGCATTTCAGAATAATGGGGAAGAGGGGACAGGCTTACTTTACGGCAAGGTAGTCTCCTGGTTCAATCATACTCAAGGTTAGCAGATTGCCCTGCTTCCACTGCTCTACGACCTTGCCATGGGTTGCTATTATGGCTTCTAAGGTCGCTTCCTCAGCTGAATCCGTTGGGTCCACGACGACATCCTTGGCATAACCGAGGATGACTCCCTTGAAGCCCATATTTTTGATCTCGGCGATGCGGTGCTGAATTTCCCGGGCATTTGAACCAGCGCAGAAGTGATTGTAGATGGTCATGCGCAAAAGCTTGTCCATCAAACGATTCTTTTCTGGGTCCAGAAGTCGCGATTTAGAGTGGGTCAAAACACGCATTATTCCGAGAGAGGGAGTCAGAAGCCACGATGACATGACCTCGCTGAATAAAAGAGAGCGAAGCAATGTGCCGGTAGGCAATAATGAAAGAGGCGCAACATCCTTTTGCTGCGAGCTGATGGGTTTGGCTGCTATTCCGCGCAAGGCATCACTCTGGGACGATTGATGCCGGCACTGCATTCGAGAAACATAGCCGGCCGCTCTCTGGAGCTCTCGAGTGTTCAAGGTTGTTGTCCTCATGGCAGATGCAGCCGATTGCACGTTGAATTGAAGGCAATGTCGGAGGTAGTTTGAGCTCCAAATGGGACAGATTCGATTGGATACAGAGAGTTAATGTCTTGTCTTTGAGATTAAAGAAGGCATCAATCGTTATTGTATTAAATGGGCAGCTACGGCCCCACAAACCAGGTGCATCTCGCAAAGGTTTCCCGAGGGTTAATGCGCGATAGAACAAAACATGTTCTCACGTGAGTTGCTGAGATGCATTCTGATAAGGTTATGAAGGGGGTTTATGGGTATTTTCGGTGTGCCGAATTATCTAGCGGATATCACCGGGCTTTGTGGATTCCCCGCAGAGCAAAAAGAGTGATGGGAGACCCTCGTCTGATAAGCAACTGTGGGCTGTGCCTGATTCATCCGTAGCTCTCGGAGAATGTGTGTAAAGAGTCTGATATGGTATGAAGGCCTGAGGGGCAATGACGGACGAGGGGAGGGTTGATCTGACGCTAGTTGGGCCTTATCAATGATCAAAGCGGGTGGCTTAACTCCCTTGGGGCTTATCGGAGACCTTGCCGCCCCAGTCGCTTTCTCTTCCCGTCATCCCGGCAAACCTTACCGCTCTCCTCTGCCCCTCGATCATGGATGCTCGCCGACGCCATCTTTGTTTAGTTGTTTAGTACAAGAAGGTACAGTCTCAGCAGTAGAGGTGAATTTGACTGATTTCGCATTGTTACATACATTATATGCCAACCAAAAAAAAAAAAAAAACAGCTATCAATTCTATAAAACGATACTTTATATCGACTGAACCTTCAGTTCAGGCTTGCTGCTGATATTTATTCAACGGCAATTACATCCATTTCAAATTTCACGCCCAGAGGTAGCTTTGAAACTTCTACAGAAGTCCGTGGGGGCTTCTGTGGGAAGTAGCTGTTGTAAACCTCGTTGAACTCAGGAAGAGCAGAAAAGTCGCTGGTATATACCTGATTTCCAATGTCAGCGATGGTGATAGTCTTCTAGTGGAGTAACAAACGGAACATGCTGTGATCTTGACGGCCTTATCTAAGCTGGAACCGGCCTCCTTCAGAATCTCTTCAGTATTCTTGCAAATCTGGCGAGCTTGATCGGCAACTGAACCTTCGATCAATTGACCGTTGATATCAGCAGCGATTTGCCCTGCGAGCCAAATGTGGCCATTGGATTTGAATGCTTGGGACTGTTTTGGAAGAAACATATTTAGATTTTCACTTCACATGGATTCCACGTGGCGTAATTAATGTGCATTTTCTCCAGGTTGATGCTGGGTGAAGGAAGCGTACATAGTGTCCAAGCGCTGCAGAGAAAAATACGGTCAGTACATTTGACTATCAATATTGGAGAACAAATTGGACATACGAGCATAGCTTTTCTTGGTGGAGATTGTTGCAACCGTGGAGTTCTGATGCCGAATTGCAGTAGACGACATGGTCCGTACTCGTAAAGTTGGGGCAATCTGCTGGGTTCGGCGTGAAATGGAGAAAGAGGCTTTAGAAGCAGCTAATCTACTAAATGATTTAAACATTGTAAAAGTCAAAATTTGCTGGGGAGAGGTTTGTCTATGCTAGCAAAGTGCAATAGAGCCTTCTTTTGTGCTCTCTCTTGTCAAGGATAGACTGATCAAGTATGCATCAGAAAGACTACTCGGTACCAAAGATATTTGCATTATACAATTAAAAGAGTCCACAAACAGGGAAGTTTTCGAAAACTTATTCGGTCTTGTTGTCCGACTTAAGCTGAGTGGCGTTGAAGTCAGTCTCAGGATGAAGCCGTAGGAGTCGGATCCATTCGGCTTTGCCTCCCGAGTCATGGACAACCTCCCACACGTTCTTTACACCTTCACCTGCTATGGACCCGCCAGCTGAACCGGATTAGCTCTCCGAATGGAGGTTACGTCTGAAATGTTGTGTCTATATATTTGAGGAGTCCTTCACGTTTTTCTGATCGATATCGAGGCGAATAATTATTCCAATTGCCATCAGAACGCGACGTTCTTGTTACTTGCAAGATGGCACCCGCCCCTCTTCGACAGACTCTCACTCAAGCCTCTCGGCGGACGGGCACCCTGGCTTTTGCTCAAAAAAATGCCCTCCGATCAACATGCCAAGCTGCTTCTTTTTCCATGTACAAGAAGCCGTTTTTCGACAACGAAGACGCTGTAAGACTCTTTCTATTTCAAATGGCTTCTACTCGGACTGTCTCGCTAACATTTAACTTCTATCACCGGACAGAAATCCTATGCCAAAGGTTCTCCAGAAAGAACTGAGCTCACAGAGGCGATCAAATCACTAAAGGCGACGTTGCCGGTCAACGTGCCATTGAACATTGCAGGCAAAGAGGTACGTTACGTGAGCGGTTACGCCCTCCGAGACTGTTGAACCCAAGACCCTTAACTGTATGGACCGTGCATGGAGACGGCGTTCTTTCCATTTCCCTATCAATTGCCCCACCATTCGGAGCTTTACCTCTCTAGGCCCATCCGCGATAAGACTAGAGCAATGCTAACTTCTGGTAATTGTTTACCTACAGGTGACGCCTGACGCCATCCAAACACAACCCAATCCCTCAGATCACCAGACAACCATTGCAAACTATGGCGCTGCCAGCGCTGCTCAGGTCAATGATGCGATTGAAGCTGCACTCAAGGCCAAGCCAACATGGGAAAATCTGCCCCTCGAGCAACGCGCCTCCGTTTTCCACAGGGCGGCTGAGCTTGTGTCGACCAAGTATCGGGCTGACCTCGTAGCAGCATCGATGCTTGGACAGGGTAAGAACATCTGGCAAGCTGAGATCGATATTGTTGCTGAGACCTGCGACCTTCTGCGCTTCGCCGTTCAATGTGCCCTGGATCTCGCGGCGACCCAGCCAGCGAAACACCCACCTGGCATGTGGAATCGTGTCGAGTATCGGCCTCTGGAAGGCTTCGTCTACGCTGTTTCTCCCTTTAACTTCACAGCGCTGGGCGCTAATCTTATCGGCATTCCACTTCTGATGGGTAACGCTGTGATCTGGAAACCTTCCAACTCTGCAGTCCACTCTTGCTGGCTAGTGCACAAGATCCTCCTGGAAGCCGGCCTTCCCGAAGGCGTTGTCCAGTTTGTGCCTGGAGACGCTGAGCTCATCACCAAGACGGTTCTTGAACACCCCGAGTTCGCTGCTCTCCATTTCACAGGCTCCACCGACGTCTTCAAGAAACTCTATGGCAAGATCGGGCAAGCGACCGCGGAGAACAAGTTCAAGAGCTACCCCCGTATCATTGGCGAGACTGGCGGAAAGAACTTCCACCTGATCCACAAATCCGCGGAAATTGACAACGCCGTCTACAACACTGTCCGCGGCGGCTTCGAATACCAGGGCCAAAAGTGCTCTGCGCCCTCGCGCGTCTATGTCGCCGAATCCATCTGGCCTACTTTCAAGGAGAAGCTGCTCGCCGAGACGGCCAAGGTCAAGACCGGTGCTCCCGAAGAGTACGACAACTTTGTCAACGCCGTGATCCACGAGGCATCTTTTGACAAGCTCAACGCCGTCATCGAAAAGGCCAAGTCCGACGACAAGGTCACCCTGCTCGCCGGAGGCAAAGCATCCAAGGAAAAGGGCTATTTCGTAGAGCCCACCATCTACCAAACTAGCGATCCTCAACACGAGTTGATGACCCGCGAGCTCTTTGGCCCCATCCTTACCATCTACGTCTACCCTGATGCCGAATGGGCCGAGACCATCAAGCTCGTAGACAACACCACCTCCTACGGTCTCGCTGGCTCCGTCTTCGCCCAGGACCAGGTCGCGATCCACCAGGCCGAGGTCGGCCTCAAGCACTCTGCTGGAAACTTTTACATCAACACCAAGAGCACGGGTTCCGTGGTCGCGCAGCAGCCCTTTGGCGGTAACCGTGGCAGCGGTACCAATGACAAGGTCGGCTCCGTCAACCTGCTCACCCGTTTCGCAAGCGTCCGTTCCGTCAAGGACGATTATGCCCCGCTCAAGGGCTTCAAGTATCCCAGCAATGAGGTTTAAATTCGCCATCACATCTACCCTTTACATATTTTCCCCCCGTCATTATATCCATTCTTTATATACCTGTTTTTCTGGAGCCATCATGTCTACCAACCATGAATTGTACAGAGGGTAAAAAACCCAGCCCATCTCATCTAACGGACTCATCCTGGACGCTGATTTGCCGTCAGATGGGCTGATGTTGGGATCATCATATTGATTACATTGTATACTAGATAGCTAGACAGCATGAAGGCGCATTGGAGTGTTTTTCTCTCACAAGTTGCACCACAGAGACTTTTTATGAAATTGGAATAGAAAAGGAAACGTTTTTTTTTTCAAGAGTGTTCCTCATAGCATCTTCTCTCGTGAGTGAATATTTGGTCGTAGCTAACTTCGTTCGAACTTGAAACGTATATGAACTAAAAGAAACAAATTGCCTAAATGGTATAATTTCCTAAAGCAGACAACAGACAAGCGTGACTCACGCCCGTATGCGCTTTTCCCAGTCCAACTCCTAGAACAAAGACTTTTCCGTCATGAAAATACGGAGCATGGTGGAATCCCCCAAGGAATAATTTAAATGCCCCGATAAAGGTGGAAAAGAAAGCGGGGGGAAAAGCAAAATTTCTCATGCATTCTCATTCCATATCCATCCTTGAGTGACACTGTCTGTCCCAGCGTCCGTCGAAACGCTATTGATATCTAGCTGGTCGGCCATCGAGAGCATCTGGCCTGGTGACAGTCCAACATTGCCATGGAAGTCTGCCCAGTCGAAAGTTAAGGGGTCTTCTACTTCGGGGGTTATAGCGCTGCTGTGGCGACTGTTTCCAGAAGGTGCAGGGAGAGCGGAAGACGGGGTCAGACGGTCATGTCCTTGCTGCCGATGAGGGAATGCCGAATCGTCGTGCTTTGTGCCAGCGCCATTCAGGCGAATCTCCGTGTCTCTCAATGTGCGTGTAAATTGTTGCGAAGGTTTGGATAAATTCGGAGAGTGTCCAATCACGATTTCCCAGCCAGAAGTTCCGTTTCCATTAGTACAGAGTTCTGAAGAAGCAGTGAATTCCACGCTTGACTGGGCCCCATGCTGGCCATTCTGAGCGGCATGTAATGGTTCGACCAGGTCATCTAGGATAGCCAACTCGTTTTTTCGGAATTGTGCAACCGCATTGCCTTTTCGAATCATCTCATTGAGAACTTCATTAGCAATCTCTTTGTGCTCCCGGTCAGGAACAGCACCCGGAATGATTGCAGAGGTGAGCGTCAAGATGAAGGCCGCGGAGAAAGCATATTCCGTGTCAAACTGAGTAAAATTTTCTGATTCCCTTCGGTTAGTCCGGCTTCAATACCTAAAATAAGAAATCTAGGACGACGGAAGAACCATAGATTAAAGTGTACGTACCAACTAATCCATGCTCGCATAACGCTGAAAGGATCAGGAGAGACTTTTTAGCGGAGTCGATACAGCAATTGATGAGCTGTTGCACAGGGGACGATATAGTGCGGGGAGCATCAGCCTCTCTTAATTGCTCAAGCCGTTTTGAAAGAACGCAGACGATCAAAGGACGGGTTGCAAGGATGATGCACTAGATTTTCCGTTTAGATTAGTCTCTTTCCCAGTCAAGTCATGTAGACGAATAAGTCGGGGTGCAATACATGATGAAATGCAAGGTTCAGACGGGTGGTGACCCCGGAGAGCGAGTCCACTGAATTCTTAAACTTGGATTCAAACACTGCTTCTAACTCGGTCGCTAGACCAGCCATTTGCCGGAGAACTGATCGAATTTTACGCGGAAATTGACCATCGAGCCGCTCGTCAACACCATATACAGCTAAACGTACCGTCAGCTCGAATAGGTTCTGGACATTACCTGGGGCCGAGGACTTACTATTTAGGATGTAGGAAATCACGCGTGAGATTTTAACGTTAAGCACTAACGCAGCCGTCCGGGGAGGAGAGGTCGTTGGATCGACAAGCTCAGAGGTAATATCGGTTTCCCGAACAAACACTGGGACCCCCAAGCTTAAAGAAAGCTTTCTCTCTAGGATGTACACCGTCCACCAGATATTGCTGGATCGCTGTGCAAGCTTCTCCCCGAGCTGTTCTACCGGCAAAGATCTATGTAGACCCTCTACTACAGCCATCCGAAGCGCTTGTCCGAGCTGCAATTTTTTTTCTCAGTCAGCGGCAAATCAACGAGCTGCATCGAGGAATTCAGGTGAAATATACATAGCAATACGAGGAATCCCGCATATCCACGGAATGGAGATATAATGCGATGAGCGCAAGCACTTCGATCGCGAGTATCGGCTCCATCCAAAGCTCCGGAAACTCTGGTAACAGACTCATTGCCCTGACAAAATACTCTACTCCAACTGGAGCATCGGACGTAGGCTTCCTATTCATCAAAAAGGCTTTTCCAAACGCAAGGATGAGGAGGAATTGGCAATACCATAGGCGAGATTCGTCAACCTTCCTGAATGAATCCCCGTAAAATTCGTAGAGATTTCGAAGAAACTCTTCCTCGTCAAACAAGCGATACACTTGACCAAGGTTAAATTTGACAGTGTTCATGAGGTAGATGGAAAAGTCAAGTGGGGGTAGCGCTGAAATGTCTGGAGGCTCATCAGGCTTCGCGCGGGTCCATCGTATTTTGTACGCATCGCCATCCTGAGCCAGAGGTATATCCCGGGGTGTAGAAGGCCGGAGTTGTTCATTGAGAAGGTTGAGTACACGACGGCTAAATGACCAAGTTGAACTTGGGCCGAGATAATCTGCGTCAAAGCAATCAGTAAAGGCTCCCTTCACAGTTAAGCTAGTACACTAACACCAGGTGCGGCGTCTCGATCCATTTTTGTCCTTTATATACTTTGAGGGAGAGACAAGAGGATTGGAAGAAAAACATGGTTCGTCTCGCGAATGATGTTGGTCGTCACCCGTTCCAGGTGCACTTTCCGGGCTAATTTCTCTGTCATCCACTACATTATCCTCGTCTGTGGGAATGTCTATTAGCAAGAAAGTTCGATCCGCTCAGACTTCATTTTCGAGGGATATCTACCATATGTCTCGTCTTCCTGGCTAGTTCGACGACGCTTATTACTCGTATAATGTCCCGTCTCAATATCTTGGACCTTTCGCTTCAGTTCTTGATATAGTCTGTTGAACCTCTCTTCAGCTACCGTTCTCTAAGATATGAGACGGATAATTAATTGAAATAGATTCAATTTACCTCTCCGACACAAGAATCTTTCTATCCTCTTCGTCAAAGATGCACTCAAGGGAGCGCTTTTCGCAGTTATTGCACGGATGTTTCCCAGAACATTTGACTTTGCGAGAGCGGCATCTCTGGCAGCTGTTCACAAGAGAAAATATCAACTGCAATGCCCATTTAAACGACTGTGAAGAAGAGATACTTACGCATTGGCTGCACGCCGTGTCTGCTGTCCTGATGAATTGGTTTCTCCAGACATGATTGCTAAACAATCCCGGCAGTTCTAGCCGGCTATAAGGGAAGAGAAGGAGAATAACGAATAACTTTTAGAGACGTGAGAACGCGATACAGGAAATTTGAAGAAAATCCAGACGCCTGCAAGGTGAATCAATTCACCCATAATCTATTTTACTCATGACATTCTTTGGGGAGGGAAAATTGTCCGTCGGTCCCAAATTGTCGTCAATCCAGAAGGGCGTAGTATATCATATGCTGATAAGGACCCCCGCCTGTTTGGGGACAACGGGACCTCGGGTGGAGCTTTTCGGAAACTAAACATGGGTGATAAGGAAGCGCAGCCATCCAACCCATTAGCTGTTCCGTTACCTAATGGCAATTCACACTTGACCAACACGCTGCCTGTAGCTCTAATCTTCTAGAAACAACGTGTAGGCTGCAGTCATCGTATTATGCGTTCATGAAGATCCATCAGTTGTGGGGAAGTATAGGCATATTAATGAATTGTATCAGTGATCATAAGCATGTCTGTTGACTGGCGCCGAATATTCATCCAAGTCGTAACACGTGACTTGACCAGAGCTAAACCGGATATTCAACAATCCCGCTCCTCCTTTTATCAAAAGGATAATATTCATTGACACGAGTCTTAAGATGCTGTATCATGTAGCTGTTAATATGACATATTAGAATTTGTGTGTTTCGTCCAAGGTTAGCTTGGCAGTCAATGCGTTCGAGGGCAACGAACGATGACTGTACGTGAAACCTCTCAGCTGGAATGGACAGTTAACAAGTTCTTTTGCGCCTTTGATACCAGGCTCTATGTATTTGCATTAATATTCGACAAATGACTTGACTCTTCTTCAGCAAGTGAGCGTTGCTCTTCAAAGTATTCGAACTTGTGCTCTTGCCAAATAGACGCGTGTTCAACTCAGCTTCTTGGCGTTTCGGACCCCAGACTTTAGAGTCACGGTATTCCCTCCATTTGATCAAAGGTATATCGATTGTCTACTGTCTCTTACAAATCAAATTTGACATCAACATCAAGATCTAACAAGCATCTCACCAGGATCACAGGGTTGCAATGGAGCCCCTCCAGCACAGTCAGACCCCGTTTGGTGCAGTCACCATGGACAGCAAACATGCCATGTCCCGGCGGTTTGAGGATCTTTTTTCGGCTCAAGTCAAGCCTTGGTTAGCAGAGCAAAGTCATCTTCTTATCCGCAATCAAGAAGTCTCTATACATGACGAGAATCGCCCTGACAAGAGCCTTTTACAAACGGACACGGTTCAAAGCATTTCAAATCGATTCAATGAATTATGCGAAAATGAAATACGAACATACCTAGGAACAGATAATCAAGAGTCCACGCTCAACTCAAATGGTAATAGTGAGTCGCCGGGGCTTTCGGTCCATTCCGCGGAGAAGCAGCCCGAAGTGTCTGAACGCACGAGCTCTGTTCACGGACAGCTTACAGCACGGCATAAGAAGCTCAATCCGGAAACCAATGAAATAAGAACTCAGAAATCTGATAGGAATTTACGTACAGAGAGCACCAAAAGCCATACCAGGCGCAGCATTCGGCGCTTGGACGTTGGTAAGCATGACCAAAACACGACAACAGTGGAATTAATGAGCCAAGCACGCTCTTCTGGACCGAAAAATGCTATCAATGATCAATCCATGTGGGCCTCTGCAAAGAATACATCGTCGAATGGCAATCAAAATGCAGAGATACCATCTGCTGAGGCTGGGCAAGAGGGTTCAAGGACCCCTGTTGCGGGCTCGGCCGCTGTTTCTGTGACACCTTCATCTTCTCCTGTTCCTTCACAATCCTCCTTGGCTGAGCCAATATTACCCCGTACTTCAGCCCTCGAAGTCGATTCCAGCAATGAAGACGACACAAGGCAAACTCCTCGAAGGCGTGGGACTGGCCTGCGACGTGCTGGTGTATATCGAAGCCGTGGTCGAGGAAGCCGTGGCCGCAGAGATTTCACTGCTTTAGATTCACATGAGTCAACCACCGAGGAAAAGCCCCAAGGACTGAACAGGAAGAAAAGCGCGCCGCAAACTCGTCTTCGTGCAATGAGCCGAGGAGAGCATTCTCCGACAACACGAAGAGGGCCGAGGACGATGGTCGTTAGGACCAGTTCCCGGCCTAACAAAACACGCTCCGCTCCCTCTTTATTTTCTTCTGCGCCAAAGCAAGTTTTTATAAACCCACCAGGCTCGTCGTGGCGTTGGGCACTACACAAACCCGGTCGTCGACCAAAGGAGTTGGTTATGGTGTTTAAGTTTTAGATGAGTTTTGCTTTTGCCGGTGATGATCTGGCCGATGGGCATGTCTAGCTGGCCCATGACTTTCACAAACAAAGATGCCAGCGCGCTGCCAAATTACCATATGGTATCTGACTACTTTATCACGTTCGACACAACTTGATTTGCGTTGCATTAGACACATTCGTTGTTCCAAACATCTCACGAAAAGCTCGCATTCGATCGATCAGCCTATTCTCTAATCCCACACATATCTAGAGAAAGCGTCCTTGTCATCATATCTCTCTTACATGAGTTTTCTTTTTGCTATTCCATCGTGTTCATTAAAGGCTACGGTGTCTTTCAGAGGTGCTGAACGGTGGAGTTCATTCTCATAAGATAGATGTCTAGAACATCCTAGCTTTACCATAGGATATAATGTTGTCAAGGCTCGAGCAGTTTCAAAATAATCTAAACATGTAGAATTACTTGCTTTTTTTCCCCCTTCCCCCCGAAGATCAATTTAATCAATAACGTACAACGCTGCTCCCTGATATTTTGTACCGTCATCCAGCCAAGCGTTTCGCCGTGCTGTACACTACCCTTATATAACCCGCTAAACCCCACCGAAAACGCACTCACTCACTCAATGTATTCCAGTTCAACCGACCCGCAAAGTCTTATCAGATCCAGCTATTTCTTTTCCAACCGTCAGGCCGTAGCCTTTTCATTACCCCACCAAAAGAATAAACACCAGCACACACGCCATTTCCATAGTTAACCTCTTATTCCCGTTTTTCTCAATTCCTTTTCTTCTGCGAACATTTCACATTACCTTCTCTACAAATCCAATTCTCCAATAATCATGTCGTCCGCACCCCACGATATCGCCGCCGAGTCATCGTCCGCCGCGCATCCTCAACCGGATCTCCCGGCCTTACCAGTCCCCGAACCGCCTGTATTCGTGAACCCAAACAACAACAACAATGCCAACTCTGAGCCCTTTCCCGCGCCTTTCCCCGCGCCTGCGAGACACGCATCCGGCACAGTCGGCGGCATTTCCACAGAGGTCATGTGCATGCAGTTCGCGGACAAGATATTGATCACGATATCCCAGGGCGGGCGGCTTGCGCAATGGGTGAGCCTCACTTCCCTCTCCTCCTCCTCCTCCTCCTCCTCTCCCTCCCCCCCTCACTTTTGCTCTCGTTTCATAAGTCGCAAAAGTCGCATAAACTTTGCGCGGGACAGACATTCAAGCTTAAGGGAATTCAAAGCCTAAAGGAGTTTAAAAGGCTTGAAGGACACTTGACAGGTTAAAACAGACTTAAAAGCATAAAGGCTAACAACTTTCAATTACGCTGTATCAGGTACATGTACCGCTTGATCAGTCGAACCCTACATACGCAGACACATCGTTCCTGGGCGGGCATGGCGCGGGCTACGGTGCAGGATATGACGGCAGCGGCGGCGCAGACGGAGAAGAAGAAGAAGAAGAAGAAGAAGCCAAGCCAGATCTATTGCCCCTGCCGCATCTAACGCCGAGGACGATATTAGGCGGGACGGTGCCGGAGCGGCAAGTCCTCGGGCAATTGTACGCGACGCAGATAGCGAGCTCGATAGCGAGTCGGGATCCGGAAGAGAAGAGGATGGTAGTGCTGGGGCTCGGGCTGGAAAAGGTGGAGAAGGACTCGGAGAGAGCGCGCGAAGCGTTTTTCGATGTGATGGAGCTGGTGCTTCAGGTTGTTTGAAAGTAAAACATTCTTTGATATATTTGGGATCATCGAGCGGCGTTTGGGGTTTATTAGTTGCTGCCAGATGATCCGTTGTTGTCACACTGTGCCGGATTCAGTCCAAGCATTTAGGTATTTTTGGGTAGCATTTGATGGCGTTTTGTAAAATTGATATGATCAGAAGGTAGTGGATACTGGCTATGGACACCTACGGCTTCTTTTTGCTGTGGAAATGATAGAACGGGCAGATTACACTTGATTTGCTCTTTGTCAAGCTATTAAAAAAACGAAGGCACGTTGGATTTCAATGATGAGACTCACGCTGGGCTGCATGGTCTAATTGATCGTCATGGAATGGAATGTTGTTCTATTGATGTCCTTCTACTTGTAGCGCCATTTGTCGGTGACATGCATCTTATTTGCTGGGGCAATATCTTTGCTGAAGCTATATCCTCCGGCAAGGAGCTCTAGGTCTCTAGGTCTCTGGACGGTAGTGCTGGGCGAAAAACGCCTGCTCACCTGCAGTTTTCGGGAGAACCATCCTGCGGAACTCGGCGCTCCTTTATGACGAGTTTTTAGCTGTAAAACTTCTACTCGCAATGCCAAATGACCTGTACAGAACGAATATGCTCGCCCGTTCTCTTCGTGTTCGACGCAACTTCGGTAGAATCAATCCTCTATACAATTGATGCTCCCACCGAGCTAGAGCCGTTTGAAGATTAAATCCTGCAGAATGCGCCTCACTTGCGCTTCTCATCATTATTTTTCTTTCCAGCTTCTTCGCTGCTCAGCGCTCCCTGGCCAGACTCTGACTCAGGCGCATCGACCACGTCCACAGCATCAGACTCTTCAAACTCATATTCGCCTTCTTCAGCATCGTTTTTCTCCGTGGTCGCGTCCTCACCCAGCTGTTTGTATTTTCGCTTGGCTTTCTTCGTCTTGCTCGCTTTTCGTTTCCTCGCAACGTCTGCCTTGACTGCTCTTCTGCTTTCCGGTCCTTTTTGCATTTCTTCCAATTTCTCCGCGAGGAGGAGCCGAGCATGTTTGCGATTCTGCGTGCGAGACCGCGTGTTTTGCGACTTTACTACTATTCCAGTGGGAAGATGCTTGAGCTGTACCGCCGAGGCAGTTTTATTCTATCAAGAGCGTCAATTGAAGACTTGGAGACTTGCGTAGCTTAAGTGAGCACTGCAGATATACGTACAATCTTTTGACCACCCGGCCCGCTTCCTTTCAGGAAGGCCTCCTCGATATCAGCCTCGCTGACAGTCGGACGCGGAGGCATCTGCTTGATTGCAGCCGCGGTTGAAGAGGTGAAGCTCCTCGTCCATATCTGCTGCCTTGCCGCTGTAATGCCAATTCGCGCAGTATTCTGAAAAGAAAGGCTGGGCAAGAACCGGCAAAAGGATCTCGCACCGGAAAGGCTCATGGTTTAGAAGCGCTCTTTGGGAAATTGGGAAGTTTGGAGTCGTGGCCCGATTCGAGTATCCTCAAAGATGACCTTCCGGCCAATTCAGCCCATTGTAATCAGAATGACATAAAGTTTACTCCTCCAGTCGTTCGAGGCAGCGAATGTCAAACCGTCTTTAATGGGTAGGAGCAGCGTTACAAAACGTAATTAACAGTTGCTGCATGATCAACAATCGTAACCAAAGCTAGCTACTCCTATCGTAGCTTAGTGCCGGAACATCGGCCTCTTCCCGCCATCAAGGGCGCCTCGGTGCACAACATTAGGAGGGACTTTACCGTACGAGTACGGGACTTCCGAGGCTTCGTCGCAAGGATGTCTGAGCCCGTTGCAACCTGAGAAGGTTTCCGCTAACTTGCATAGAAATTACGACTTGTTCAAGGGTTCTAAACTCGCTCACTTCCTCTCTCTCTCTCTTCTCCTTTGATTATAACGACTGACGACGGGAATTAACCGTTCAACCTTTCAATCTCCAACTTCCAACTTCCAATCTTCAACGTCCCCAGTGCTCTCTCTCCCTTCAATATAATCCAGCCATTCGATCCTTCATCCCACCTTCTACGGCACTGAACCGGCTCTTTCAAAACACCAACTACAATGCCATCTCAAGAACGCCATTCGTTCCTGGACTGGATCCGGCTGAAGCATTACCAGTTCCTTACCACATTTGGGCTATACATGATGACTCCCAGAGAGAGACTCCTCTTCCGTACGTTCCCCCTTCTTTCTCCAGATCCGGATCACGCGCACCGCACTGGACTGCACTGGACTGGACTTTTAGGAGTTCTGGGCGTGCGCGCTATACAAAAGAGTTGCCTCAAAAGCAAGAAAACTTTCTGATTGGAATTTCTGGTTAATGAATCTACTGAATAGATGTCTTCTTCGTGCTCTTCATATCCCTCGTGCTCATCGGCTTCTCGGTCTATCTCCCTGAGCGCGTCGTCATGATTGCAAATCGGGCTTGGTTCTACTATGCGGGCGACGAAGCGGCTGCAGCGAAAGCAGACAGTTTGGCGGATAGTCTGGGCGCGGCGTCAACAGTGGGATTGGCCGGAAGGGGACTATGAAGTTTCCCTAATATGTCCTTGTCGTTCCGCTGCATCTCTTCTCCGCAGTGATCGGGTTCAATGTGACCCTTTTCATGGTCGCTTCAAAGCGGTCGAAGGTTGGAATGATCGCGCAATAAGGATGATCTTGTTTGAATAGAGCCGGTAGACGATTCATTCGTTTGGCCGTGCCGGAAAGGATGTATATTTGCGGCTCACTCCGTGGAAAACTAGAAGAGAAAGAGAGCAAAGGTACCAATGTGTCATCGCGTACAACAATTCTCAGGGAGGGGACATAATTATCGTACCTAAGGAAGAAGCATCTATAGATATCGGATTACACGATTCAAAGGAGTTGGGCTGGACAAGTCATCATTGGGACTGATACTAATACAAAAGATCGCTTATGTGTGGTCTGTGGAGTAATTTTTTGACTGGAATTTAGAGCGTACAAAGCATGAGCCTTGGGGTACTTTTAGATAATAATAATCATCTTGATATCGAAAAGGACAATATGGAAATAAATCGCCTGTGAATTCTAGAATAAAATAAGCATTGCAGAAAAGAGAATGCTGGTATCATACATTGTGAAAGAAACCCCATTTCGCCATGAACGCATTACTTCCCCCCACTCCAAGTCGTTTCAATCAAGACACATTCGCTGCCCTATCCTGCTCTGGCTTTCATGAGATGTTTCATTGTGTTGGACATGAGCCTCGTGATGCCCGTCACTCCCCTCTCGTCCAGCCATTTCAGCACTTCTAATCTATATTCTGTCCACGTGGTGCGTAAACCGCCATCCTCGCTCAAAGTGGTGAGAGTTCTCTGGGTGACAGGCCCGGCATGACGAACAGTGAGACCGTCTTGTTCTTCGGAAGCATGATCCTCCATTTCTCGAAACGAGGCGATGCTGAGGCGGCAGAGGGTTGAAGAATGGCTCAGTCCGAATATGACTGGCAGAGCGAGACCTACAGTGTCCGCGTAGCGGCGTAGCACGGGCAATGCTGAGGTTGGCATCAGACACCCCAGCGCATTGGGATCATCCTGATTGAAAGCTCGATTGCGCCAAAGGCAGTTGCAAATGTCCATGAGATATCCGTTGAAATGGTTGATGTATTCGCGGGGATAAGTCAACCATGGCGCATTGCTCTCGCCCTCGCCTTGCGGCGAGATATGGGTCATGCAAGCTTCAAACGCGAGCTTGTAGGAGGCAAGCACATGACTGAGACGCGAAATCGTGGAGAGCGAAGATGTGAAAAAGAGGCTATATACGACGTGAGAAGAGGGAATGGTGATTCGAATACCAGGATGCTCGATTGTATATGTCAGAGCGTCTGCGATTGTCTCTTCAAATGAGAGGATGGCTAAGCTGAGGACTGTGGAAGGGGAGCCATTCGAGAGCAGGCTGACGATGAGAAGGTCGACGTGCTGGGATAAGCTTTCGAATGCTTTAGAATGGGATGTGTTGATTGCAGACCCAGAGGTTCCATCCTCGGTGACTATTTTCACTGTCCACTGCCGCAGAAGAGCACTGTAAAACCCAAGTAGAGTTGTTATGCCGTGAATTCCTTGGCTAAGAAGAGCCCTCTCGACATGATTCAGGTAAAAAGTGCGCAGGTCTGTCCTTGGTCAGCTTTTGGAATGGATGAATGCCATTTGGAACGCATACCTTCGAATTCTTGCGGAGGAAGGAACGCCAAGAGCTCGAGAACGGCGTCCAGGTTGGATGTGCCATTCCACTTGGGAAGGTAGAACTGAAGAAAAGAGAGCGCCGAAGCCGGAATAGACTTGTTTTTGTTAGCATCTACCCTCAGCTTTTCATATATGAACTTTACCTTGTTATACTGGACGTAGCGCACCAGGTTTGAGAGCAGCAGAGAGAGAGTACCGCTCTCGATAGGGCTGCCCCAAGGTTGATACATCTCTTCCTCGAAACAATGCGCGAGCCAGAACTCAAGTCGCTTGAAAGCTGTCTCGGACGGCCGCAAGACGAGAAATTTTTGAAGTAGATGATCATCAATTGCAGATACCATTTGATTTGGTAGCTCAATTTTCTCTAGCTTCCCTATGAAGTCTTCTACTGAATCGATTTCCTCAAGCGAAAAGGATCCCTATTAAAAATTAGATTAGACTTCCTCGAGCATGATCTAAAAGATAAAAATACCTCTTTCACTTTAGACGTGTGTACCTCTGGTACGGCCAAGTCTTTGTGTCGTCGAGGGCCAACCCGCTTGACCCTGAACCCTGAGGGTTGACGATCAAAGGCGGAATCTCTCTGCGCGTGATTCTCTTGGATGAGACGAAGATGATCGCGCCATTCAGGATCCGGGTGCTGAATATATCAGTTAATCAGCCGAATTTGCTTCCAGATCATTGGTAGCGTACAGCAAAGTAGGATCCACGCCCTTTTGAGGCATCATTGATGATTATATCAGGATAGAATTCCTTATAGATACGTATCAAACCAATAATATGTGGTTCATTTCCAAAGCTTTGACAAAGCTCAAGACTGTAGCGGAAAATATCAGCCAATGGTGCAGTTGAGGTTTCTTTCAAAGACTCACAGCGTCTGTACTCGATAAGGCTTGACGTGTTTTCTGCGTGTAATGATAGACAGAATATGACACAGCGGAGCCCTGTCCACATCATTATGAGTACTAACTTTAGTCATGATATCAGTAAACAATTTACCGTAGGCTCAGCATATCGAGAAAGCCGAAAAGCACTCCATAGAGTCTGCTCAAAACAGAAGGCTGATCCAGAGTTTCATAAACTAGAATGAGCCATCTCAATAGCAGAGCTTGAGTCGGCAGTGACGGTTTATTCCTTCCTTGGCCAAGGCAACCTACGACCTTGATGATGATATGGGCTGGGATATTCTCCATCGGATATAGCGATTTTATAATACGTGCAATGCTGGCTTGGTCAAGTTGGTTCGCTTGAGAGACAACATTGACTGCTCTTTCCAGTAACTCCGCTGGAACGCCATATTCAAAGGCACCGTTAGTAAAAGCATCAACCAAGGGAACTGTGTCGGTTCTTCTATTTTTTGGATTCCTTGACGCTGTTATCCATGTGTGAGCGAACTTGCATCCCTCATAGAGTTATTCGGTTGACCAACCGTTTTCAATATCCTGCAAAGCAGTCGCGAGCGCACTCCATCTAGAGTCTGTCGGAAGTGAGCGATTAATCCATTATGTTCCTTTCATAGAGCGCCTTACCAGGAAGCACAGCAGAAGGCATATTGCCTCAGACTACTAATTTGATTTAACGACAGCTTGCTGCTGCAATCTTCAAATCGCACCGTCGCGAAGCGAGTTGATATTGAAACCGCGTTTGGGTCGCGTAGCTTACTGTCACCTTACGCTCGATCACCATTTTCCAATTTTTGAAATTGTTTGTGTGATGTGATATGTGCAACACTTTGCGGCTTGGATTATTATTCTTCTTTGCTTGCTCGATTTAAGGTTAAGGATTTTTGGTTTTGGTGATCTAGGCTGAGCTTAGAAGGACTACGGAGTATCACAACCCTTTTTCTTGAAAGGAATTATATTATTGTAATACCGATGATAATTAAAAATTTCGTTCTTGAGACAAACGTCATCTACGCAGGATGATTGGATCACAGTAGCCCTATTATGGCACGGAGAAGCGCATAGCGTTTACGACAACAACCACAAAAGAAAGCTTGGGACAAATGTCGGATACGATAAAAAAGTATTTGAAAACGTTTCCAGCGGGATAACAAGAAAGAAAAGCAATTCCGTTTAAGCTACACAAGTCCTATACTCTCCACTAATCTCCTCGACAAGCTCCTAGAGAGATCAAAAGATACTTGCCGCCACTTTTCGTTGTTTGATATAGGCCTGACCCGGTAAAGAGAACCGGTACTTCACTTGCAGGCTTATTGTAAAATTATCATGATCGAAGTGAATAGAAAACGCAGCACTTGAAAGAGCCGCGCGGCGCCTAGTGCTAGCGCGCCTGCTACTCGACAACTTCGCGAATCCCTTAGAAGCACTTGCGGTGGACGATCGAGGGACCGCTCTCGTCGTACTCTTGCTTCGAGATCCACATCTGCTGGAATGTCGACAGAGAAGCCAAGATGGAACCACCAATCCAAACAGAGTACTTCCGCTCCGGGGGTGCGATAATCTTGACCTTCATAGACGAGGGCGCCAGGGCGGTGATCTCCTTCTGCATACGGTCCGAAATACCAGGGTACATAGTGGTACCACCAGACTAGTTTATTTATTAGCACGGATAACTTCGTCCAAATGACTCGGGAAAGGAAATCTCACCATGACAATGTTGCCGTACAGATCCTTTCGGACGTCGACATCGCACTTCATAATGGAGTTGAAGGTGGTGACGTGGATACCGCCACTCTCAAGACCGAGCACGCTAGGCTGGAACAGAGCCTCGGGGGCACGGAAACGCTCGTTACCAATGGTAATGACCTGTCCGTCGGGAAGCTCATAAGACTTCTCCAAGCTCGAGCTCTGGCTAGCCGTCTGGATTTCCTGGTCAAAGTCGAGAGCGACATAGCAGAGCTTCTCCTTAATGTCACGGACGATTTCACGCTCAGCAGTGGTAGAGAAGGTGTAGCCACGCTCGGCCAAGATCTTCATGAGGTAGTCGGTCAGGTCACGACCAGCCATGTCCACACGAGAGATGGCGTGGGGAAGGGCGAAACCTTCATAGATGGGCACGACGTGGGTGACGCCGTCACCCGAGTCGAGCACAATACCGGTGGTACGACCGGAGGCGTACAGAGACAGGACGGCCTGGATGGAGACGTAGAAGGCCGGCGCATTGAATGTCTCGAAGACGATCTGGGTCATCTTCTCACGGTTGGACTTGGGGTTGATGGGAGCCTCAGTGAGAAGGACAGGGTGCTCCTCGGGAGCCACACGAAGCTCGTTGTAGAAGGTGTGGTGCCAGATCTTCTCCATGTCATCCCAGTTGGTGACAACACCGTGCTCAATGGGATATCTAAGGGTGAGGATACCACGCTTCGACTGCGCCTCGTCTCCAACGTATGAATCCTTTTGGCCCATACCAATCATAATACTGCAAACGAAGTCAATAATCTTTCCCAATTTGTGCCGAATATTCATATCTTACCCATGGTGGCGGGGACGGCCGACAATGGAAGCTAGAAAGGCATCAGTATTTTGATCCTGCGACGAACCTAGGGGATACAGCGGCAGGCCAAGCTACTGGTCAACTACCGCCGAACTGGATGCAACTTACGGAAAACGGCACGGGGGGCATCATCACCGGCGAAACCGGCCTTGCACATTCCCGAACTGCAGAGTTGTAAGTTGAGTGTTCATATTAAAGAGCTACAAGAATGAGCTGATAGTTGGTAGCCTAATCGGCTCACGACGAAAGCTCTAGGTGCAGCGAGGCGAAAGGCAGCGAGCATCTTACCCATTGTCAATAACGAGAGCAGCGACCTCCTCTATAGCATGCAGTCAGAATAAAGTCAAACCATAACGTTGACAGAGAGCGGATGAAGGTAGGGGAGCTTGATGAAAGGGGTTTACTCCGGGGTAATCAACAAGCTTACCTTCCATGGTGAACGGTTAGAATGAAGAACTGAGAAAAAGTTTCAGAGGATTGGTTTCAGAGACAGATGCTAGAGCTCGCTGTAGAAGCAGACTACCAGCAAGCTGCAGTTGGAAATGGATGGAGATGGTATCGACGAGGATACGTGTGCTGTGATGAGGTTGGCAGATCGGGTACTTGACGGCAGGAGTTAATGGGGAGAGGCGGGTTGAGAGGTTGTGGGCCCGCCCGAGGCGAGACTATTAATTAGTTTCGTAATGAATACCGGATTTCCTTATCGGGTGATATTTACACCTTAAACACGACCTCCAAAGGGGTATGAGTGGCCTGTGCGTAGAATTCCAGTCGAGAATTGCTGGAAATCTGGCAAATTTATTTGGCAATGGGCATAAGAAGAAGTTCTACTCCGTGAAAGAGCGGAAGGCTTTGCTTTTATCTCCAGGAATAGGTCGAGTGTCGAGGTATCATCAGTGCTGTAGAGGACGAAGAAGCTTCCTCGGGAGTACGCGCGTCTCACTTGTCATCAACATCATCATGGTCCTCCCAATTGCCTCGACTGGCACATAGGTATTAGGCAGACACATATCACTGCTCTTCTACCCCTCGTAAAAGAACTTTTTTGACATTGTAGCATAAGCACGGCGCAGCCACTGTCGTTCCGATGTTCATAGACAGTCACCTTTCTAGAAAACATTGGATCACCTTTGCCACAACGATCAGCCGAACGAGTTTGTCAAAGTTGCAATCTCAAATTTCCCCATTTCGAATGGATTAACTGAAAAGCCTCTATTCACGGATTCAAAGGCAGGAGTTTTGCCTTACTACGGCTATTTCATTGTATCAATATTTGCTGGAAGTTGTAAAGCTCCAAAAGGAGAGCTTTAGTATTATTTGCTCCCTTTTGCTCTGACCCTATTTTACCGTTTTGGACTAGCCACATGTATCTAGGGACTGCATTGCTTACATAAGGTGGGGCACCCAAATAATTCTACGGCGGGGTACGGAGTAGCCAGAGGGAAGTTTGGTTCTGGCCCGGTGAGTTGGGAAGGCAGCCCCTGGAGAGAGGATGACCTAGGGGGTGCAACAAGCTTTTGAGCACATTTTGGAAAGCACTATTCTCGTCATTGATTTCTGCGACTCTTTCTCTGGGTTATTAGCATTAATTCGAATACCTGGATAGGCTTGCAAAGCTACTTGTAGTTTAATCACCAGGATTTACAATTAGGCACCTAAGGTACCTTAGGTACCTACCTAGGTAGGTACGTGGTACTTTGTATACCCTACAGTAATATCACGCCCCCTTTGGCGGCACCGATTGTATGGTCAATGCCTTAAAAGGTAGAGTTTTCTGTACACGAGGATTGGAAATTACCTAAAATACAAGATCTCTGTATTCTGGTATTCATGGTAGTGAAGTAGGGCAGAGCAGACAATATAAGAATAAAAGGGGCTATAAGCATCAACCAAGTTCAAGGAGGATGCCATTCAATTGATACAAAAATCTAAGCTAAATAAGTTGCTCATTTCCGTGGGCCAGTTATTTCAGATACGAGGGTTATCTACCTGCCTTTTTGACCCCGATTCCCCTAACGGCGGAAGAAGGGTTCCAGCTCCCTCAGCGGTCCGAGGGTCGAACAACATCCTGACATACGGAGAGTCACCTAACCATAAATGCAAAGAGGCGATTTATAGGCGAGACCGTAAACCCCAGTCATGCATTTCTTCGCACCTTTTGTGTAGCAGGCAGCAGGGTAACTGGGGTAGCCTTATTATATCCATCCCCATAAGGTGTGCAGTTTTGGACACTTAACTCATATCACATGATTCTTGAATAACATATTGGAAATTCTTATTTGGAAATATCCCTATATCTTTCTGTCCCTTATCCGGAAACGAAGCTGTATCCTACGCCCAATTAAAAAAGCATATCTATTCTTCTACGTTCATCATGGCGGAGCTACTGGAGCGAGGTCGGACGATATTCGAGGGTCAAATCGTATGTGCCTTATTATTCCCTTTCCTGCAATGACATGTCATTGTCAATTCCTAGTGCGATTCACTTCTGGTGCGAAATTGATTTGAACTCTTGACTGGCTTTATCGGGCCTGATGGACGACATGATGATCAACAAGACAGCTACGATTATCGTTTAAGCTGGCAGCTTACCTCGTACACTTTGACAGTGAGAGATTGACTAACTTCGCATTTCCCCTTCATTTTTTAGGATTTTGAAGGTCAACACAAAGCCGAACTCTTGACGACAACCCTTCTGGGGATTAGCGGTGTATGTGTCTTTCTCGCGCCCGCTAATATACTTCGTCTGGCTGATCAAATGTCCTTTGACTTGCAGTTCGTTGCATTTGTGATTGGATATTTGCTTCAGGACATTAGATTAACCCTAGCAATTGGACTGGGAGGCACGGCCCTGACGTTCATTGCCGTGGTTCCTCCGTGGAAGGCTTACAATAAGCACCCCATCGCTTGGCTCCCTGCAGAAGGCACGGAAGCTGGCAATGATTCACCAATAATTGTGGATGGAAAGAAAGTAAGATAGAGAGTTTTACGAGCTGAAAGAAGCTTTATTGTTTTGATTTTCCAGGCGTCAGAGGGAGTGTCTAATCTGAACGCGTATAATCTTCAATAATACTGTCAATTGAAGGATCTCGAATAACTAGCCTAACAAAGCCCTTGTCCCTCTGTTTCTGCTATGCATAATAATGGTAAAGAAATCATGTGTTTCATATCGTGATGCCGTGTTTTGCCTAAACCGAAACCTCAGTCGGCTTGCGCTGATGACCCAGTTGCGCCCCCAGTACCAGTTTCTAACAGAAAGTTGTATGTCGGATTTGAAGAAATTGTGAACGCTCCTAAGCTCGAGCGCTAACTCTTAAGACTTGAACCCGGCTTGGAATATTGTGGAGCCTCCCGCCTCTGTTTAGATATTTGTATCCTTTTAACGTCCATATTTCTGAAATTCCCAATCACGGTTATCCAGAGGGCACACCTGCCGAGTCTTGAGCCACCTTGAAATACAGTGGAAATGGAACGCATGCTGAATGATGTATTAGCACGTTATGTGGCGTGGCAGTAGACGGAAGGGAGACTCACGTTACAAATGCCCCATGCCACCGTACATTCCTCACTCGTTGCGGAAGCTTGATTGGCCTGACATTCGATGCCTGTTGATGTTGCATTAATGAAGCTGTCCGAGAAAGATCCGGAAAAATAACTAACAGAGATCCATGATGTGGTTTCGGCAGATGGCACAGTTGTCGACGACGATATCCCACGCCCACAAGGCAACGGCATTCCACTTCAATAGTCAGCAAGAAAGATGTGCGAAATAATGAAAAGGGGCACAGACCTTTTTGACTTCAAATCTTTTCTTGCCATCAGGTAGGCTATCTCCAGCGGGGCTGCCCTTGGATGTCTTCGTGCTGGGCTTGACTTTGCCGGCAGAGCCAGCATCGGCCATCTCGACGTCCGCCATGATGTATCGTTTACTGGCAGATTGATTCTTGTAGCAGAAGAAGGTAACTTCGAATATTTCAAAGTAGTCAGGACAGAGAAAGATCTGGCACAATGGGATAGAGATCAACGCCAACAAATCTAGCACTCTCTGTCTGGGTCGAGCTCCGTCTCAAGAGACTACGGGTATGATTATCGATGCCTACTAGTTAGATCGGGACACAAGCAAGCCAATAAGGACACGCAATTTTCATCACCTGGATGGACGATATTGTATTACATAAGCATAATCGACCCGTGTTCCAAGTACCTGGTGAATCTCGATATTGCCAGCATGAGAGCTGTACTGATACTTTCTAAGATTCATCTGTTTGGCCACAGTCCCGTGTCGCTGTACCCCCGCCTCTTCTCTTAACTCGGAGCCACACAACCACGTCCAACCTCGATTGAAGCCAACCACAACCAACTTACCTCTTCATTTCCACCCTCCACACCTCTTGACCACTTTAGATCATCTGTTGAAATCATGAACACCATTTGCTTCTCACACGCTGCCACTTCTTCCGTTTCTTCGACACAATACTTTGATCAATCAAGTTCGACTTCGCCCAGACCGCCCCTTCTATAACGTTTCTGATCGCAGACCGATAAGCTTCCTAACGATACGACCACCGACTGCAACTTGGTCTAGCTACTCCCAGCTTCACCTTTATTTGTTGCCCTAGAACATACCTTTTGTCTCCGCTCAGACTCGTCGATAAAGGATCTCTATTTTAAAGCCAGGCGATCTCATGTCCTCTCTCATCGGCAGTCCGCCACCTCAAGGCGCGAGAAAAGGATCTCATGCCCAAGGAGGGCGTTCACTCTCATCCAAGCCACTTTATAGTAATTCAAACATTTCAAAGCCTTCACACAAGAAACACAACGCCGGCATGGTTCCCTTCGATCCATCCACGGCCACTCTAGAAGATGGGCTTGGGTTCTCATCTGAGCCTAGCCATAACATTCAGTCAAGTCCACCTCGGACTCCTAAGCCGCGTCATCATAAAGACTTCAACATTACCAGCGATAGCTCGGCCCACTCAGGTCGAGACAATCCCTCCTCGCGGAAGAAGAGCAGCAGTCAGCATCCCATCAACAACCGCCAAAAGCCTCGAGCTAGAGACGCTTCATCATCGACACCTTTGAAAACTAGTGAGGCGCAGTCCGCGCAGAAGTCCGGTTCGGCTCGGATGAGTCAAGGTGTTCATCATACTCCGGCTCGTTCAACCGGTACGCCGGCTCGTATTGCATATGCAGGACCGACGTTCCATGCTTCACCTGCTCCCTCGGCGCTACCAATGCCAAGTTTCTTATCAAAATCTGTGCCAGAAGAGGGTCAAGGTGGTCTTCAGGCAAGGCTTGACGAGGACTCTTCCACGAGCACGGACTCCTCACCGACAATGACAGTGCCGTCGACCTCTGAAACACCCCAGGAACGGGAGTCGACACCGCTGGATCTGTTTTTCAGAGCAGACAGAGAGGAAAAGGCAAAAGCGCGTGCTGCTAGTGCTGCTGCAAGCCAAGCCGAAGCTGTTAGCCCTTCACTTAAAAGGACGAGTATTGGACTACCCCAATCTCAAAATTCAACACCTTTCGATGACCGATCGCGACTTCAGCCACGCCAGTCCGCGAATTATTCAAATACTGAACTGTTTCCAATGGATATGGAAAATAGCCGTGGCTCAAATACTCCAATTGGGCCGGCTTTTTCCACGCCCTTTGCGCAGCGTATGGGTGCCTTACGTGCGCAGACTGCTTCCTCCGGGACTGTGCAGCAAGATGATAAGGAAGAAGATAATTGGAAAGCTAAAACACAAGCACTCAAAAAGCTCTTGATGAACCCTCATAATCAGTCTGGTCTCCCCACTCAACATCATTCGGAGAGTGACTTGCTGCATCCTCATTCGGGATCCACGTCACCTGGAACTCGAAACTTCCTCAGAGATTTTCCAAATCACCAGGCTTTCGCGCGGACGGAGTCACTTCTGTCGATGCCACACAATTTTTCCGGTACCCCTCAGGCTCATGGAATCCGAAATTTACATGGTATGAACTTTACGGGGACCGGCTCCCCAAAGTCTAATTCCCGCCCGTCGAACATTCGTCGACAAATGTCCGCAAATACTCCAGAGCGCATGATTGTTCCTCACCCCGCTCTTTCGCCGAGCCCAACGTCGCGGGCATCTTACCTCGACGCGGCAACGATCTCACGAAACAACCTTAATGCTCATATACAACGAAGCATGTCTACCTCGCTACCGGCCTCTGGTGAAGACTCCCTTAAGTCTCATACTCCTCTCAATGTTCCCGAAAACAGCAGCAGCACGACTCCGCGGCCTGGATTGGGTGATGTGCAGGCCATGGAAAATGACTTACGACGTATCCTGAAATTAGACAATTTTGGCAATGCGGGGGGTTCTCCCTTTGGAAATGCGGCTCCTATTTTATCGGCATCTCCGAGCCATCGGCCGACACCAAGCGGTGTTAGAGACGGTGTTTTCTAGTCATGGCGTCGGTATCTTATCATCGATGTCTTACAGGCGACGGGCCAATGCTCATCTTAGTTTCTTTTGTCAGATGCTTTCTTATTCAAATCCCAATTCCGTAACGCTCTCTTTCCCGCGTTTTCTTTGCTACTGTCAAGCTCGGATTTGAAGGAACCATATATGCTGTTTCTTTTTCGGATCTTAATATGTCAACCATATCATTTTCCACTTATTTCTTTCGTGGAACTTTATTGATGACACGGTCTGACCAATGCCCTTCTTTTTCTCTTTTTTCCCCCTTTTCGCATTACTGCCTCAAGCCTCCTTTGCTTTGCTTTGATATTTTTCTCTAAGCATTGCGTCTAGCTCGGGAAATGATTGATTGCGTCTGCGACATGGTCATCATTATTGTGGATACAAAGCTTTTTTTTTTACACATTTGTGTTGTCGAGCAGCTTTCTTTATTGCGATATTCTGTTTGCGCGAACTTTTCAATCTCGGTTTCCCCTCCTTTCTGTCTTCCTATTTTTTTTCGGATAGTGCATTTTTGGAGTTCGGAGCCGAGGCTCTGAGTCTATGCTGGGGCTGGTTCGCAGCATACGTGCCGAAGCCGAGTTACGAGATCGATTTCATTCTTTGGCCTTCGCTTTTTTGTTATCAATTATTATTGTCACCGAAAGCGCAGCCAAGGGAAGCGATGCGCTGTTTGTCGGATCTGTTTATTTGGCGGGTCGATCAGCATTGTTTCTGCACCGAATAGCGCTGGCCGTCAAACTTCCGTTCCTCTGAGTTAGTATGGCTTTTATCCAAACAGAAGCTCAGTAGTTGTGGTTTAGTCGTCCGGCAATATTCCAATCTGGAGAATATTTCCAAGAACAGGCAAGGGAAAGGAATATGATCGGACCAACTCAAGGTTGATGGTCGAGGGAGTTGAAGGATAGTGGTTTACGGAGAGATGTGGGCGTCGGTAATATGTGGGGAAAGCAGAATAAAACTGCTTCTGGAGAGCGATGGGGATCAAATACTCTGCGATTTACTAGTGGAGTCTCGGGATGAAGTGGAGATAAAGATGAAGATGATGAAGGGTGGAGGATTGGAGGAAGTCTCCAAGTTCACAGACTTGGAGTGGATCCAAACTATAGATAAAGGTAGATCAGTCGCAAGCTACCTCTATGACAGCTTGCGGCGAAACGTTAATGCAATATCTGCTTTATCAACGAGCGGTGCACAAAGTCTTCAACGCGATGACGTGGAACAAGTAATCTCAAAGGAGCGGTAGCTTCACGTGAAAACCTCAATAATATTTGTAAAGCATAGACACATGATCGTGCCTCGTTAGATCCATTTTATTTCCGCCATTCTATTTACAAAACATTCTATGATCGTGTTTCCAAAATCAATCCTCTACGGCATGGAATACATGACCTGAGCAAGAGTTTCTAATTTACTCGACGACAACGTCCTTGGAGGTGTCGAGCTCCTCGCTGCGGCGAAGGTCCATGGGCTTGGCAAGCAGAGGGATGACGTAGGGGTCGAAGGTCTTCCAGTAAGGGTTGTTGAGGTGGTATTGCTGAGACTATATCGTTCCCAATGGCGTCAGTTTTGATCAAGTAACATATTACCGGTCTGGCAACAAAATATATATATATATGTATATGCGAATTGAATCGTTGGCGGTTTGAATTGCGGGGATGAACACGCCAAAACAAGCTTCTTCAAAGACTTAAGAGAACACGAGAGCAAAAAGCTGGAGTAAAGAGTCGTGTTGCAGAAAACATGGAATGAGGGAATTACGCAGCGGGGAAGTGCAGAGGATTTGGAATCAGGCAGCACGTCGAAAAACATTGAGAAAGGCTGGGAAGTATAAAGACTTACGCTCTCCTGCTCATAACGCTCGACAATGGTGAACTCGCGGGGGTCCTTGATGTCCTGCATGACGAACCACGAGAGAGTCTCCTTGTCGTTGGAGTAGACGCGGCTGGCCTCAATGAGCTTCAGCTGCAGCTTGCGGATGGAGTCAGGGTCCTCCTTGGCGTAGAGGTGGACGGTGATAGTGTAGACCATTTTGACGGATCGATTGAATTGAAGACGAAAGTTAGAAGGATGGTATAGTGAAGGAAAGGAAGAGTGTATGATGGATGAAGGAAGGGAAAGAGGATGTATGTGGAACTACTGTACCGAGAGCCCAGCGGTGGACTGAGGGGAGGGGGGGAAGGTATGGTGGGGTATGTTTTGTAGGTGCAGTAAGTGTGTTGCGTGTAAATATTGAGCTATATTTGTGGGTTTTACGGCAAGTGCGGAGGGGTGAGTCGTGCTTTCTGTGCCTCTAACATCCTACATTTGTGCGAGTCGATGGTAGTAATAGTGTTTTGTGCGTGTGCATAGAGATAGAGGGGCGCAATGTCGACACAGTCCTCTGCCATGGCCCAACTTCATTACTGTACTGTATTGGCGTCTACGTAACGTAGGTAGCTACGAATCTGCGTGTTTTTAGAGGGTATGAGATGGAATATTTCTTCAGTGCAATTATTGGCCGAAAGCAATGTCGCACCGCCAAAATCAGAGATATACAGAACACCTAAAGTTATGAACCTCGGAAACCTAGAAGCTGCAAATGGAGGAAACGAAATAGGATGATATGATGTCATTTGAAGAAGGACCATCATCGCTCCGCTTCTTCTTTCCATTTTGTTCTCTTCGCTTGAAATCTTTCCTTTTCCGACTGGCAATGAAAATTTCCTTTTCGGCGGGTTTATGAGGCCGCGCCACCTTATGCTGAGGAAAACGGTTGAGCTAAGTACTACTCATACCGAAGGACGGTGCTCCAGTACGTACCTGTGGTACCTGACCCTCTGGTCGCTGGATTCATTGACTGGAGCCTGCTAGGCGGTGACAGGCGTGACCCAAGTCCCTTTCTTGCCCCTGAACCGTCAAAATATTGGCGGCAAAGGGGTTTCGGACCTGCGCTAGCATAACTGTGACCCGCTAAAACGACCAAAGCGAAGGAGGAAGAAGATCCTTATGCTACGATTCGCCTCAACCTCTTGCCGGAGACGGGGCTGAAGTGACCAAGTGCAGACTGTGTTACGACAATCGTAGCGCTGAGCCGATAAAAGTAAGAAATTGCCATAACGTCAATGGCTGAGAAGATTGAGCCAAGAGTAAATCGTCATGCAAGCGATGATATGCAGGCAAAAATTCGCCAAGTCATGCCTGCAGTTAACCCGGGGACGAAATTTCCGCGACCGGCCACGCAGTTCATAGGGGCAGTCAGGGTACTTTGACACAACTACCGTCTCCTATTATGGAACCTGTACTCTTCCTTCTAGAAGATCTGTAACTTTGGAAATAAGTCTGAGGATGATTCCGGATTGTTTCAAATGACGTCTGTCAATAAAGGCAATGACAAAGGCTGGTTGGACTGTATCTCCCATTGTGTAATTTAAGGTAAAGAAGGCTTTGGAGTTACAGGGGCATTAACGAACTACGGCGCTCCTTGACAATACTCCTTTGTCTAATGATCAAATCTCATCAAGTCACACATTGACTATTATCATTATAGAATAATAGAAAACCGAGAACTGCAGAATAATATCCTTTCGTAATACAGCGCAGCCGAATAATTCTCTTGAAGATCGCGTACTAATTCTCGTCCGCTCAACGAGACTCTGCGACACGGATATTACCGCTGAAGAGCAGGTTTGTGATTACTGTGGCGGCGGTGACGAATCACCATTGTTCCTTCCTTATTTGCCTGAGGGTGGTTTTCACTCTTCCCTTTTTTATTCTTTTTGCCTCTGTTTGGCTTTCCTTGTCGTTATATCTACTGCTAAAGGGGGAGCAACGACAATCATCACGCTCGACAATAATACTTTGCACTGCGCAGGGCAACAGTACGTCTGACAAAGAGAGGGAAACGAACAAGAGTTCCCCTGTTCTCATCTCCCGCCAAGCTCGACGCTTTTCTGCGACCCCCCGGTCTTCTCCTCGCTCCATCGTCTTAGAGCCCGTCTCCCGGTCAAGATCCTACGCCGAGTACATCGCTTCTCCTTAGGCGGACCCATCTCCATCCCCATCAATAATATCATTGCGATTATCTGTTTGATTGAAATTCTCATTGTTCCCTTGGACAATTCGGTTCCAGACTTTTACGCAGCGGGTCATTGTTTCCTCTTCGGTTTGAATTTTCTTTTACACTTTTGCCGCTGCTAGACTAGCATCGGACCGTAAGCAAAGGCGCGTTGAAGGGAGACGAGTTTTTGTTGGTACAGACCCAGGACTGCTGTGCCTGAAAATATTATCGGCAAAACTCAATCGCCAAGCCAGAGAACCCGTTTGTAGCGTAAGCCACAGCACGGCACGCGCTGGTTCACGTCTTGGTTTGTTGCACTACGCCCACACTACCTCAGATCCTCCACCAACTCTCCACTAACGCCTTTCTCTCTTTCGACCACCCAAGATTCCCAATTCTCTCCATGTTCCAAGACTGTACAACACTTTGAACCCCGTCAACCACCATCGTCATCATCATCATCACTGTTGCCAGAACGATAGCCTCTAAACTGGCTGTCACCCCTTCTGCCTCCTCCTCGTCTCTGATCAATTTGACGGCCTCCGAATCTTGTCCAGTCTTCTCTGGCCTGCCATCGGCATGGCGTCCAAGTGAGTCTCCCTCTTTTCGTATTCGCTTTCTTCTCTCTAGATCTCTGTCAATGGCCGAGCGAGCCCTGTCCAGGCATTTATCCAGCCGCTCATCTACTCATTTCCAATCGTGCCCACCTTAGCCCCAAGGCGCACATGAAAGCGTTGACTGACTTGGACACACTTTCTAGTCTGATGTCATCATGGAAGACCTTTTGGCATACCATGACTTCCTATGACCGCCATGCTTCCCACGATTCTCCTTACCGTACAGGACAGCACGTTCCGCTCGCGCAGAGCCGTCATGCTCCGCTTACTTCTGTTGCTACGAGTGCCATTGAGTCGCGGGCCGACCTGAACTCTCCCTATCCGGATGATAACATGCGCGCCGCTCCATCGGCCACGCCTTTTTACGGCGCCAGCAATGGCTTTGCGCCTACGTCAAGCTCTCCCTATTCGCCTGGCATGCGATCCAGCAGCGCGACTCAGCTAAAAGGGGCTGAGACTCTTGACGGCGCTGCCACCGGCGAGATTCCAATGCAAAACTTTCAGGACGGTTTGCCCCCGCCTCCTCCTGTCACCCACTCGTGGAGGCGTATCGATCGTTGGGTCGAAGACAACTATCAGGAGCTTTTCGATCAGGTCTGTGAAGGCTGCACCCAAAACGATCTCAACGAACTCGAACACGAACTGGACTGCTCGCTTCCCATGGATGTGCGCGAATCACTTCAGATCCACGACGGCCAGGAACGTGGAGGTATGCCCACTGGTCTCTTGTTTGGCTGCATGCTGCTTGACTGCGAAGAGATTGTCCACGAATGGCGTAACTGGCGCACTGTGGCCGACGAGTTTCTTTCGTCTGCACCGTACCGGCACCCACAGCCTCCCGTCAAGGCTTTTGGCGGAGCGTCGTCTTCTTCCTCGTCCCAGGCACCCGTGCAACAGGGCCCCAACCCGCTCTGGCGCCAGGAGCTGCTTGAGAAGCAGGACTCGCAGCCCCCGCGTGCCGTCCAGAAGGCCTATGTCCATCCGGCTTGGATCCCGCTGGCTCGGGACTGGGGTGGAAACAATATCGCCGTCGATCTTGCGCCTGGGCCCGCTGGCCAATGGGGTCAGATCATCATCTTTGGCCGCGACTACGACTGCAAATACGTCATCGCCCGCTCTTGGGCTGCCTTCCTAGCCATGGTCGCCGACGACTTGGGCAGCGAGAAGGTTTTCGTGCACGAAGAAACGCAGGAACTCAAGCTTCGCGAGTTTGACCGACCCGGTGTTGAACCTGCCTATCTCGATATCTTGCGCTGGCGTGTAGATCAAAAGCATGGCCGTCGTCCGCCTCCCTCCAAGCGCCGCGCTGGTCCGCCCGTGAATACCCAAAATGGTGGTGTGCCGCACAATGGGCCTTCCCCTTATGGCAGCCCTACCATGTCAGCGCGCAGTGACTCCCCACAGCGCTTCCCCAGCACGTCTTTGTCCGCCATGAGCCCCAAGACTCAAGGTGCCCGAACCAGTCCGCTCGCCCGAGTCGCCGAAGAACTCCCCGCTCCTGTGACCGTGCATACCGGTGGCAATGCCAACGATGACCCGACGGCCACCGAAACGGCCGCCAGTGAACGCGCCGGCAAGCTTGTTGAAATTGCGACCCCACAACTTTCGGGCTCGGATGCTGCAGATGATGAAGCGGCACTCAAAGGGCCCAAGGGTATGACTGAACCATCCGCCAACTCCCTCGCAAATACGGACGACGAGACTCCGACCGTTGGAGAAGTCACCGGTCTGGGCGTACAGGGGGTGACTGAGCCGGCCAACTCCACCAAAGCTGAAGCCGAGGAGTTGAAGAATGTAGAAATATGATCCCTTGTACCTTGGTTCATTTGATCCTCCAATACCTGTTCTGGCCTATTTCCATCTGGCATGGAGAGCGCAATGGTTTGGTGCGAGCTTGTTTGAAAGGCCAAAGGGGGAGGGAGGGGCGTCGTTTGCGTCTTTTGCTGATCAAGGTTAATTAGATGGCCATTATTTTTTTTTTTTTTTTTCTGCTTGACTTGCCAGTCGATCTGGACCCCCCATGCATCAAAGTGGGTTACTCTGGATGCATTTCTAAAATGTACTATTCCTTTATGTTCTTGTTTTGTGCCTCATTCATCCTGGGCCACTCTCCGCGTGGGATATCTTCTGGCTTGGTCGATGTTGTTGAACGGCTTCCTGCGCACTCTGCAATTCCCTAGCCATACCGTTTCGAGGCATTCCGTTCGCTGGTATTATTATGCGCATGAAGATGTTAAGCAGTTATGGTGGTAGGAGTTAGCAGCATCCTCGTATGCCGCATTCTGGTGCGCTTCATGACCATTCTCCCTAATCGACACAAATTAGGAGAATGGGACGCATGTCTTGACCTTTTTTTCGGATCGATTATTAAACCCAATTTCCCTTTCGAAGGTGCCACGCATTTACATTCATACATTGATGTTGATGCACACTTTTTTCCTTTTCTTCTCTTCTCATTGACAAAGCACACGCTAGATTCTGGATTTTCATGTATCAAGATGCAGCCCCTATTTTGTTTTGCCATGTCTCATTTACATCCATTGTCTGCTTCCAAAGATTGTTATCTTATGTCATGCTTCTCCCCTTCGGCTTTCAATGCAAAGTTACCCCCTGCTCTCGTTATCAGTCTTTTCAGTTGTTGTTTTCATACACCTTCAATACATTGAATATTTCTATTAAACTTAATGAAACAAGCTGAAGAGTAAATGAATGTCAAGCTTATAAGAATCTGTGAATCAGATCAATGAGTGATGAGAGTGGGAAATGCGGTGATGATATTGTTTGCATCATGCTTTCTTTCCTGTTGTGCTTTTAAATCAGGAAATAATAAAGGGCAGTGATAAAAATAGAAAAAATAAATACAATTAAGCAAAAGCAAAGCAAGTGACGTTTGAATATTTAATTTTTTTGGTTTAAAATGTATCACCCTATCTTCTTATTCGGTCAGTTAGAGTCTGGCAAACTTGAGATTGCGATGTGTTGTAGAGTTTGAAAATGCAACTGTGGTATACGGATGGACGGAGTAGTTCTGCCAGGACCCTTGGCAGCCGAAGGGCTCTGAGGTTGAGATTTTACTTCTCACCGCCTTCGGTAAACCCCGTGCTGCGATACGAATTTCTCGAGCAGGTTCATGCCAGTCCAAAACATCTCCATTGCGCAACATGGAGAATGCAAAGCCTTTTCTAGCCTGAGCGGAAAGTTTGAACAATATATCTAGAACTTGCTCACGATGCCAAAATTCGTGCCGCGTCAGCGGAAGCAAAAGGCGCGGCAACGGCAAGCGGCCGAAGAAGCAGCAGCCGCATCCGCAATCGCAGCCCGCAACACAGGAAATGGTATTTCAGCCGGAGCTGGAGAAGATTCCAATGCTGCTGAACTGGCGCCAGAGTCCAAATCAGTGAGAGATGAGCGGAGGCGCCAGTTGCGGGAGGAACTGCGGTCGCAGCAGTCCAGCAAAATAACTACAAAGAAGCAGAAAAGACTGGATAAATACATTGTACGGCTTCCGCCCCTTCACTGGTAGAGTGACTCAGGTGTAACTCGTCTACGGCATTTTACTCGCTCGCCTGTATATACGAGATTGTGATATCAAGACTAATGCTCTTTATAGGACAACAAATTGAAAAAAGAAGAGAATCTCGAATTGATCAAGAAGCTTGCCGATGCGAAAGTCGACACCAGCCTTTTCCGAAGCGCTAGAAGTCTTGGAGGCAAGACCGAGTCAAAGCGAGATGTGCTGTCCAGGGCAATGAGGGAGAAGAGAGCCGGGATTGACGTGGAGAAAAATGATGCTATTCTCCTCACTCCTCTACGGCAACCGGAAGCCCCCCAGGAGGAACCGGCCTCGGATAGTGAGTCCGTTCAGAGTGAAGGTTCGGCCGATTCGTCGCAACAGGCTCCGGTCAATCAGAAAACAGAAGAGAAGCCTTCGAACCAAATAGTTCAGCCTCCGCCGGCGGTTGCAGGAAGTGGACTAAAACGGGCGTTGGATGTTGGAGACGATGGGAACCCTATTATCAAGAAAAGAAAGAAGCGGCAGCCCTTGAAGCCAATTAAGCCGGTTGTGGAGCCAACTGTGGAGCCCGAATGGGAGGGCTTCGATTCTGAGTCGGGTTCTGAGAGCGAGGGCGATGTTTCAGCTTCCAAAGACGGCGAGTCTGAAGGCGCGGAATCCTCGTCCGAGGAAGGAGAAGAAGAGGGCGACGAAGTTGATGCGGAATCAGAGGATTCGGGCTCTGGATCTGAAGGGTCAGAGAGTGAAGAGGAAGAAGAAGATGACGATGACGATGTGGAGGAGGATGACAGTGAAGAAGAAAGCGAAGAGGGAGATACACAGCAACGTTCCTCGGCCTTCAAAGCCTGGGCAATGCAGCAGAGAAATGAGGCTCTTGGTTTTACGCCGTCTGCCAAACCCGAGGACGAGGCACAGTTGCCAGAGCACACGATATCCATCAACTTTACGCCTCGCGAAGTAGAGAGTGATCCACTACCGCCGGAGCTTGAAACGAAAACGGTTACGGATGCTTATCGAAAGTCCTATAGCGTTCCCGTAGAACGATCCGAGGAGCTCCAAGAGGCTCGTCTCAAATTGCCCATTGTGGCAGAGGAACAGAAAATCATGGAAGCGATCCACAACAATCCGACAATTGTTGTCTGGGGTTCAACTGGTAGTGGTAAGACTACGCAGGTACCGCAATTCCTCTACGAAGCAGGATATGGCAGTCCAGACGGCCCCACTCCTGGTATGATTGGTGTCACCCAACCCCGAAGAGTTGCAGCCGTGAGTATGGCGAAGCGTGTTGGCGATGAACTTGGAAAGGATGCGAACAAGGTCGCTTACCAGGTAAGTAAAAGAAGAGTATTATCTTAGAGGGGTTTCCCTGTAATGATTCTCACCGTTGTCCAGATTCGATTTGAAAGTACGGTGGCGGACGGGACGGCGATCAAATTCATGACAGACGGTGTGCTGTTACGAGAAGTTGCTCAAGATTTTGCATTGACAAAATATTCTGCCATTGTGATTGACGAAGCTCACGAGCGAAGCGTCAACACGGACATCCTCATCGGCATGATGAGCCGTATAGTAGATCTCCGAGAGACGATGGCACGCGAAAATCCAAAAGTCAAGCCTCTGAAGCTGATCATCATGTCTGCCACGTTGCGAATCTCCGATTTTACGGAAAATAAAGCTCTATTCCGCGCGGGTCCGCCGCCACTACTCCAGGCAGAAGGGCGCCAGTATCCTGTCACAATGCACTTTTCTCGCCGGACTCATCGAGACTATCTTGACGAGGCTTTCAAGAAGATTAGCAGAGGTCACCGAAAACTACCCCCTGGAGCCATGCTCGTCTTCTTGACTGGACAGAATGAGATTAAGACTCTCTCGAAAAAGCTGAGGCAGGCTTTCCCATCAACCACTGACGGCAACATTTCTGGGCCTTCTGTCCGTCTCTCAGCCAATGAAGGTATAACAACTCCCCCCTCCCTTTTCTTGATTTTTCACCTAGGTTTTGGCAATCTAACAAACTTGGATAGTTCCACTTGAGACTGAAGACATTGAGCTCGGTGATTATCAAAAACCTCTCGTCGACGAGGAAGACTCGGGCTCGGAGCCTGAAATCACAGGACTCGATGAAGAAGAAGACGAATTCGACATTGGCGAGAAGCCAGAATCGCCTCTCAAAGTCCATGTACTTCCGCTGTATTCCCAACTGCCAACCAACCAGCAACTGCGCGTGTTCGAGACGCCTCCAGAAGGCTCGCGTCTCATTGTGCTCGCAACAAACGTTGCCGAGACCAGTTTGACCATTCCCGGAGTCAAATACGTCTTTGACTGTGGCCGTTCCAAGGAGAAGAAATACGATCGTGCCACTGGAGTGCAAAGCTTCGAGATTGGCTGGATCAGCAAAGCCAGCGCCAGCCAGCGCGCGGGTCGTGCAGGCCGTACCGGTCCGGGCCACTGCTACCGACTCTACTCTTCTGCCGTGTTCGAGCGCGACTTTGACGAATATGCCGAGCCCGAGATCCTACGAATGCCAATTGAAGGCGTTGTGCTGCAGCTCAAGAGCATGGAATTATCCAACGTCATCAACTTCCCCTTTCCCACGCCCCCAGACCGTCCAAGTCTAGCCAAGGCCGAGAAACTCCTGACTTACCTGGGCGCCCTGGACCCCGAGGGTAAAATCACGCCCCTCGGCCGGGAACTGTCCATTTACCCCTTATCCCCGCGCTTCGCCAAAATGCTCTCCCTCGGCCACTCGCACAACTGCACCGCATATGCCGTCGCGCTCGTCGCCTCCCTCGCCGTGCCCGACCTCTTCATCCCGGAGAACCAACTCGACCTTCACACACCGGCGAAAGCCAATGGCGAAGATGACAACGACGACACAAAAGTCTGGACACAAGCAGACAGTATTGCCGAAACGGCCCGCGCCCAGCGCCGCAAAGCGTACAACGCCGCCCACCACCAGCTCAGCAACCTCGCGCCCACCAGCGACGCGCTCAAGCTCCTCTCCGCCGTCTGCGCCTACGCCTACTCCCCGCACCCCGAAGCCTTTTGCGACTCCATGTTCCTCCGCGCAAAAGCCCTCGCCGAAGCCGCCCAGCTGCGGCCCCAACTCACCAACATCCTCCGCGCCGCGCACCCGCCCTCGTCCTCCGCTTCCCCCAGCACTTCCTACACTCCCCGCCTACCTCAAGCCACGCCCAAACAACTCGCCCTGTTGCGCCAAATCATCACCGCCGCGTTCATCGACCACGTCGCCCAGCGCGCGGACATGACTTCTTCCTCTTCGTCTGCGTCCGACTCCTCCTCCCTGCCCTATCGTCGCAAACCTACCCGCGCCACCGACGTCGCGTATCTCCCTTTATTCCCTGTCCACCGCGGTCGATACTCCTCTTCCTCCTCCTCTCAGCACGCGTCTTCGGGCGGCGACGGAGAAGTAGAACTAGATCCGTACATCTACATCCACCCTTCCTCTGTCCTGTCACATACTTCCCCCAAGGAAATGCCGCAGTATATCATCTACTCGCACTTACAGCGGTCTACCCCTTCGAGGGAGGGCAAAGCGCCCCGCACACGCATGTTCCCGCTCACGCCCACCACGGGCCCCATTCTCGCGGCCCTCGCGCAGAATACCCCGCTGGTCGAGTATAGTAAGCCGATTGCCGGCAAGATTGAGCCTTTTGTTTCTGGTTCTGGTCCTGTTTCTGGTGGGAGCGCAAGGTCTACTTCAGGTGGTAAAGGGATTGGCGAAGACGGAAAAGAAAGGCGCATATGCTGGGTCATCCCCTCGCTCACGCCCGGGCCGGGGTCGCTCGGCTGGCCGCTGCCCGCGCGCAAAGTCGTCCAGCGACGAGATGGGACCAGAGGGTGGGTTGTCGAGCGGGTGATTCAGGGGTAGTAGTAGAGATCCTAGAGTCCTGAGGGTTTTGAGAGTCCTGAGAGGCTAAGACTCCTGAGAGGCTGAGAGTTTTAAGAGGCTTGAGGGGTGGTTTTGTATATACCTTTCTTTCTTTCCAATATGTATCTTTTTAGATTCTAGGTTTAGCACCTAAGTATATATTTATCTTTTATCATTTAGATTCTAGATTTAGGTTTTAGGTCGGTCTTGGTTAGACAATTGATTTGTTACTATCCATTTATCCATCGTCCATCGTCCATCGTCCATCGTCCAGAGTTCAACTGTCCATCTGTCTAAATATATATATAGACTAAGAGATACATATTTAGGGCCAAATGTGGATAAATGGATTATGCAGGAGACAAGGCTACGAGAGGACATAGGGACTATAGCTAAGACAAGTATTATAAAGAAAAGCAAAGCACAGCAAAGCAAAGCGATGCATCAAAGTAGGATGGCTTATAAATTGTGTATGAATGTGGCCATATAAGAAAACTCAAAGTTTGAAATCATATGAATCATCGGTCTAATAATAATGGCAGCCGTACGCTTGATACGCCCAAAACAAGAAGAAAAACAAAGAGAAAAAGGTATCTATACAATCAGGTATTGTGTGGAAGTAGAAATGGTCTTTCCAAAAAAAAAATAAATAAATAAAAGTGAATAGAAGAAAATAGAGGGGGGGAAAAACCCAATATGGTACGCCGAGGATTTACTAAACAGGGGAAAAAATAAAAAATAAAAATAAACGCCGCTGATGTACAAATCATGAAGAGTCAACCTCCTAATAAAAGAAAAGGAGAAAGGAGGAGAAAAATGAAGTGAAAGAAAAGAATTGGGAAGAAAAGGGGAATGAAACAATCAAAAAGGCGCACCGTCTAATAAAAATCTCGACGAATGCTTCGGCATCGCGGACAGTTTATTAGTATGAAACATCCCGTCGTCATCGACATCTTCGCTGTGGTCACTAAACGCAGAACTGCGCGGCGAGCCGGACGACGATTCGGCCGTAAAGGAGCGAGCCAGGAGCACGGAGCCCGTGGAAGAAACGCGGCGAGTGAAATCGGACAAGCTCTGTCGTTTGACGCTCTGGCTGCTTCGTCTGCTGTCTGTTGCGCCGAGGCCGCTGCGGTCAGGCGACTCTGGAGCGTCGTTCCATCGATAGGAAGAGCGGGATGGCAGCGCGAGGCTCGTGGGACGGGAGCGGACTCTATTGCTTGAAGATGCTTTGTGGGTCGATGTCGAGTTGGGTATGACTGGGGGTGTGGTTTGTCGGAAGGGAAGATCGGAGGATTGGAAAGAGGAGCGAAGGCCAGCTGCATCAGGCAGAGGAGCTGCAGCAGCAGCTGTCGACGATTGTGCTGCGGGAGGTAGAGTATTTCCACTACCGCTGCCGGTGGCGGTTGCAGTGGTGGGCGTGTTTGTGACATGTGTAGGAGGGGTATTTTCTAGGGGATCTAGTTCCGAATCGTCGTGACCGTCGTCGTTGTTGCGTGGGCTGTTGGTTTTGCCCTTTTCGGTCTTCTTTTCCAAATCCATCTCTTCCATGAGTGCCTCGAAGCGTGCAATGGAGCTCAGGCCTGGCGTGGATACTCTCTCGCTTCCAGGGATATAGTTCATCATAAAAGCCCGATCGAGGATGGTCTCGCGAGGTTTGGGCAGCGCATTTATTGTCGAGCTCGAGGGCAGGATGGGAGAGTGCGGGGATCCAGGGGACGGCTGCGAGTACAGACTGGCAAGGCCGGGATTGAGCGATGCGGCTGCCATTGGAGTGACGGGCGAGTCCACCATGGGCGACGGGAGGTCTGATATTTTGCTAAAATGTGACTTTTTGTCCGAATTGCTGCTCGACATTTCGCTGCGGTTCGAACCAATAGAGCATGTGGGGCTAAGCAATACTGAAGGCGGGTAGCCGCTCGTTGTCGAGTGATATGACTGCTGCAGATGAGGAAGAGTGGGCCGCGTCGAAGACGAGAGTGAAAAGCCTTTGCTGCGACCAAAGGAAAAGTTGGGGTTGAAGTCCACACCGGGGGAAACTTGGCTCATGTGTTGCAGAATCGCATCTCGCCATTCCAGTAGGCTGGGAGAAGGGCGGTTCTCGTCGCTGCGAAACAGCAATGTGCGTTGACGAGATTTGCTGGAAAAAGGCGATGCAACACTATTTTGACTAGATCGACGTCGTCCTCCAGTGGGAGTCCCAGGGGCTTCTTGCTCAAGCTCGAGAATCAGCGTTGGCCGAGCAGGTCCTGGTTTCCGGCGCATAATATCTTCGACGAAGCATGTTCTAAACCTTGAGAGGGGATAGCGAACAATGCAATCGGAATCATTCTGGAGCCGACCAAAAGTAAGCTTGCCGTGCCTCTCCCGTATACAATTTTTGTGGTCGATCAGGTCCAGCTTCACCAACCTTTTGCTTGTATATTGAAACTCCCCACGTACTACGTTGTACAGAGTTTGAGCTCGAGCCGTCCGACGATTGGCAAGGGCACGAGGATTTTGTTTGTTTCCAAGCAGCGTACAAGCGATGCGAAGACGGTCTTCTTGCGAGGCATTCAGCGCATGGGCTGTTGATTTGACCAAGAACTACATATCGTGTCTGTGCATTTGGTTCGTACAAAGTTAGTTACGCTCTGTGTGTGTGCGTGGGGGTCTGGAACAAAGATCAAAAATTGTCTGACCTTCCAGGGCGAACGGCCCAAGATCGAACTGCGTTCCGGTGGTAGAGACAGAAACCCTTCCATAATTATATCGACGCTCAACGAAAAACCGCCAGAACCCTCATCCGAATCCACGTTGTTGAATTTGTTGGGCGAGCCTTTCTCATACGCCTGAGACGAGAGAGAGCGAGAGCGGGATGCTTGCTGAGCGAAATGACTGGGTGTCTAAACGATTCAAAAGAATGCAGAGAACCAAAGCAAGACAAATAACAATTTCTGCTATCGGATTGAATTCAAGCCAATGATAGATTTTTATGCGAAAGGGATCATGGGAGAGAGCAGAAGTGTCCGGCAAAATAGATAGCGATGGCAGTAAAATGCGGAGAGCGTGGGCGTGGGGCCAGGGCGGTGGCCGACGTGGATGAAAAGCATCAAGCACAGATGATTCTTGATAATAGCGTGGTGTGCATGCGTGTGCGTGTGCGTCTTTTGATTGTGATCCTTCTCTTGTCTTGGCTCTACAGTAGTCTTTACAATGCTAAGTTATTAGGGGCAAGAATTATATTAAACTTTCCGACGACTATGATATAAGCTGATGGCGATAGTCGCATACTACGGAGCACGAGTCCCCCTGTCACATTAATTCGAACATTATCACTTGTGTTTAATCGCATTTTGGCCGTAGTCTCTCTAGCACCCTCTCTAGACCCGAAAGACGACGCAGGTCCGAGAAAAACCCATTCCTAGTTGCAGCGACACACAGACAAGGGTTTTCGACCTGCATCACGTTCCTGTTCGAGAAACTGAAATAAATCCGAAGTAAGAACGAGTCAAGTGTATCCATTTCTCGACCAGTCCAGACGATTTCTTTTTCTTTCCCTCTCTCCGGGCGAGCAAAATAAAAATTTTTGTTTATCAATTTGGGATCGACATGCTCATACGATTGCCTCCGTTCGCGGCCTAGATGCGGCAGACTAAATTGCGAATTTCCCCACTAGACGTCCCTCTCAGGGTCCCACGCTTTCTCCTGTTGATCAATACCCGAGGAAGCCATGTAACATAACCATGGGAGACTCGTGACGGGTGAGCCACAAGAAATGCGGTCCGCTGACACTTTCAGATCTCGGGTCGGGTTGCGCTTCAATTGAAAACTCACGGCTGAATCTCTTCGGTGCCCACCCCAAGATGGTTAGTTGCTGCACGCGATTGTGGTTCAGCTTTAAGGCTAAAAAGCATCCACCAACTCTTGGGAAAAAGGGGGTCATGAACCGGGAGACGGAACGGAGAACTGTCCAGGTAAAGATTGCGACAAGACGAAACCGACCCATCCAACCGAGAGAACCATTTAGCCCATGTAATTCTCCTTTGCCATGCTCCCCGCTAGGGCCACGAGCAAGAAAGCATGGCGAATCATCGCTAACATCCCTCCTCGCCCTCACATAGCACTACTGTCCTGTATTGACTTGGGCTCGGCCATGTGTAGGATAGTGGTTTAGACCATTTGCTAGCATCGCCCATAAGGTCTGTACATCCGTGCTTTTTCTTCTGTTTGTCCGGAAAAACACTGGGAGAAAGGCCGAAGTGCACGATCATTCAATTCATCCCACGCTCTTGAGTCAATTGTTTTGATAAGGCACCCGGGATCCAATTTAGGAACTCAGCCCAGTGCTGCATATGGACGGCACATTTGCCGGTCATATACGTCAGAGTTGCTATTTCGATATATTCTGATCGTCAATTCGATCGGAGCCTTGTAATCTTGGTCGATCGATCTTCATGGCAGTTATATAGTCGTATCTTTGACCTTTAGGCTGTATTAATGCTGAATGCAAGAAAGTCGCGGACAAACCTATTCTCCCGTTCTGCTATTGTTTCCAAGCAATACTCGGCATTGGATTCGGCAAGGAGATGGTGGCTCATCTTCTCGGTCAGCTCAATGATGTCTCTTCTGAGTCGAACGCTCAAATATTTCATTGACCACTGATTTCTATGCCCTCGATTCGTCATTGCTATCAGCAGAAATCAGAAGGTTGAACTTGTCGTGCGGACCTGTAATGGGCTTGTCTTCAATGATCATCTGATGTTCACGTCGTTTCATCTGATGCATTGGATGAATCAGCTTCCAGGGTGCCTTTGTAGCAGAGTGCATCATACCTGCGGCGTACCCAATGTAACCTTCTAGCGGAGTAAGAAGCTTGAAGACGAAATAAACATTGAGTTGAGCGCGGGAATTTGAGCGTTTTGGGCAGAGATTATCTCGCTGTGGCCTTACTGCTCATCTCCAAAGACGAGTGTACAACGCCCAAGCAAGACACCAAACCAGCAACACTTGCTCGCTATTTTCTCCAAATCGAATCTCATTGCTCTGACATTCAATCTCAAATTCATCAAAAATCCCGAGATTTTCAGGCATTGGGTCACTCAGCAAAGAACACCTCCATTGGGCGTAGTAACGGAAAATCCCATCTAACTTGTACCTAAGGTATACCCAGAGCATACCCCTCTATAGCGTCCTACCAAAGTCTACAGCCCATCTTCTCAACCCACGACAGTCACACATCGCAATTATCTTTTATTTTCCATCTTTTATTCTTTCCCAAATCATCTTAAATAACAAGATATAAGCTGCATATATGTACCAATCATTTTTTCCATTCATCACACTGGACTCTGAGATTGGCCACATTCGCTATAACATGTACAGCAGGAGGGGCAGGATCCGCAGTGCAAGACCCACCTTATCACCTTTTTTGGTCTCCCAGCGCAATCACGTCAACCTCCCCAGAAATTGCTGCTACGTTTCTTATCAACCGCCATACTCATAACAGTAGTAAAAATCAACCAAAATGTCCAAATTTTTTCCTATTCTTCTACGTAAGTCACACGGTATTGTAGATAAGATTAAGCAGGGGGAATATAAATAAGAAAAATATCCTTGCACATAAATGCGTAAATACAAAAATTTTGTCTTTTTGTCGGACGTGGACTCGGACTCTCGAGATCAGCAAAAAAGAAAATAGCCCCACGCTTCCTAGCTTTGATCCAACAACGCCCTCATTGGCTGGGATTACAGTGACAGGGACATTGAACAGCCAAAAGAAGAAGAAAAAATACAATACACAAGTGAAAATGGCGTGGCCAAACAAGAACCCGGACATGCTGTATCGCCGCGTTGGCAATTCTGGATTGCACATTTCAGCTATTGGATTGGGCTCGTGGTTAACGTACGTAGCTTGGGTCCCGACTCAGTTTTGCCAAAGGATACTGAAATCTATTGATTGGACTATCTTGGAGTTTGAGGCGACTGACTTGTTTCTTCTAATGTTATAGGTTCGGTGGTCATGTTGAAAACGGTACGTTGAAGTGATGGCTCGACACAAAAGAACCCTACGCTGCTAGATGAAAAGGAGCTTCTGGAAGCTCAATTCAATAATGGAAAAAAGCTATGGTCGAAACCGACGATTACTGATACGAGGGGACCGTGCCAGAAACAACCTTCCAGTGCATGAAGACTGCATTTGACAATGGAATCAATTTCTTCGACACGGCGGAAAAGTAAGGTTCACTTTTAAACTACGAAATGGGACTTCAAACGCAAGTGTCATCAGGACAGAACACGTGGAGAAACTGACAGCTTATTGTGGTAGCTACTCCAATGGTCAATCCGAAATTGTCGTGGGCCAAGCGATCAAAAAGTTTGGCTGGAAGAGAAGTGATCTGGTCATTTCTACCAAGGTGAGTTTCGCATAACCCGGATTTACATTCAATTCGCTCTCCCATGCTGTGGATCTTCAACGCATACTGACGCAAATGATAAGATCAATTACGGCGCTGTGAACGGCGAGATCTTGATCAACAACCACGGCCTGTCACGCAAGCATATCATTGAAGGAACTCGAGCGTCTCTTGAACGGCTGCAACTCGACTATGTGGACATTGTCTTCGCCCATTGCCCAGACCGGTTGACGCCGATCGAAGAGACCGTGCGTGCTTTCAACTGGGTCATCGATCAAGGGCTCGCGTTTTATTGGGGCACTTCTGGTTGGGGAGCAGACGAGATTCAGGAAGCGCATGGCGTTGCAAAGTCCCTTGGCTTGGTTGGTCCAATTGTCGAGCAACCGCCTTATAACATTCTTGATAGACAGGTGGTCGAGGGCAATTTCCAGCGCCTCTACTCTCGTGTCGGTACTGGCCTGACAGTATACTGGCCCCTGAAGATGGGCCTGCTAAGTGGCAAGTACAACGATTCTTTGGAGGCACCGCCGCCAGGATCACGCTTCGCCGAAAGCCAGGACCGTTTCGCCCATAGTGTGCGTAGCAGCTATGGCAACGAAGAGTGGAAAGCAAATATTCTCAAGATTAGGGAACTGAAGGTAATTTATCTCTTTTTTGGGAGTATTACTCGCGAGTGACTTGGACGCTAATTCCGGAAATTTGTTACAGGAACTGGCGGATAAGCTCGGCTTTAAGTTATCTCACCTCGCCTTGGCCTGGTGTCTCAAGAACGAAAACGTGACGTCAGTCATCACAGGCGCGTCTCGGCCAGAGCAGATCATTGACAACATTGAGGCGCTCAAAATTCTGCCATTGCTGACCCAGGAAACCTTAACTGAAATTGATGACCTGATTGGCAACAAGCCAGTGCTTGATCCCGCTCGTCAGGGATAGACTCGCTGGGCGATACCTCGAATGGACGAGACCAGCAGAGGGTGAAAAGAGACACACTAGTTGCACTCGGATAATTCAATACCCCCAAAAGAGTGGATTTGTTGACGGTTGACCTTTCAATTCAACGACCATCGTGATATGCAATCAGTGAGGATGGATGATGCGCATCTTAGAGGTGACATGGCGTATAAGTTGAACTCCAGTCTCAATCGGAGTCATCCCCTGCGCGCGAGTCTTCCTGTTGTGCTTGGGCCAAAATCTCCTTCCAGTGTTCGGCAAATTCCCGCATGGCTCCTGGTCCGCCACGGCTCGCATCCACAACATCTTTGGGCATCTTATGCGCACTGTATTGCGGTGTATTAAAGCTGTAGGCTTCAGGGTCATCCTTCTTGACCAGACGGAATTCAGGGACAAATGGCACTTCCTCAACCTCGTTTTCTAGACTGCCAGTGTCCTTAGATCCGTCGCTTGAAACAGACGCATAATCTTCCGCATGATCATTTGAGACATTGGTGTTCATCGTAAGAATCTCAAGCCAGGAAAACAAGAGTGGGTCTGTCCTCATTGCCCACGGGTTGATATCGATCAACCAGACGCGCTCATGTGGAGGCGGAATATAGACGTCGAATACGAAGTTGTCATCCGGGAATGTATTTTTCAGATGGTCCACGAAGAATGATTGGATTCGAGATCGTAATGCAGGAATCATAGGAAAGAGGAAATCGAAGTGGTTCAGGTCCCGCTGACAGATAGCGACGAGTGTCCTTTGTCGGACAAAGCATCGAAACTCCACTGAAGGGTTCATCTGGACATGCTTTCTGAGAATGAGGTGATATGGAATATCGTCAATCGTCTTCGGTGGCGGAGCAGGGGCTTTGGAGGCAGTTTCCGCGGGGTCTTCATCCTCGACATCATCAAAAACATGCTCCAGGTCATGCGTGATAAAGTCGGAGCTCTTGAGCAGTAGATAAATCTCGTTCGCTGATTGGCATTCCATGCTATTGGTGGCGGCAATCCATGTAGCATCCTTGGGCGAAGACCAATTCAGTTTCGGGACCACACGACCGCCAAGCTCGTCGATAACTTCATTTATTCGAGCGTGAACCTCCGGAAACTGCGTCGATGGATCCTCTTGGTCATCAGAAACAGTAGAAGAATCTGATGAGAAGATACCACTGTCCTCGTCATCATCGCGGGCCTGCGGGTCTTCGGGAGGGAGTATAATGCCATCAGCACGGAGGTAAGATAAAAATGGAGCCGTGAGCGGTATCAGCCGAGCTTTAGGGGTAACTGATCGATATCTGAAAGAGTCAGTCCATAATAGACAAAAAGATAATTCCGAAATGTATAAGAGTATCTTACAAAGGATACCAATTGTGATAGGAGCAATTAAGAATATGAGTCTTGGTAACAGGAGGAAAAGGCAACTGAGTCAAAATTTCCGGGGAGTCAGAGCTCCCCGCAACCTCATTTTCCGCCGCAGCCATTACAAGCTCGAACACAAGAATCCAGTTTGAGACGGTACTTAATAATTCTGGAATACCAAAAAGGAAAATAAGACAATGATCGGGGGGGTATGAATGAGCGGGTGACCCTATTTCAGGAAAAAAGTGTATAAGTTATGAGCTTAAAGAGAAGCGCTTTAGTTCATAGTTATTTTTCCGTTGATGGCTTTGCCCCGCGAAAACCTCCGACTGTCCGTCCTTTGGTCGGCGCTCGCCACGGCTTCTGACCGACGACACACTCCCCATCTCCTGGAACTTCAGCCTTGACGAGGTGTTGTCTTCCTTTCACACTTGCACACAGCCAGCCGATCTCTGATTTTAAGACTCGTCATCTCGAGAACAAGAAACGAAGAAGAAGAGAAAATGTCTGCAAACGTCGGACTTTCCACTCCCCGCGGGAGTGGCACCTCAGGCTATGTCCAGCGCAACTTATCCCACCTCAAACCGCGGGACACTGTCGCGCCGTATCCTAAAGACTTTGAAAAGATGAAGCATCGACAGCGGCAGCCAGACAAAGAAATTCTTGAGCATGATCGCAAGAGGGAGGTCGAAGTCAAGGTATTCGAGTTGCGAGACCGCCTCGAAGACGAAGGGTAAGCCTATTCCTCCTAGAGATTTTTCTACGTATTCATACTGATAGTGGACCATATCAAGTGTCGACGAAGAAGAAATTGAAGAGCAAACATCCGAGTTGCGCAAAAAGCTGCTCGCCGAACATAAGGGAGACCGTACCAATGCCAAAGCCCTGAAGCCACACCAGGTGCATGAGCTTGCCAAGGCTAAAATTGAAGAGAGCGAGAAGCTTCGCAAGGCTTTGAAAATAAGTGAGGACTACGAGGAAGGCAGTCACTGGAGGAAGCAAGAAGAGCGGTTACGGGAAGCCAATCTAGAGAGGGCAGAGGACGAAGCTAGTCGTGATGATTAGGCTCTTATTACTCTCACACATCCTTTGGCGCCTGGGATACTCGAACAACACATTTCCCGACGCTTGTGGATAATATTGCGGCATCTCTTATATCCGGCTTGATTCAATTTCGACTACAGCTTGTGTCTTTTCTCCCCACTGCGAATTCTTCGAAATTCTTCCTGCGGGATTCCTTCTATGAACCGCTCGAGGCCGCCAAAGACTTCTAACGCATTTTGCCGCTCGATAATCTCCCGCTCCGGTCTTCGAATTAAGGCCTTTATTCTGATCAGACTTTCGTTGTTCAGGTGGTCTCCCAGGCGCTCCTCCATCTCCTTTATCACCAGTTCCAAGAAAATATCACTTTGGCCTTCTTTGACGTCAAATATCTTATTCACAAAACCCGCCCTCAACAACTCCTGCGAGTCAATGCGTTTGCTCATGAGCAATGCTTCATTAGCTTTACTGATGCCCAGTCGCTCAACGAAAGCCCGGCTTGATCCTCCTTCGGCAAGTAGTCCAAGAGAAGAGAATGGGGTCAGTAAGAATGCGTGGGGAGCCGCATAGATGAAGTCGGAAAATGCGACGAGTGCAGCCGAAAGCCCAATCACTGGGCCATTGAGCGCAGTGACTAAAATCTTGGGATGTTTGGAGAAGGTGTTGGTTAGGTCGAGGTTGTTGCTCACGAACCCGCGAAGCCAATATCGCCGAAGTTCTTCGCCTGTGAGCTCGCCGGAAAATGCGGAGACATCTGCCCCACTAATATCTCTTAACATGAGTGTTTGAAGCACAAAATTTGGGGATGAGGCGGTGCTTTTTATGGGATCATACGCTGAGAAGTACCGGCCTTTGCCGGTTAGTATTGTTATATATATCTCATCACTTGCTGCAACCTCTCGCAAGAGGGCACCTAGGTGATAATATAAGTCTGCTGTGAGGGCGTTCAACTTTTGCTCTAAGATAAATGTGATGATGGCGATCTTTCCCCGCTTCGTAAGCGTAATCGCATCAGACTGTGAATTTGACATGGCTATACAGTTGATGCTGTTTTGCTTTCTATGTGATGATGATGAACGGAGACTCTAAATCACCAAAAGAGCAACTGTATCCATTCGACTAGATAAGTTGAAAATAAAGACGACGTGTAAAACACTGAAAATGGGCTACATGATTGTATACAGGTCGGTACGCGTCGAGATGATGGGCTGCTTAGCCCAAATGACCTTGATGTCACGAAGCCGGTATAAGCCTGGACCTCGGCTCCATGACAGCCTCGGCTCTTGACGACTATTTACTTGGATGCTCATCTCTGAGTATTATGGTGTTTACACTGAATACTTATGCGATATGGTAGACTTTTGATTCATAAGGGTGGGTTTCAATTCCTCTGGATTTAAAAACTGAACAAATTTCCATAGTGCCACCAACGAGTCTGCCCGGACCTTGTCATCTGCAGGTTCAAATGCGGAGTGCCGCTGATCAGATAAGCCTCTGGGCGCGCACTCCACCGTGGAATGTCCGTTTGCAAATCGTTGATTCATACTTGCCGAAATTAAATCTACAGATTTCAAGATAATGAGCTGAAATATTTGATCTTGTTTATATCGTCAAACCTGAAAATGCTCGAACCAATTTTGCCTACAATTCGCCCCTCAGCCGTTGCCCAGAGCATTGAATAATTCACGATGCGCTAGAGTACGGATACCTCCAGGAAGCTAAACCAAAAAGGGATGTGCCAACCATATCTTTCGGATCGCCAATTCTAAGCATCGTCCGTCGCGAAATCTGGAGATACAATTGTTCAATTAATCTCCAATCACCACTTCCGTGAACCACAGAGGGTTTGACTCGGTTTCATTGGATCAGGGAAAGAACAGGAAATAATCAAAATCAAATCCTCTCCTGAGCTGAACATATACGCAATTCCGACATCATGGGGGGCCCAAATCTCGAAGTTTTCAAGGTTAGTACATTGTTTCCCCCCGTTCGATGGTCTAGGGCACTTGAGCCGATGCAATGCTTTACAAGATCGTTCTACTTCTTGTCTAACGATTATGGTCTTATCAGTTTGGCATGTACATCATGTTTCCCATCGCCATCATGTACTACTTCGGCACAAATCTTGACAACCGTTTCTCCGTCCACGGATTTTGGCCCGCTCCTGAACAAACGAACAAAGTCCCCTTTGAGAAAGACGAGATTCATGCCGAACTCGAGAGATTGAAGAGCAAACGACTCGAGAAGCGTGATAGGAGACTTGCTGCTGAAGCGCAAATGAACGGACAAGCTGGAGAGGAATAGATTCAATTTTTTCTTTCGTTCCTTGCCTTTGAAAGGCACGCGGCCCAAGCTCTGCCGGCAAATACAATGTACTCAATATCCGGAAGCTTGTCTAATTTCTCTAGATCAGCATCGATGTCGACGAGCCTTTGGTCGGTCATCTGTACTATCCAAACTGAGATTGCTTGACGCCTTCTGGTGACGGAGGACATGCTGGGACACAACCACAACATCTAGAGCTTGCATTTACTGGCGTTGGGGTACTGCTGGAATACTGAATTTTTTACGCTTCTCACATCCCAAATGGTGCGGGAGGAGAAAGCAGATTTGTATATTCAAGTCTACTTCTTTGTACATTATTGAGAACCCCGCTCTATATCTTTATGGGTTTCGAAGAAAGAAAAATGCATCATGCCATGTTCATATACACTTCTTGCACACCGGCGACCTCTTGGACCTCATCTGAAGGATTAGACGTTAACGAATGAATTGCATAAAGGCAAGGTTATAGGCGAGCTTACCAATGAAGGCCTCGAGTGCTTTGATGGTGTCTTCATCTTGTATGTCCACTTTGGTGTCTTCGTTCGGGTCCCATATTATCTCAGAAGTGGCCAACTGCAGGCCTTTTGCTTTTACCAGAGAGTCTCCAATAACCTTGGTTTGATTCGGCTCTGTGAAGACTATTATTCTTCCCTCGGAGTCCTCGGTGACGTCCGTTGCGCCAGCTTCCACAGCCTCATCAAAGATTGCGTCTGAATCGATTGAATCATTCTTTTCGAAAATCACCCGCCCCTTCTTCTCGAAGAGGTAAGTCGTTGGAGTAACGGTGCCGCCATGGTCTTTGACCACCAGCCGAAGGTCCTGGAGAGCTCTAGCTTTCGAATCCGTTTGGCACTCGATAACGAGCGCAATCGATGGCGGAAATATGGCCTCCAATGTCAGATTCTCGAGGGCGTTTCCATTAATCGATATGCCCTGCCCTCGTGCAACTGCTGCTTCGATTCCTGCTTTTGGAAAGCTCGCCCGTTTCGCATTCGCAATCGCCAAAGCCAGACGAGGATTGGTGTTGGGATCAGGACCAAATACTGCACGGAGAAATTCGATTTTCGTTAACGTTTCTGTAATTGATCGATGAATCGGTGGCTCGCAGGGGTAACTCACAACTTGAGGCGTGAGCTATTTCTTTGGCCAGAATTGTGCGCTGTTTGTTCTTCTTGGCGTCATTCTTCCCTTTATCATGTTTGATTGTTGACCACTTGTTATGGCCGGACCACAAATTCACAGTCGTACTGAATTGTCGACATTCCCGACAGACATATCTAGGGAAAAATTGCCCGCGCGTTGTCCGGAGCAGCGTCCGCGAAACAATTGACATGGCTATATTTATTCCTCGAAGACGCTGCCATGATTATTGAGAATGAAGATGGAGCGGTTGTCGTTTACCGTAGCAAACTGCCATAAAGGCATTTGAAAAACTACCGTAGTCTCGATAATGACCCGATAACTTAATGGTTGACGACGTTTGGGTCCGCGTTCGAGAATATGCAATGTGGTGTCTTCTTAACCTGGTGCAGCAAAATTTCTAATGTTTGCCTTTTCAAGGCTTGAGAATTCACAAGAATTACATATCCAAACTCATGTCATCCGACGACGCCGCACCATCCACCAGCAATGGCACCTCTCCGCAGCTCGAACTTGACGTTGCTCGACTGCACGCGCTGCCTTCTGAGCAACAGGAGCTATACCTGCTGACCTTCACGTCCGACCTTGCGCGTCACGTTTCTGCACTCGACTCTGATGGAGCTTCAGCGGAGCAAATATACTTGAAAAGAGAGCTCTTCCAGATAATAACCTTGTCCTCGCCGGCACCAACTCGCGCAATACGCAACAATATCGGCCGATGTTTTGCCGGGATCTTTGGAAAAGGGGACCGAAAGCTGTTATTCGAATCCGTCAACGAACTCATCTCCCTTGTTGCTGGGGGGAAACAGGAAAAGGAGCTTAGGAGCAAACATGCAGCGGTCCACTGTTTAGGTGAAATACTTAGGGCTGCCGGAGACAGTGTAATCAGTCTCGCATCGCTTGCTTGCTCGACGCTGCTGCGTGCGCTGAAGCACGCGCAGAACCATGCTGGACTGCGAAGCTCAGTTTTCAAGGCCTTGGCAAAGATCCTTGAAGCAGTTGGCGGCTCGATTGACGATTCTACAGCTCGGGATATTTGGAAGCCTGTGCGCTCAGCGGCCGTTGGGGACAAGGCATCTCTCGTTCAGGCAAGTGCCTGTAAGTGTTTAGAGGCACTTGTGAAACGGACACCTTATTTCGACAACCAGAATGACCTCGATTTGTTGAAATCTACAATTTGGAAGATAATTGATAGCTCCACGCCAGCTGTCAGGCATTCTGCTGCTAGCGCTCTCAGCGCGGCCTTGGTCAAGAACTATTCCGAATTTGCATCGAGAGATGCATCGTCAAAATCAAAAAAATCGAAAAAGGTCAGTAAAAAGGCGCCCTCGGCGCCAATTGACGAAGAGGATATCGAACGGCCGGAGTCACCAACAACAAAGCCTGGGGCGCAACTGGCATTCAGTCTCGGCGAAATCCTTAGGCATTTATCGAACCATTACGTCCGAATGTCTACAAACAACAAATCGAGAGCGGCTCTTGCAATCTGCTACATAAGGGTCATTCAGGGGCTTGGACCGAGGGCCGTGGAGCGCCAGTACGGCGTCATCGCCAGCCACTTTTTCGACGAGATTTTGAGCAATCCAAATATCTACCTCAACCGGTACAAACTTCTGACTGCCCGGAACTTCATCCGCATTATTTTGGAAGGTGTAGTCGGCGAAGAGCTGCTGGGCGAAGCTGGTCAGCTTAGCGCCTCAAAGTGGCTAATCAATGATATCCTCAAAAATTACCCTCAAGTCATGAAGGAAAGACCAGAGCCCAATAAGCATGTTCTCGTTGGAGCTCTGAGTGCTCTTGCTTCTCTGATCGACGCACTAGGATCTGCGGTGGGCAACATTGCAGAAACCTGTCGAGATACCCTTCTTCAGGTGCTCCAAAATCCTAGCTATTCTGTCCAGATCCTTACGTCGCATTGTTTGCGCAGTCTCGTGCTGGCAGTTCCGCAGCAGCTGCTTCCGTGCCTCACCATCTGTATGAACAGCGTCAATCGTGAATTGAATCTGCTGTCAACCCCTCGGCATTCATCCATCCGGTGCCTAGGATTTTCCAATGCCCTTTCTGCCCTTCTAAGTACAAGCCCCCTGCAGCCATTATATGGCTCCGTCGATGTCTTTTCTCGAATTCTTTCGCTAGCGACCGGACTTCTAAAATCGAGCAGTCAGTCTGAGCTTCGAGTTTCAAGTACTCAGATACAAGTTGCCTGGATTTTAATAGGCGGCCTGATGACACTTGGTCCAAATTTCGTCAAGATCCACCTTTCGCAGTTGCTACTCCTCTGGAAGAATGCTCTCCCGAAGCCCCTAGCCAAGGACAATACAGCTCAACGGAGCCTTTTGGAGCTAAGTTTCCTAGCACATGTTCGAGAGTGCGCTCTCGGTTCGATGCTCGCTTTCCTTGAGAATAATGGAAGGCTTCTTACCGTGGATGTTTCTAAGCGGCTTGCTACGATGCTTCAAAATACTACACATTTCTTAAGTGGCCTTCCTAGCAAGAAAACCACCGAGGATGTTTCTCAAAGACTTGCATCGTCACTGCAACTGAGGGATATAGACCTGATGGTCAAGCGGAGAGTGCTACAATGCTATATTCGGCTGGTGAACCTGAGCCCGACTGATAGCACGGAATCGATACTTCAGTCCAATGTGCTTACTATGGCGGTGTCGTTTTTTGCTGAGCCTGACAACTATTCGCCCAGCTCCCTGAGCACTAATATTGCAAGCTCTGCTGGTAATTTTGATAGTGTTTGGGAAGTGGGCGACAATTGCGGATTCGGCGTGACTAGTCTTGTCAGGGGCCTTGAGATACGAAGCCTACCGGGAGAGGAGCGTCCCAGCCAGCAGCACCACTGGCTGACGAGACACGGACCAGAAGGTGAAGTAGATCAAACTGTAATGCAACCCTTTGGTTTATGCGCCTATCACACTATGTTACTGACGATTTTCGTAGCTACTATCTCCCATCTGTGGTGCGATCGAACATGATTCCGTGTCGCTCTATCTTTCACCTTTGAGACGCACAGAACAGCTTCCTGACCCTCCAGCAACGGAGGTCGTCAATGCAGCGATTCAACTCTTTGCAATATGTCTACCACTGCAATCGTCAAAGGTTCAGGAGGGCGTGCTTGAGCAGATAGCCACGTTTCTGTCAACTAATAGCTTGCAACGCGATCCTGCAAGAAAGGCAGCAATGACTATTAATGTTGCCACTGCCCTTCTTTCCACGCTGAAAATAGCTGTAAAAGAGACATCTTGCGCGGCTGGCAATCTGAAAGCTCCACCTGTGGAGAAAGGAATGCAGGAGCTTCTTCGTGTAGGTCCATTTTCATTCCAGACTGAGCGAGACTAATTCGTTGCCAAGGATTTTGTCATTCATAATGATGAATACGTTCGTAATATAGCTTACGAAGGAATTGGTCGGCTATGCAGCAGCGCAGGAAATGCTTTTACAACCTCTGAAATCAAACATCTTGTCGACATGATAGTTACGAATCGAGAGCCCAACGCAAGGGCAGGTTGCGCGGTGGCACTAGGGTGTATCCACTCTCAGGTGGGAGGCATGGCAGCTGGCTACCATCTCAAGACAATTCTTAGCATCCTCATGTCGCTGTGTAATGACCCTCATCCTGTAGTGCACTTTTGGGCTCTTGACGGCCTCGCCAGAGTAGCTGACTCTGCTGGTCTAACTTTTGCTGGCTACGTTTCCAGCACTCTCGGAATGCTTGCTCGGCTCTACGTCGCTGATACCCACAACGAAGAAGTCTCTTCTATTGCCACTTCAAATATAGAAGCTGGACATCCTACCACAGCCGCTCTAGCACGATGCACAGATTCTCTCATCAATGTGCTTGGGCCTGATTTGCAGGACATGGCAAAGGTCAGAGACCTTGTCACAACCCTTGTAACTCAGTTCCAAACCGAGGTCGACCCGTTGGTTCTCATTGAGAGTTTAAAGTGCCTTGAACATTTTGCCTTGTATGCTTCGGGTCAAATGGATTTTGCCTTGTACGTGCGAATCCTGCAGAGCCACTTGAAGTCAGCAAGTGCGGAACTCCGTGATGTTGCAATTGACGGTCTATACAACCTGATGAAGCGCAATGCGGAAGAGGTCATCCAGACTGCCGATGCTGGATTGGAAGAGCAGCTCTGGCTGACACTCGATGATGCACCACACCACGAGGGCATGCGGAACTTGATACGAAACTGGCTACAGCAAACAAGCTTATCTCACAGCGGGCTGTGGGTAGATCGATGCCAGAATATTCTGACGAAGGCTCGAAAAACAGAAGAAGTATCTGAGGTACCAAAAGCCGCAGCAATGCCTGATTTGCAGGACGAAGAAGTTGCAGGTTTTGCTGCTGCTTCTGGTGCTGCGAAGGAAGAAGCTGGTGATCCCTTGGGTGCGGGCCAAGAGCTACTCAGGTGGCAAGTCAGGACTTTTGCGATGGACTGTTTGAGCGAGATGCTTGCCGTAGTGGGTCGCGAGGTCACAGCAGGCGAAACAGAACAAGCGCATAATATCCTTCAACAGCGGATTGCAGACATTGTGCGACTGGCGTTTTCTGCGTCGACTGCCGATGTTATTGAATTACGCATCTGGGGTCTTAGGGTAATTGATCAGATACTAAAGGTATGTGAATAAGAAGGTGGACACTTGAGGAGACGCACCTAACTTGTTTCTGTAGCTCTTTGGCAAGACGCCCGATCCGGATTTCACAGAGGTTTCTCTGCTAGAGCAATACCAGGCACAAATAGGCTCAGCTCTCACTCCCGCCTTTGCGGCAGACTCATCGCCCGAGCTTGCGGCTGAAGCTATCAATGTCTGTGCCACTTTCATTGCAACAGGAATCGTGACAGATGTCGATAGGATGGGCCGTATTCTCAAGCTTCTTGTGTCGGCCTTGGAAAACTTTTCAAGTGAGTTGAAGAAAAATGTAGTATGGCCACAACGCTAATCATCCAAATCGTTTTTACAAAGGTGACTCTGAGATTGTGGCGATTGGTGATTTGAAGAGCCTGAGCTCCAATGCACAAGTCATGGTCCGAATGTCGGTGTTCTCAGCTTGGGCCGAGCTCCAGGTCGCGAGTGCGGAGGAGAAGTATTTAGTGGATGTTTTGAAACCACATATTGCGACGCTCACTCCTTTGTGGCTGTCATCGTTGCGGGAGTTTGCACGACTTAGATTCGAGCCCGACATTTCCAGTACTGGTCCTACTTCACTATCAGGAAGCCTCGATAGCGTGTACTCAGCATTGAACCGCGAGACGTTGCTAAAGGTACTTAACAATGAGTTTGACCCAATATATTCCACGTGGTGTTGCTAACAGCGTACAGTTCTACCAAGAATCCTGGTTGAAGCTTGTGGATGCCATTGCAAGCTTGATTGAGGAAGACACTAGTTTTGTGTTTGATGCTCTAGATGGAAAGCAGACTGGATCCCGGGATACCAACGCTTCTCCCTCAAAGAGTGACATCAATTACCGCGAAGAACCAGTAGCATTCTTTTTTGTGCTCTTCGGCATCGCATTTGAAGCTCTTGTGGGTCGCCCAGGTAGCGACAGCTTAGGCACAGAGCAGACATTGGAAATTCTCCAAGCCGTGAAAAAGATTCTGCGACCTTCTGTCTCGGGACATGCCATTTACGAAGAAGTTGTCTTTTCGGAGACCATGGATCTATTTGATCGATTGGTCCTCACCGAAGGGCTGGATATCCAAGCTGTCATTGTGGAGATTGCTCGGAATCTCTGTGTCGAGCACCCGTCAGCCAAGAAAGCACACGAGTATGTATTCCTCCGTTTGGGAGCTAAAAAGACATCGGGATTTTGACTTTTCATTCCTCTTAGGCCCTCATCGGCTGGCGACAATCTTTCTGAAGAGATTGAGCAATTATTCGAGCTGACGCGCATCATTGTCATGGTGTTGGCTGGACTTTTGCCAAACCTGACTGACCCTTCATCAAAGCGTGAGTTTCCTTCAGACAGCTAATCCATGCACCGAGAAAGCTGACGCTTGAATTCATTCCAGTGCGGCATCCCCTCTCTGACGAGGCAGTTTCTGTCATATATGATTCTCTAGACGCCTTGGTTGATGCGGCTGGAGTTTTCCCTGCGGTCATTCGGACCGATCTTCACGCCAGCATTATTCACATCTTCTCCACCATCCTGGGCACGAGCGCTTGTCAGCAAAAGGTTGTTCCGCAAATTCTTCCGATCCTCAAACGATTCATTTCCTCCATCGCACAATTGGAGCCGGAAAATGCATTTGATGACGAATCAGTCACCACTTCTACCCAATTGCGCGGTTGCTTAAAACGCTTCCTCTCCATTCTTTTAAACGCCCAAAAGCGAGAAGCCGAAGCCAGCGTGGCATGTGCAAAGAATGCCCTACTGGCCTCCACTTTGCTCCTGACGAGTGGCTCAAGCGCTATACCTCCAAATGATGGCTCACTTTTCCGACTTCTCGACGAAATGCTCGACTGCATTGGCGATACAATGGTACGTCCTATGAGTTTACCACTTTTCATCTTTTCCTTTTCTCTTTTTTTTTTCTTTTCTTTTTCTTTTTCTTTTTCTTTTTCTTTTTTTCCCCCCCTCTTTAAAAAATTTTTTTTAACTAACACCCCAATCAGACTTCCAAAGTAGCTCTAAGCTGTCTCCGCACCCTATTGCTCAGCACTTCCAGCAGCAGTCAAAAGGCATCCGCAGCACCCACCAACAACGCCATCGCCCGCCACTTGGTCCCACGACTGATTACTCTTCTCTCCAACCCACCTCCCGACGCGACCGAAGCCTTTGTCGCTGCCCGTCCGATCATCGCCCAAACATTGACTCTCTTGGCTCCTACACTCTCAGCCGAATCTCAGCGTCCTTATTTCTACGCAGTTATTATTCCTGCTCTCCTGGCCCGCGCAACAATCGATACCTCTGTTGAACCCGCTGGCGAGTCTCCTTCCCCTGCGGCGACTGCAGCAGCGGCAGCAGAATCACCAGCACCAGCAGCAACAGCAACACAGGCAAGCGCAGTATACAAAGAAACCGCAACACGACTCCTCGAACTCGCTGCCGCAGACCAATTGTCGTTCCGCACTGTCGTTGCACGCATGAGTCCTGACCAAAAAGCCTTTTTGGAAACCGTCCTTCGCGAGAGCGGATCCATGCCTGGTCTAGGTCGTCCTGGTCCTGGCGCGGGTGCAAGTGCCGTGCATGATCAAGTCGGAGATAGGCAGCCTAGCATTGCGCTCAAAATGGACTTTGGCGCTTAGATTTTAATCTAGGAGATTAAGAATCATGTAGTTTTACTACCATTGATACCAAAGTTTCGAGGTTGGGAGGCGGGTGGAGTGTAGTTGGGGAGGGGGTGGAGGTAGGGGAGGTGTATGGGAGGGAAGGTGCAGGGTGCTCGATGAGTCTCATGAGACAAAGTTATATAACACGTCGGAGTTGCATGACTATGCTAGAGCATAATGGGTTTCTATAAAATATAATTCTTTTTTCATCTTATCCAATTTATTTACATAGATGCATGTACACATGCATGTGTTTACAAAGTCTATTTACAAGCTGCGAATTCCTTTGCGCCCCTTCCACAGGGCTACTGGGAACGTAAAAAGTTTATTTTACACAGCATCCTTCACACCAAGCATGACAGCATGACATTGTGATGGTGTGATAGTGTGAGGGCGACTAGCCAGCTTCGGTCTAACGACTCCAGAGTCGAGTCCGAGTCCACATCCCAGATCTCAGACTGCTAACCAAGACTGACATACGACGAGCGGCCATCGCCATCATCCAGCCCCGCGAGGACTTCATCCGTATCCTTGCCTCCGACGGCACTCACACTTGCGCTGTCGAATGCATTACCACCAGAGCGGTCTACTGCAGAGGTACCCCCCAAAGACGAACCGGAAGAGGGAGAAAAGGACGATGAAAGAGACGAAGAAGAAGAGGGAGAGGAAGAAGAGGTGGGCGGAGAAGAAGGGGAAGCAAAGTGCGGAAGGGCAGCGAACGAAGTGGCAGAAGATGGGGAATTAGAAGAAGAAGAGGAAGAAGACGTGGGCGAGATGGAAGAGGATTGGTTCTGTTGTTTCTCAGTGCGTTCTTGGACGTGGTGCATGTAGGAGGAGTAGCGGAGGGAGCCGAGGATGAGGACTGTGAGAGTTAGTATTGCCAATCGTTTGAGATCCCAGAGGGGAGAAAACAAAAGGAGAAATGAATGAGGGAGGGAGGGAAGGGTGGGGAAGAGAGTAAGAGGTACGTACAAGCCATGGTGGCGACAGCGAGGGCGGCACGACGGGTAAGAACCCAGCGCAGGCCTTCGACTTCGGATTTGGAGTCGGAGTTGAGCAGGACGGTGATTTGCCAGTTGAGTTCTTGGATCTGTTGGTTTCGCTCGTTAGCAGTAGTAATCACAGAAAATTGGAAATTGTGTGGCTGCTGGGACCTCTCGGACACAATGAACTCAAACGATGATAAGAAAAAGAAAAAAAGAAAAGAAAAGGAAAAAGGACGCAGCGCAGGGAAGACGAACGAGAACGTAGAGGAGGGAAGAAAATGCAGGACAAAAAAAGGGATTGAAAAAGGAGAAAGGATAAGGGAATCTTACCTTACTCTCCATGGCGCGCTGCTCTTGACGCACAGCCATACGGCGATCGTCAAACATGCCTCGGAGATCGTCCTTGAGGGAGAGTAATTCGCCATTGAAATTCTGATTGAGAATATCGACTTCGTGCTGCAGCGCCGTGCGCTCGGTGCGCATCTTGTCTGTTTCCTTTTTGCGATTATTCTGGATTTCGGTGCGTAGTTCGCTGCACGCGGCGCGGAAGAGATATGTTTCCTGCCAAGTTCACTCATTCAGATATCTTTCATCTACTTAACCTGCAGAAAGGAAACTGAAAACGGGATATAAGATGATTCTGAAGCTTACATTCTCCACGTCCGACTTGGATACCAGCCCCTCTTTAGCAATGGTCAAATTCTCCGCCAAGAGGCCGCGCACAGCCTTCATCAGAGTTACGCACTGTTCATCCGTGAATCCGCCGTGCTCTAGATCGCGAACGAGAGAATACGTGTCAAAGTGGTGTACGTATGGCGGGGGTTGCAAGTGCGGCGGTTTGTGCGCTTGGGCGGCCTCACTCAACGGCGCGTCCACGTGGAGCATCGTCTCGAGCGGTCGACTGTCAATCGTGCTGGTAAAAGCTGGGGCCGACGCCAGGATGGGTGATTCCGGCTGCGGTTCAGGGACGAACCCTTCCTCAAGATCACTCGCTGTCTCTGCAGAGCTCGGAGTCGTTGTATTCTTCTTTTCTGCCTCTTTGGGCGCCTCCTTGGTGTCCTCTGCTTTGGGCCCGCTCGAGAGGCTTCCAATCGCTACTTTCCCCGGGCTTGCAAGATGCGGTGGCTGCGGCGGCGGTAGGTGTTGTTGCTGCGGCTCAACGCTGACGCCGTACCGCTGAGAACGTGTTGAATTGTCTCTTAGCAAAGACGTGGAATGAAACTCGGCGACGCGCTGGTTCTTTCGTAGACGATCGTGTGTTCCTTGACGTATCTCTTGACGAGGGTTCTGTAGCGCGGTCGAGGGTTTGGTGGATCCCGTCGCAGCGCGACTCGAAGCGGCCAAGCCATTGCTGCCTCTGCTGACCTGAAGACGTGATGCCGATGCGAATCCCCGTTGTCTGGTTGTTGGAGAAACGCTGGAGCGTATCCTCGCCCGCGACGCCTTGGCTGGACAATTGCCGGCAGCCCCGCGGGAAACGTGTCGGAGTAACATGGGATATAGAAACGTGAGGAGGGTAGCAGGCTGAGTGGCAGCAATGCTCGCGGTCATTGCTATCCACGTTCCTGTCGGGCTGTGAGCTTGATCCTTGCGACTCCGGTTGTCTGCGTTTTCTCTCTCGTCGTGGTTTTTCTCTCGCCCTCTCTGGTCCCTTTCTCCCTCCGAAGTCTGTGTCGCCCGTCACTCTCTTTCAAAGAAGAGTGGATTTGTTCCGAGACACTGCAATACTTCAATACTGCAAATGGGTTTGTCACTTGAGAGATTGCAGGTTTGAAGTTGAGATATCTGGTTGTAAGTGTTGGTCCCTGGATCCGAAGCGACGAATTTGACTCGCCAGGTCGCCAGGTTGCCAGTCGGCCCGGTTCGCTTCCGACGTCATTCGTCATTTGCCTGTCATTTGTCATTTCCGAGGCTTCCCTTTCCTTTAGTCCCAGGCGCCCTTTCGCTTGTCCCCAGGTCCTGGGAGCGAGGAGTACCCTAGCTGCCTGGCTGCCTGGCAGCCAAAGCCTTAACTGACTATTACTCCGTTATACCTCTACTCTAGTTGACTTACAGAGTACGCTCGACCGTCGTTTACCCATACCACAGTTATATCTCACTTTCGGAGAAAAAATCAACTTCAATCTTCATATATAGAGCTCTAAAAAAAGAAAATTGAAATGAAAATGTAAGTGAAATAATACTATATCTACTATATCTCTTCTAACTACCTGTACTTGTTCCATCATAATACTATACTACACTCAACGTCCATATAGTACGACAACGTTGACACAATTACGTTAAGCTTCGTAGAGGGTGCCAAACCGTCCGGGATGATGGTTTCTAGAACAAAACATCTATGATATATACCTCCCAAAACAGCAATCCAGCACGTACGACCATAGACTGAGGAGAACTGGGCATCCCGTCCGCTCTGCCATACATAAGCCTCAGATCGGCGGACTAGTAGTTGGGTCGGTGACGACCAGCGAATCCCCGCTGTTGTACGTTTTTGTCCAACCTTTTTGTCCTCTAAGGTAGGTTGTTTTTTTTTTGTCCTTTTTTATTTCTTGTATTTTATATCTTTTCTTTTTAAACGCCCTTCCATTCCCCGCTCCCCCAAAACTACATGAGAAAAAAATCAAAATACGGAGTATAAAGTAAAGAAAGAAGTATAAAGAGAAGAGATACTCTAAAAAAGAGTCAAAAAAAAAATAGAGATAAAGAGGACAAAGAAAACGGTATCTCATGTCTCCATCTCGTCCCTTGGAGATCGATTTAGTTACTAGGAAGTCGGAGACTCAAAGTATGTGAGGGGTATAGCACAGCAAGATCAAAACATTCAATATAACTTCCAAATTGTATATGATTATTAAAGTACCAGGCCCTGCCAAGTCATCGAGATATCTACAACCAAAGAAAAAATCAAAAAATCAAATAAAACAATATAAAACAATATAAATAATATAAAATACAATACAATACGCGGTACAGAGTACGGAGTATCAACTTAACTACCCAAACAAAACAAAATAATATAATATAAAATTCAATACAATACAATACAATACAAACGCAGCACAGAGCACAGAGTATCAACTTAACAACCCAAACAACAGGGCCGTTCGCTTCCAGTACTCTTGCGCGCTCTTGTGTAGCCTCTCCTTTGCCGAATCAGGGAGTTGGATATGATTATTAATCTTGTCTGCCAGGGCTTCGAGAGAATGAGGAGGAATGTCTGGCGGGGGGGAGGATGACGATGGTGATGACGAGGGGGATAATGGCGATGGGGATAATGGCGATGGGGATAATGAGAGGGATGGTGATGAAGGAGTCAAGGCGCGTTGGAGATATGTCACGTCGAAAAGGACTTGTTTTAAAAGTTCTTTTCGCAGGGTAATATCATCGGGATGCAGTGTGCCGTTAGTCTGTACGGTACTGTTAGGTGTCTCAGGTTTCTCAGGTTTCTCAGTACTTGAACGCGCTTCGTTGCTCTCCGGCGCAACGGGGCTCGATAATACTCTAGATCCTTCAGTTTCTTCAGACCTCTCAGCGCGGTCTTGGCGAGATACTCCCGTAGTGCGTTCCACGGATGTACCTTGCGACGCGGAAACTACCGCCAACTCATCCACCACGGGGCCAAGAATCTCCTCTACGCGTCTACTAACAGACTGCTTGAGCACAGACGAGGCGGCGGGGTTCCAGAGATCGCCGCCAAGACTGGCCATGGACGTGGACAGTCTGTGCAGGACTTTGAATATCTCGGGCGACGGCTGCACGGGTAATGATTGCGGTGGGCTAGCGCTGCCTTCCCAGAGGATTTGCGATTGGAGGAGCAATTCCCGGGGATTGGTGGTGGCTTTTTTCGCAAAGCGGTGCAGTGGGCGGAGAGTCGTGGTGCCAATTGTAGTTTGAGCGAGGGAGGTGAGCAGGCGGGAGATGATGACGGGAGTGGCGAAAGATTCTGACGAGTAGTCGGCGTGTGCGAGCGTCTTGTGGCGGAGTTCGCGGACAATGCGGATGATGAAAATGGTCTGTTGGCCTTTGGGATCTGAATTGTTGGCGGTAGAAGTGGTAGTGGTCAAAAGAGAAGTCACAGCAGCGTCAATGCTCTTCTCGAATTCACCAAATGCGGTTTGCAATGATTGCGTGAGAGCGGTTTCGAATACAGTCGGATCTTCGTCGCTAAGTAACGATTGTATTGCATCGGATTCGAACTCGTCTTCGGTTGCGGCGTATAGATCGAGATCGTCGTCCCAGCGGATATCTCGGAGCTTCTTGATCATGATCCTTGCTTCGTCGACCAGACTCAGCCAGCTTTCGTAGCTCCGCAGCACGCGCAAGACGGCGTCGCTACGGCCAGAGCTCCGGTCGAGAATGGCTTGCTTGAAAGCCACGGCGCCGTTGCTGAAATCCATTGTGATCATTGATTCGTCCCACAGAGATGGACACGACGAAAGGGCAGTGGGACCATCAGCAAGTATGGCTGAGATTTCGGTTTGTACCAAGTGTAACCTGCTCGCGCGTAGTCGGACCAGGTGAGTGAGCTGGTCATTGAGTGCAGCTCGGAGACTTTCTAGCAGCGAGAGTCCACCCAACCCAGGGACCCTGGTGCGATTTCGGAGCCAATTGCTGAGAACTTCCTGGCGCATTTCAACAAGGCTTTTCAAGTCCTTGCGTCCAGCGGCGGCTGTTTTCAACCCGTCAAGGAACACGCCGAATGCCTTCTTCGACCATTCACGTTGTATCGCTTTTGCTTGATCTTCCTTCAGGTCATCGTGTCGGATCCAGGGAACGAAATTCTTCACCTCCTCGGCCACCCATTTGCCATGGATATCCAGATTTAACTCCAACAGCGACTCGACGTCGGGAGAACTGAGGATCGGTTGAGACTTGATCTTTTTCAATGTATCCGCTAGCCGAGACGGCATAATGGTCTGGACATCTTCGAGTGTTCGAATGAAGAGACTGAGTGCTCCCAGTACATCCGCTCGACCCTGAGAGTCTAATTCCAAGCGGGCAGAGATTCCGCGAAGACGGATATGTTGGAAATGGCGCAAGACGTCTGTTGGCGTCGAGCTCGTTGCCAAGGAAAATGCACACATGCTTTCGACTATCGAGGTAGTGCTGGCCGTGAGGCTGGAAAGTTGGCGGTCGATCCGACTGAGAATGCTCCGCCGTAGAGATGCTAATCGATTGCGCAACGTATCCGCAAGTGGAGGAGTATTGTTCTCGTTGGAGAGTGATTTATGTAGTAGCCGCGACAGCACCAATAATTTGGCAGCCAAAAGTATCGAGTCACCTTGCCGGAGCATTTGGGAGATGAGCCCAGGGAAGCTCTGCAAAAGCGCCAGTTGCGATGTCAACGCATATCTATTTCGATCTGCGAAACAGTCTCAGTGAAATCAGAGCTTCAATAGCAAAAGACAAAACCGACACGCAACAAGTAGAGTGTTTTTGCTTACCATCTGTTTTGACAGTTGCATTCCACTTTCCGTAGTTCTTCCCAAGTCTCGAGAACGAACGCGAATCGCATTTTCTAGTAATATCGCCAAAGTGCCTCTCAACATTATGCATTTGCTGATCCATTTCGATAATGTTCTCCGCCGTGCCCAGTAGATCACGATAGCTCGCCCTAGATTGACGGCGTAAGTTATTTCCATCTCCTGCGCAGGCGCGTAGCAGAAAGCAATATGACATACCCGACCATTCCCCGTAGTTTCTCCCTTGTCGCACCCAAATCTCCCCGCAGCTGAAGCTCCATATGCCTCACGGCGGGGGTAGGGTAGCGGAATGCATCCTCCCAAGACGAGAACGTCTTTGGGTCCGGAGCTTCGAGAACCATTGTAAGTTGGTTGAGATTTGGTAAGTTTCGATACTGGCAGTTTCGAGTCTTCTAATCATCCAGCGGCGCCATTCCTAGGTATTCGTATATGCGAACGCGACTTTGCCTGCTATCATATATCAACTGGTGGTTAACAATTCTCGAGCAAGCTACAGTGTTCGTTAACCATTGCGCATCCTAACGTCCGAGCCGGGGCGCTCGGACCTACGCCGCTAAATTACCAATTGGAGTTAGCTGCCGAGGACCTGGAACCTCCCCCAGCTCAAGTAAACACAGGTCCGCATACTCCGGTAGTGACCAAAGAGATCTCTACAGAAGCTCTCAAAAGGGCGCACGGCGACAACTTCACTTTTGTCACTACAAGCTTACTCTGATTACATATTTATATAGCACTTTCACGTAGAATGATATAAGATAAGTATGGTTAGATAGATTATGTCCTTAATGGAACTAAGATCCTAGAAAAATATAGAGACGATATAGAATTATTAATTACTGATCCTGTAATATAGTGCACATATGCAAGATGAATATTAAAGCAAAAAAAGATCCCGAAAGAAATTATGCATAGAGCAGAATCAGAATAGGAAAAGCGAGAAAGTATTTTCCTCCGCTTTCACACCTGGCGACACTCCTCTCCTTAATGTACAGATATATGATATATGTACCTCAAGAAGAATAAGGCGGCAATGTAGAAATCAGCCACACGAATGTGCATTTGCATGTGCATAAAGGCAAACCATCGCATCATTATCCCAAGCATAACAGACAGCGGACCGAGTTGCGCCTGTGCAATCCATCGGCTTTCTATCGCCGCTATGTACCATCCATGTCATTGACCAGACCATCCCAGCAGAATGATGCAACATCATTAAGAAACAAAAGTGAGAAGGGGAGCATGAAAGTGGTATCCTTTATCCCTTTGCAAGCAAAAAAGAAAAGAACAGAAAATAGTAACCCTTGCACGGACATTAAAGGGTCAACAAGCGACAAGCGAAGTAAGTAAAAAGAGATCAAAGTCCAGAAATATCAGAGAAAAAACGCAAAAGGAGAAGATGACCCATGTCAAAGACCTCCAGAGAAGAAGAAACAGTTTTCCGTTGCGAAACCCCTCTTCAAGTTATATACGTTTAAGAGGAAAACTTTTTCATTTCCTTCCCAGACGCCGCAATTTCAGCCATTTCTCGTAAGCGTCGTATCAAGGTATCGTTTGCAAATATAGAACAGGAGAAAGTCGAGAAATACCAGGGAATTCATAGAACAATGTATATCCCATCAGCTTGAGGCAAATCAGCTGATAAGGACTAGGTGGAAGCTTCAATCTTCACGTCTGCCGGGTGCTCCTCTTGTTTGCGGAATGCATTAACCGGTCCGTCAACAGTGCTGTTATTGGTGCTTGGTAGAGAACTGCTCTGTGGGCTTGAAGCATCCCCCACTAAGGGAGGGGGTGAAGGAGCTCCGGAAGTGTTGGAATCATTCGGCGGCGGAGGAGTTGCCGGTTGCGAATGGTTAACTGAACCGGGTGCAGTATAAATGAGTTTTTCAATCTAGCTACGAGTCAGAACGGCAAATCAGCAGAATATTTGGTGGGCATATCTTACAGCATTGATCTGTTTACCATAGCTGTACTTCTTAAGTTGGGCCATTTGTGGTTGTATCTGCTCCACAAACTTGTCATACTCAGTGCCCTTGAGTTGTCCGAGCAATTTTTCTGTCATGCCATTCGTCAGCAACACATCGAAAAAAGTTATTCATCAAATTGAAGGACATACGGATAACGTAATTTCCGTACTGATCCCTCATCAAGGACTGCAGCGGACTTTCCCCTTTTTCGTTGAGGGTAGATATTGTGCGGACAATCTCGGCTCTCTGCACATCGGTGCCAAATTCGATACTCTTCTCCACCACGTTGCTGGCAAACTTGTGTTTGGAGAAAACCAACAATTGATTGATGACCATCTTAATGATCTTGTCGCGATCTTCAGCCTTTCCATGCTGAATAACATGCTGAGTGACATAGTTTCCGTATTGATCAACAATGAGCGATGCCGTACAAGCATGCAGCTCCTCGAGGATGGATCCTTGGGCTCTCTCATCGCAGAATTCAAGCATACGTTGAATCACCCTGCAGCCATAAGGGTGGATAGCCAGGCTTTGAACTTGGCTGTTGAAGGCCTTGATAATGAATTGGATGTGCTCTGCAGGGACTCGTTCGATAGCTTTTTGGATCACATGGTTGCCATTCTGGTCCTTGACACATTTAAATACGTGACTTTCCAACTCTTTAACCAAGCTGGCTTGCTGGTCGGTCAGAATATGCTCCAAAGCCTGATTTGATTAGCCAAGATCATACAGGTTACGGCGGTTGCCACTCGTGAACTCACCTTTTGCACAACACGACAGCCGTACATTTGCAATGAAAGAGCGAGAATATGACCTTTCATCTGGTTGGCTAGAATCTTCTTTTGTGATTGGTTTCCATGCTCGAAAAATTTCTGGATCACATAGTTTCCAAACACGTCCGTCATGAGCTGCAAAGAGTTGGGCTGGATTTCGCGGAAAACTTGATCCTTCTCGTCACTATTGGCTGTTTCGAGTTTCTGCTGGATGAACCGAGATCCATGTTGGTCGCCACTGAATTCGACAACATGATTGTAAATGTCCTACCGTACATGTTAGAACATTAAACACCCAGTGCTGTAGATTTCTTTATGGAAAACGTCAATTCTTACCTTCAATTCATATCGTTTGCTTGTCTTCGCATTGGATCGAAACTCTTCAAGCAAAGCACTGCGGAGATTGTGGCCGTAATCATGATCGCGAGGAGCGCGCGGAGGGACAGTCCCAGGTGCCACAGCCCCCACTGGTGCAATTGTGTAGTAAGGTGAGAGATTGTTTACTCGCATACCATTTTGAACACCACCCTCAAATTGAGGAGCCAGCTGGTTTCGATATGGCTGGTTCATCATAGTACCGGACTGTGGATGCAAGAAGCTACTCTGTTGCTCCTGTTGAAGACCACGTAATTTGTAGTCAAGCAGAGCATAATGGCCAGGGGCCTGTACGCGGCTCTGGGTGCCTCTCGGAGAGGCTCGCGAAGGGTCGGAGCCGCTTGGAGGTGTGCCACCAGTCGAATAAAAAGGACTCTTCAGACCACGACGGTGATGGCTTGTTGCCGGGGAAGTGGCGCCCGCCTCGCCAAATCGTGACCCTCGACCGTTCTTCATTTGGTCGGTAAACGGCGCTTCAGAAAACGCGTCCGGAGTGAAAGAACCAAGTCCACTACGGTATCCTGTCTCATCGAGACCCCAAATCTGCTGGTTACCTACGGCCTGTAGTGTGCCAGCATAACCCGCGTCGTTGAAAGGCATTTGAGAGGAACACTGGGAGAAATTGTTTGCCAAAGTGGGCTGCTGTTGGAAATTCTCGGCCAGAGATACTCGGGCAAAATTGGAAACGATATCTTGGTCCTGGGAAGCCTCGTCAAACCGGGTTTGCCCGCTCGGAGAGGCAGCGAAGCCTGTCTTGTCCCCAGACATGGTTGGTCGGCGTGCAGAAAAGGAGGTCGAGGGTTGGCCGAAGCGGGTAAAGGAAGGGAGCTCTTGCGAAGCCATTCCAAACTGTATTGACTCAACGCCACTCCTAGAGGGTGGGAGACTTTCGCTACGAGAAGTTGTCACCGAGGACGCCGGCCCCAAAAAGTCTCCATTGTTGGGCATACGCTCTGCACGAGCGCCTTGCACGGAGTCCTCTCCTCCAAGTGCCTCTAAAATGGCATTGGGGTGCCGGCGACTGGTCGAATCTAGAGTATAACGCTGAAAGCCTCCAAAGTTATTGGTGCGGTCATCCGTGGTTCGAGACGTGACGAAGCTTCCTGTCGTAGGATCCAGTGCACTCTTGCGAGGGGAAGGGTCCGTCATTCCGGGTCCGATTGCAGCTTGGCGAGGAACTGAAAAATACGGCGACGTCGCGCCTGCGGTATCCGAGAAGCTGGCTCCTCCAGCACTCTGATTGCTATTGCGATGCCGAGGCGGAGAATTTGTAGGATCTGGAAGCCGGCCAGTGGTCATGGGCGGTGAGGTGGCTTCGGCAGCCTTCCACGACAAGCTTGGACGACCCCATGTATCTGATTCTGACGACGCGACGAGGGAGCCGGAGCCTGTCTTGCTGTCGAATGGAGCACCAGCTGAGCTCAGGAAGGACGATCGGTCTTCTATCAAGGAAAGCACGGTTCAAGTCAGCTTCAGCAACAGAATGAACATTTGCGACAGTAGCCATATCCATACCTCGTTTGCGCGTCATTTCAGTTTGATCGGTCCCAAAGCTACTTCTTAGAGCGCCACTGCCCCAGATTCCTCCACCGGCCCAACTTGCTCCTGCACTTCCAAAGCCTTGTCCTAGTTGTCCCGCATGCGATGATCGAGTGTCGTCGGCCTTGTTTCTACTGGCCGGAGCTGAAAGGTCGCTGCCAAGCCGAACAGTGCGTCCCTGAGTATCGCCTGTTAGTTATTTACTCTTCTCTTGAGGCCGTCTCTCCGACCAATTCTGCTTCTCACATGATTAAGCCCCGGGGCCGTCGCCCTGGACGTATTTATTGATGTCATAGTATGCTTGGTAAAGCGTGATTTTCAGGTTATTACGATAAATGTGAAGCTCGGAAGTCGGAAAGTTAGTCGAATGAGGCGTGATAATCGTGTTTCTTTGGGCTCGCGAGGTTGAATATCCTCAAGGGGAACAATTAAGGCTGTTGCCACAAACGTCCCATGATTAGCATATGTGTAACGCACGTCACCAGCTGAAAGCCGATTGCGCTGCGTGCTATAAGAGCCA